GAAAATGTGCGAGTCGCCGATATCTCCCAAGGCAGCAATCCAATCCGGATTCTCAACATGCGAGCTTTGCCAGATAGCCATGTAAAGGATATCAAGGACGAAATCCACAAGGAAAACGAGAAGAAAATGGACAAAGACGAACTCGCTGCCGTTGAGCACGCTGGGGAATTTTACAACATGGAAGTGTCCATTGCATACCACGCCAGGCCTTCGGGCGAGGATGTTGCATCAAAGGCCAAAAACATGGGCATGCAGCTCGTCTTCTACCTCGGCATCAAGGGTCTGTTTGGCGTTCCCCTTCCCATTTGGGTCGAACTCGTTGGTCTCGTTGCCACTGCTCGCATCCGATGCCAGTTAACTCCCGACCCGCCATTCTTGAAGACTGTTTCCTTCACGCTGATGGGGGTCCCTCACGTCCAGGCTGGCTGTACGCCCATGATTGAAAAGGGCGTCAACATCTTGAACCTCCCCTTGATCTCCAATTTTGTGAACTGGGCCATCGGTGCTGCAGCATCCATGTATGTGGCGCCAAAGAGTATGACGCTTGACATGAGCAAAATGTTGCAAGGCGATGACATTAAGAAAGAGACCCAAGCGCTGGGAGTCATGTTCGTCCGAATTCATAAAGCCACTGGGCTCAGCAAACAAGACCAGAGAGGCAGTAAAGGCGGCGGTTCTGACCCGTACATCACCGTCAGCTGGAGCAAGTTTGGGAAACCTCAGTTTTGCACCCGCGTCATCCAAGATGACCTCAATCCTGTCTTTGAGGAAACATGCGGCCTTCTGGTGACCAGTGACCTCATCAAGGCAGATGAACAGCTATCAATGGAGCTCTGGGACAGCGACCGATCTTCAGCTGATGATGTTGTTGGCAAGGTAGAACTCAGCATTCAAAAGCTCATCCAGCATCCGGGAAAGATGTTCCCCCAGATTTCAAAGCTTCGTGGAGTCAAGGCCGACAGCACTATGCCGGGTGAACTTCACTGGGAAGTTGGCTTCTTCGGCAAGACGCAGTTCCGCAAGGCTCTTCGTACCCACGGAAAGGACTTGAAGCTGCCCAAGGAACTCGTCGACAAGGCCGAATTTCAGGAGGAAAAGGGTACCATCACCAACGAACAAGAGGATGCCGTTGTGCATACTCCTCCTGATCCTCTCTGGCCTTCGGGTATCCTTAGCGTCGTCGTCCATCAAATCGTCGGTCTCGAGCTTGCTAATATCAAGGGGTCGGATGGGAAGCGCAAAGGCAAGGAGTACGAGCCTGCTCGACCCGAGGCGGGCGAGGTAAAGGAAGAGCAAAGCCGAAAACTCCCCAGTTCGTATTGCACTATTCTTGTCAATGATGATTTGGTATACAAGACACGTGTAAAGGTGGTTTCATCTCAGCCCATCTTCAACGCTGGTACAGAGAAGTTTATCCGGGACTGGAGGTCTAGCGTCGTCACTGTTTCGGTGCGAGATTCTCGTAATCGTCAGCACGACCCCTTGATTGGCGTCGTGCCGCTAAAGCTGTCAGACATCTTGCAGACGAGTAGTGAATCGACCCGATGGTACCCCCTCGACGGAGGCATTGGGTTCGGCCGTATCCGAATTTCTATCCTCTTCCGCTCTGTTGAACTTAGGCTTCCACCCCCTCAGCTTGGTTGGGATATTGGAACTTTTGAGTTCCTGTCCGGAGCGATCACAACAACTGGATACGCTCCCGTTTCCAAGGTCAAGCTCAGGCTGAGAACCGGAGGATCCTCCGCAAGTGTTAAGCGACAGTTTTCCACAAGAGACGCCGACGGCCTCAAGATTGATATTTCTGGCGGTCAGGATGGCAAGATCATGCGTCTCCCGGTTCGCCATCGATACAGATCGCCAATTTTCATTGAATTTTATCCAGCGGGGAGCCGACACGCAGATGCCTACGCCGCCTTGTGGCTACTGGAGCTTGTGGATGGCGAAGAAAGGGACTTTGATGTGCCGATTTTCAAGTGTGACAACAGCGTCCGCCTCTCGCAGAACTACATCACCCAGGAGAACTACAGGGAGATTCCAGATACGTACATTGAACAAGTCGGCAGAGTCAAGTTCAGGGGCCGCTTCTCCGCGGGCACAGACTCTGACCACGTCCGGTTCGTCAGCGACAACGACTCCAGGGAGACAATCGAAAGCTGGGAGGCCTGTTACGCGGAGGGCGTCAGACAACAGGAAGTCCGCGCCGAGGTGCCCCCGCTTGTGCAAAAGCTGCACGACCAGTCGCTAACCCAGGGCCGTGATGTCCTCGCGCAGGCCGACGACAAGGAGAAGGAGAGGTGGATGGCTAAGGACGGCACCGACTGGAGCGGAGCGTTCGGACAAGACCCCAAGCAGCTTATGGCTCGACGAGCCGAGGATCGAGGAGACGGTGAAGAGTACGATGACTTTGATGAGGATGGTGATTATGACGATAACAATGATGACGGCGACGACGACGACGACGATAACCCCAACCTTGGTATCCACGACGCGGCATCAGAGCCGTCTCACCCGTCTGAGGGCAGTGATGCTGCCCGTCAGTCCATGGACACGGATATCACGAGTGGTAGCGGCGCCTCCCAGACGGGTAGCGGCAAGAATCCGTACAAGGCTTACAAGGATTACAAGGGCCATAGCAGGGATTTGCATCGCAAGCACAGAGGCTTGATGCAGTGGCGTCCGATGCGCAACGTCCAGTTTGCCAAAGACGAGGCCAAGTTTGCCTTGAGAAAAGTCACTAAGCTCGGGGCACTTGATGGTCGTGAACCGGATGTGGAAACCGAAGTCTGAGTGAAAATGGAGTGGGCAATGTACTCTGATGATTTATGATTTCTCACGGTTACACGCCTTGTTAGGCCTGTGTACGTCTGCGATGGTTTTGTGTAGTAGTACTATTTTTTACCAAAATTCGAATACGAGACTGCATGGTAAACAAGATGGTACTATTGGAGAACAGAAATAAACAAATGCGACGTGACGTGAATCCATTATGGAGCCGTCTGCAGTCCCATGTCAATTCGTACAGACAGATGCCGCTTCTCCGTCGATATTCAGCGGCCCATAATTAGAACTTCTCTACATATGGCCTGATATCTAATTCGTGAGTAAACGCAGACCTTGGCTGGGTGTGCAAATGCCAGTAACTTTCAGCAATCTAAAAGAAGTCAACATCACCCGTTGTCCCAGAGCCACGGTTCACTTACAGCCTCGGCAGCAATCTTCCCATCCGCCACACCATTGTTGGCCGTACGTTCCTTGCCCCAGGGGGTATCGATAACGCCGTCGATAATGGCCAGGGCGACATGCACGCCCTGGGGCCCGAATTCCCGGGCGAGGGACTGCGTGATGGCCCTCTGGGCGAACTTTCCCGCCGCGAAGGTGGTGAATTTGGCGGAGCCTCGGATGGAGGCCGTGGCCCCGGTCACAAGAAGACTGGGAGGGTGAGGAGACGAGGAAACAGCATCAAGGAGTTGGGGGAGCGTCTTTTGGGCAAAGTAGAACAAGCCGTTCCTGGCAGCGGTGTTAGTAGATTGCCCAGAAAAGGATTCCTCGAGTCTACTACAACAAACGCCATGGCCGGCCAGAACCTCGCAGGCCATCTAGAACAGCATCAACAGCTCCTCGACTTACGCGGCGGTCCCCAAGCTAGTATCCAAATCTTCAACCTTCAGCTCCAAAAACGGCTTATACGCGAACCCGGCATTCGCGTTATACACGGCCGCCGCCAACTTGTGCCCCTGGAGGTCCTTCTCAATCTGGGCAAATGCACCGTCCACGGAAGCAGGGTCCGAGGCGTCCGCCGTGTAGCCATATGCCGAGCCGCCCGCAGCGCGAATCTCCTGCACAATCGGCTCATAGTTGGCCGATTTGCGGGCGAGGAGGACAACGGGATATGTTTTGGCGAAGCGGAGGGCGACTGAGGCTCCAGTGCCGGAGCCTGCGCCGGCGACGATGGCGTAGAACTTGGACATTTTTGATCCGAGGCGTTTTGGGTAAAAGGGAAAGAAAATAGTTGCAGCTCAGGAATAGTGTCTGCGGTGGTCTCTGGTGTTGAGCATGGTGCTCGGGCTTGAGAACTAGTTATATACCGGTTGATTCCCCGGGTGTATTGCTCAACCGAGTTGGGACTGACGCCATAGTTGATTAGAAAGCAGAGATGAGGAGTTGGAGGGTCGACGACTGGCTGTGACCTGCGCGTTGATTCCAAATATATGGAGATTGGGCATTAGGCCATTGATAAATGAATGATGAGATGCGGTAGACATTGTTGGAAAATGGACGTTTTTTTTCGTCTTGGAAATATTCTCGTTTGGGTGACTGAGGGTTAGGGTCGAAAGTGAGCATGCTCAGTCACACAGTCAGTCAGTGTGCAGCTTTCGAGGGGTTGTCGAGAAATGAAGAGCTTTCGTTTTGGCATGCACTTGAGCCTCGAGGACAATGAGTGGCTTTTCAACCGCAGGGACATTGAAATACTCAAAATGGTCCATTTCATTGACATTCTCCTCCGTCCTCTTACAGCCCGCCGGTCTTGCGGCTGCTGGGGAGCGAAAAGCCTGTGTGATTTGGTTAGTGTGACTCTGACGACCTTGCGCCTCTGCGAAAGGAGCTGCCATCCTCGATTGAGGAAGGACTAAATTAGCAGCAAAAGAAATGAAAATGAAATATCTCGGCCTCTTGTGCCGCATCTTAAAACTAGGCGCTAAGTTCTAACCCTAGTCCTTAGGACGAAGGAAGCTGGCGCCGGGTGCCAAAAATACCCTATTGGCCCCTGCGCGCGGAAGGTGCCACCAAAGTCTGGTCTACATATGACAATCTATGCGACTCCAACTTGGCTATCACACGCTGCCATCCAACTCTACATTGTTGCATCTGCATCAACTCCTGGCCTCTAGAGTCTACAGCTTTTGCGGTATAATGAGCCGATAAATTTTCTACTCAGCTGGAGTGAGACTCGCCTCACCTACGATAAGCCTCTTTCTACTCGCAGGCTTGCACCTAGTGTAATGGACGACAGAAACTCGGCACTTCACGTGTCGCTTCAACCGAAGAAACCACCTATTTGGACGAAATATGGCGAGAGATTCGGTGTCAGCAACTCATCCAACAGTCTTCCTTCGCGCCAAGCAACCATAGAGCACTATTGGAGTCGTGAAGCCACGCGTGTCGCTGCACAGAATGAACAGGACGCAGCCAGTACTGGCCATTCACCATCTCTTGGTCCGAGGATCGCCGTCCTGCTTCCCGTGTCACCCTCACCAAGCAAAGCATACCCTGGCCCCAAACAGGAGCCTGAAAACGAAGCCCCTTTACCCAACCAGCTGGAACTCCCCAAACGAGTCAAGAAAAATGTAGGTCTCCTGTCCCAATCTCCTGGGCAAGACACTGCCCAGTCTAGCGCGACGCCTCCGCCGTCGTCAACTTCAACACCAAGTTCGTACAGTCGCGGGCGACCAAAGGGATGGAAACGTGGCATGTCATACGCCGCCATGCGCGGAAATACTCCCCCAACATGGAAAACAGTCCGCTCTCCTCGGCAATCTCGCACCAAAGCACCACAGCCAGGCTTTGGGCGCAGACCTGGACGGCCGCCGAGACCCCGTTCACCACCCCCAAAGGATCTTTATCATAAAGCGAACCCGCACTTCGTCAACTTTCTATGCGAGTGGGATGGATGCAAAGCCGAGTTGCACAATTTTGATACCTTGCGGAGGCATCTTCACATTGTCCATCAGCAAAACGGCAAGTGGCCATGTAAATGGGCGCATTGCGGATTGGACGCCTGCGCAGATGCTCGACAGTGGCGGTCTCATCTGGAGGATGCTCACCTGACTCCGTTTCGATGGCATGTAGGCGATGGGCCGAGTAACAGCAGTGGAATGCGTGCCGTGCTGCCCGACGATGCACAAGACGAACTTCCAGATTTCCTAATGGGCTCAGATGGGCAACAAGTGACGCCATCTGTCAAGAACCAACAGATAGAGGACTTTGCAACGTGGAGGGAAAATCGCCGAAAACTTAAGGAATTGTTGATCCAACGAGACCAGAATCTACCGGATGAGTCTTCTGAATCATCTGGGGAAACGGACTGACACTAGGAGGCAAATTAAGGAAACTACACATTCAAAGCACACTTCGTTAGCGCACCACATCTCGTGATGGGCCGACAAAATCGGCATCCAGGTGCAATATGGTGTACAAGACGCCGGCACTTGTGATTCCCGACAAGAAGAGGAGAGAAGGACTCTTGTGGCTCGCTCGAGGCTGACGATGCCCAAGATGTTGACTTGACTTGGTACTGTTACAACCCAGAGGTTGCTACAGACCCCAAAGCCACCATTGTGGCTTTGCCAAAGTGAGCAGAAGCTTATGGCCGCAACCTGCCACATATGATATATTGTATATGGCGCGTTTTCTAATGCGTGTCATAGGCCAGGATAGGGGATGATCCGGCGCAGCCGTTGTGTCAGGGTAACAACAAAGCCTGAATGGTGCTATAGAGAAGCTCTATTCCATAGAGAACCGCGGCTGTCTTGTTTCCTATCCCAGTCAAAGAGCTAGGGAAGCCGAGGAGTTCAGAGTATATATGGTTCTAATGCATTGCGTCATATGCTGTCTCAGCAGCGTGTTCATATGAGTTCAATGCTGATGACAAATGGGTCACCATAGGTAATCCGAGGCTCGATGACATCCGCTGAGGCAGTCACTGCCTGGATAGTCAAACTTGAAGTGTCATCAACATACTGGGCTGGCCAGGCTACCATGGCATCTGACAAGGCTTGCGAGCCTGTGGCACTGCAACGAACTTGTGTAGCGGAGTCCCAAGCAGGCAGGTCCAGGACTAGGAAGTCTAGCGCTGCTCAAAGGTGGAGGGCTTGGTTCAGCGGATATGTTTCCGTTGGGACTCATTGCTAAGAACCACGCAGGTTTTATTAAATATCACCAAGCACTCACAGCCAGAGACACTACGCTCTGAACATCCCTGAGGCTTCAAGACATGGGAAAGGCAGCCCCAACGACCGAGTATGGCCAAGATGGGGCTCGAGTGAGGTGGACAGGCAAATTCAGTTCAGTCGCATCCCGACAGCACAGAGCCGGAATGGACATTTTAGCCGGTCAAGCCGGGGAAGCTTCCCTCCGTTTGGAAGCTCGAAAGTGGTAACCGCAATTGGCAAATGGCAGATTGATTGATTGATTGCAAATGCAGACGTGGGGAAAAAAGCGGTCCGATCGGTGGAACGAGGGACAAGACAAGCCGACGCAATCATCCGCAACACATGGACTGTTAGGTAGGCAGTGCTCTCTCTCAGCTCGGCGCGGAGTAAGACGAAATGGAAAGATTCGCATGACGACAAACCAACCAGACGCCTTGTCCGGTCCAACACCAACACCAACACCAATACCAAATACATTAGCTATTGCTCCTCGATTATGCATATTCGTCGCACTGTTCTACCAAAAGTCGTCTGCTGATGTTTATTGAAAGACTTCTGTAGGGTTGAAGGTGTGGTTTGGGTGTTATTCCTTGTGGCAATCTTGCCTTGCATAAAAGACGCACCCCAACCAACCAGCAAAGGTCGCGGCTCAGCCATTTGGATCCGTCCGCCGAAGGCTTGGAACATGGAACGGTTCGATGACGGGATGACACCGGGTCCACAGCCCTAGGTACTCCGTCCTCGAGCGCATGTGGCCAGTCTAGCATCAAGCATTAGTAGTAGGTAGACACGGAAGTGAGAAGGGGGGAGAGGGAAGGGGCCCGGCGCGTTGCCTGGAGGTTCTTTATTGTACCAGACAATACATGGGCACCTTACGTTCCGTATTGTACAGTACATTCCTTGGGTGGTAATCCGCCGAGACCAATAGAAGTTGGTTAACTGGTTCCTCGCTGCCAGCCAGAAATGTTGAGTCCATGGTCTGGCTTTTTTGCCCTCTTTTGGCTTGACTCTAAGGACTTGAGAGACCCACTGGGCCAGGGCGTCTCAAACACCAGTTGTCCTCACATTAATTCACTCCTAGTAATACGTAGTAGTCTCCAAGTGGCCTGCGCCGTTCAGGCTGACGATGCACTGGTTAGTGACCAGTGGCCAGTGCTGAATATTGAAGACTCCAGCATCGACATTGAAGCCTGGTCTGGTTTGCATCTGGTCAACTGGCGTCTTCCAGTGTGGTGTCTCCAGCAGTGTCTCCAGCGGTGTCTCCAGTGGTGTGTGTCCCCAATGTTCAACATTGAAGCCAAGTCAGGTCCGGTCCCACCTGGCCCTCCCCGACTAGACCAAACTGTGCACGCTGATCCAGTCAATCCAGCGCGGATTGACCTTAATTTAGCATGTATGTAGTCATAGTGGGTGTGTGTCCTGCAGCCAATGATGCCGGACAAGGGTGTGATACGGCGTCTGGTGGTTGTGGTGCGGCTATAGAGCAAGACGCCAGCAGCGGCAGCACATGCGGCAAGCAAAACATCGATTGAGCTCGGATGGAAGGCAGGGTCTGGTCACTGACTCACTAGTGCTGGTGCTTGCTGCGGCAGAGGACCAGTTGACGGGTGCCAGTACTATTGACTCCAGATGTCTGGTATTGACGGCTGCCCCTGCCCACCCGTACGTACATACATGCATGTGTACTTAAGTACCTGGTGTATTGCTTACTGTACCAGATTGACATTGACCACACTTGAATCGTCTTCGCAGCACCGCCGACATGGACCGCTGCCATTGACTGTCTTTCTCCGTCCTCCGTCACCACGCACCCACCGCCGCCGCCACGACATTCACCTCCCTCTTTGCCTCTCAACTCCCCTCATCTCATCTCGAATTGTCCGTCTCCTTCGCCCATCCCCCCCTTGTGCAACGCAAAGAAGGCCCTCCACCCCAGCGTCTTCTCTTTGTTCCTCGGCCTGAATTGCGGACAGACCATGGCATCGACTGATTGATTCGGCTCCTTACTAATCGTCCATCGTCCGTCGTCAACCGTCACCGTCACCCGCCTCCCGCTCCCGTCTCCCGTCACCAGGCCACGCCATGCCCCCATCCAAGGGCTCAAATGGCTCCGGTGCGCAGGTGAGCCACCGTCTCCGAAACTTCTTTCGCATGAACAGCGCCGCCAGCAGTGGAAGCGAAAAGGAAAAGGCCGCCGCCAACAATGCATCCCGCACCTCGGCCTCCAACAATGCTGCTGCCTCCGACATGCCTGGCCCCAAGCCCTCCCGCCATACCAAATTCTTCACCAACACCGTCGGCCGACTCCGCGCCCACACTTCGGCCAGCGAAGGCAATCAGCTCGAAGAGGCCATGAGTCCTACTGCTCACGCAAACCCTTACTTTGCCCACCAGGGCCAACCGGGCCTACGGCATCACAATGAGGGCTCTGTACCGCCTAGCCCGCCGGACACTCCCGAATTGAAGGTTAGCGGCCCCGATGGTATTCCCGCCGACCAGGCCACGAGCGAGACCAAGGAGGAATTGGCTCGCCGTCTGCGGAGGGTTGCTAGTGCCCCCAATGCCCAGGGCTTGTTTGCCAGCGCCGAGTCCAGCTCAGTTCCCGCTCTGCCCATTGGCATACCCGCCGCCCAGCGACCTGCAACCGCCGAGCTCGGCAAGGATCCCCTTGTTGCCGACTCGGAGAGCGGCTCGATTGGCCTTGCCCAGTCTCGGTCCGAATCGTCCAAGAGCGACAGCCATGCCATTGCCGGCGAGGACGTTCTCTCGGCATTGCGAGCACCTAGTACTTCCTTGGCTTTCCGGAGGACGTATAGCTCAAACTCCATCAAAGTCCGCAACGTCGAGGTTAGTCCTGCCAGTTTTGACAAGATTAAGCTCATTGGAAAGGGCGATGTTGGCAAGGTGTATCTTGTGAGAGAAAAGAAGAGCAGCAGGCTTTATGCTATGAAGGGTATGTGTTGTCAAAAAGGTCACCCCAGTTTCAAGCCAAACCACGCTGACATGTTGAGCCTTTATAGTTTTGAGTAAAAAGGAAATGATTAAGCGAAACAAGATCAAGCGGGCTCTTGCCGAGCAGGAGATTCTGGCAACCAGCAATCATCCCTTCATCGTCACGCTCTATCACTCATTCCAGTCTGACGAGCATTTATACTTGTGCATGGAATACTGCAGCGGTGGAGAGTTCTTCCGAGCTCTGCAGACTCGCCCTGGGAAGTGCATTCCCGAAGACGACGCTCGTTTCTATGCTGCTGAAGTTACAGCTGCACTCGAATACCTTCATCTAATGGGCTTCATTTACCGCGATTTAAAACCTGAGAGTATGATGAATCCCTGAACTTTTTTTTTTCGCAGCGTGCCATTTGCGACTCCCCCTTTTTAAGTCTACCGACTAACTCTATTGTGTACGCAGATATTCTGCTTCACCAGTCCGGCCACATTATGCTCTCAGATTTCGACCTGTCCAAGCAGTCTGATCCTGGTGGCAAGCCCACCATGATTATCGGAAAGAACGGTGCCAGGACAGACGCCCTGCCTACGATTGACACCAGATCATGCATCGCGAATTTCCGTACAAACTCATTCGTTGGCACGGAAGAATACATTGCTCCCGAGGTCATTAAGGGTTCCGGGCACACGAGCGCTGTTGACTGGTGGACGCTGGGCATTCTGATCTACGAAATGCTTTACGGCACGACGCCATTCAAGGGAAAGAATAGAAACGCTACTTTTGCCAACATTTTGCGCGAGGATATTCCATTCCCTGACCATGCAGGGGCGCCTCAAATCTCAAAGTATGTTCAACCCAGTCGTTGTTGCCGCGTCGACTTATTGACTTTGTGTGTCACACAGCCTCTGCAAATCGTTGATTCGAAAGCTCCTCATCAAGGACGAAAACCGGAGATTAGGAGCTCGGGCTGGCGCATCCGATATCAAGGCACACCCATTCTTCCGCTCAACTCAATGGGCTCTCATCCGTCACATGAAGCCACCAATCGTCCCCAATCCCACCAAGGGAATCGACACAGTCAACTTCCGAAATGTCAAAGAGAGCGAAAGTGTGGATATGAGTGGATCAAGACTCAAGGGGGTGCCGCTAGACAGCGGATTGGCAACTCCAGGAGCCGAGATAGAGGATCCCTTCAGCGAGTTCAACAGCGTCACACTACATCACGATGGTGATGACCATCACCAACACATTGTTCATCATCCTTCTGTCAACCAACAAGTGAGCGCTTCTTCATAGTGATGGGGGCAGCACACTCTCTCAGCTTGACTGCAATCATGGGTATGGGCAAGGTGCTCACTCGTTCCCTTAGCATTTGGTATTTAGGATGGAAGAGAGTGTTTGACATGGCAGTCTTGTTTTTCCCCCTTGGGGCGGGAGGGGTGTTGTTGACATTTTTCGCTGCGGTGCGCCTGCGTTGTTTCTGCATTCTCCTGAGCCAAACATTTTTGTTTTATTTTTGGCCATTCTTTCATGGTTTTCAGCATGTACTACAATGAGAAGAAGAGACGGACTCGTGGCTTTGGCGACTGGACCACTCATTTGACGTTAGCCTAGCGGCAGCACCGACTGGGCTAGAAGTGCCTGGCTATCTCGTTATCGCCTATGCTCTTGTTTGTCGGGTTGATCTTTTGGTGTTTTTTCTTTCTTTCTTGTTTCTTTTTTCTTTTTTTTTGTTGCACAGAGAAGCGGCGTTTTACCTGTGATTATTGTGGGTTCTATTTGGCGTTATGGGAGGGAAGCGGTAAAGAGCAAAGTTTGATGTATACTGTCACTCAGCCATGAAAGTTCACGTCTAAGCTTCACAGATAGACCAAGGAAGTCTTTTAGTCTCTTATCTCGACCAAGAAAACGAAATTTTTATGCGTTGCACTCGTTCCAAGATGATGAGTGTCTTTTTTTTCACGTCTGGCGTCTTGGAGTGTAGAGGGCATTGGTCATATGCACGTGTAAATGATACACATGACCCATTTTGCCGACATGTGAACTTTGAATGCAATGCCGCTGTCACCCACCTTGCCATGGAGCTTTCATACACCGGAGAAAATGCGTACAATCTTGTCTATGTTGTTTTCCCCCCAGTGGTACAATGTGCGATCGCATGATGTGAGCTGGGGCATGTCCAACCCCATGGTGTGTCGTGTCGTGCCTATCATGTGTTGCGGTGTAGATGGGTAGAGGAAGGGAAAAAAAGACAAAAAAATCCCGGCTCAAAGGGCATACAACATGGCCTGTTTTCCCCATGGCAAAGGTGGTAAAATGGCGACTCTTGAATTCATCGCCATCACCCAGTCGTAGAGTCAACAGCGGCGGAACGCCCGTTACCACTCCCCAAGCCATGTCCCGACAAGCTTACATGTCCCGCCGCGAAGACGGCGTCTCAGCACCGTGCGCACCGTCCCCATCACCAGGCTACGTGCTCGAGTGGTCCGCGAAAGACTCCCGCGCCCAACGGCACCGCCGTATCCTCCCGAGCGTCGAAGAGCTCCGCGCCGAACTGCTAGCGGGCGAAGGCGGCCGGTCCCAGGGCCGCATCCTCGTCCTCCGGGCAGGCCGCGTCGACGGCGCCGTGCGCGAAGCCCTCGTCAGCGTGGCCCGCGTCGACGGCGGGTTCATAGACGCCCACGCCGCGGGGACGCCGTACCGGCCGCGGGGAGGGAGACGCACGCCGCGACGGTGGTGGACCTGCGCGTATCCCGAGGTGGCCGCCGGCAAGGGCCAGGTGCCGCTGTACAGGCCCGGCGACGGGCAGGCCCTGACGATTTCGAGAATGAGCGTCTGGCTAGGCGGCGGCGGGGTGCCGGTCGTCATTGTCGGCGACGGCGCTGGCCCGGAGCGGCGCGACCACAAGCTCCGGCGCGAGCAGGGCGCCGCCGGCTACGGAGCTATTGGGAGCGCGCGCCCCGGCTCGACTGGGCGCGTGGAGATGTCGTCCTTTGAGCAGGACCTCTGGGAGGCGTTGGCGCCCCCGGACGAGGTGGCTGTCGAGGAAGTGCTGGGTGAGGTGGTGCTCGACCGCTGGACGGGCTGCCTGGCGGCGATGCGTCCGGGGACTATCGGCGGCGGCGCGGGCCACATGCAGGAGCGGGAGTCGCTCTGGGCGGCCATGGCCGCGCTCGAGTCCAACCTCGACGAGGCGAGGCGCTTCTCCGGACGGGGGAGGCAGCTCGGCGCCGCGGGCGCGTCGGCGTGGGCGGATCTGCTGCGGCGCTTGGAGATGAGGGTGCGCCTCGGGCAGCAGGGGATCGGTGCCGAGGCGTCTCCGGCTCGCGGCGGCAAGACAGACAACGACCGGAGCTTGGATAGGATCGCGTACCTGGGCGGGCTGATGCTGCCCGTGTCGGCGGTGGCGAGCATCCTCGCCATCGGGGGCGACTACGGGCCCGGGGGCGAGAGCTTCTGGGTGTTTTGGCTGTCAAGCTTTCTGGCGAGCGTGCTCGCGGTGCTGGTCATATATGCCGACCAGCTGCGGACGGTCGAGGTGTGGCTGGAGACGGGGGAGCTCGACGGCGAGCTTCTGCCGTGGGAGGGAGAGGGCTCGGAGGAGCATCTTGTGCAGAGGTGGGCGGACGGCTCGAGGCGCGCGGCGTGGGAGAGGAGGGAGCTGGGCTGGGGCGGTGCCGTGAAGAAGATGAGCGGGTATTACTGGTGGCGGAGGGATCCGGGGTTGGCGTTTAGGAGGCCGCGCGGTGTGAAGCTGGGAGGGTTGTAGATGTGCGAGACGTGGTGTTGACAAGTTCAACGGGTCGACCGGCGTGTGATGGCAGGCGTTTTGGTCCACGTACTTGATAGGCATATTTCGACCCGGACGCAACATGAAGCTTTCCAGACTGTGCGTGGTGGGAGTGCTTTTTTTGATACAAATGCTAGTTGTACAGTCTTTATGCCATGTCCTACGCCTCCTCGACGTGCCCGTCCTTCTGCTTAAACGTCACTTCCTGCGCATTCCTCCTCTTGCCCACCCTCCCCATGCGCTCCAGCCCATCCATCCACGGCCGCAGGACCTCGGGGATGGTCACGGTGCCCGTCTCCTCGTCCCAGCCGTTCTCCAACAGCGCCGCCATGACACGCGGCACCGCCAGCGCCGTCCCGTTGCACGTCCACGGGAAGCTGATCTTGCCGTCGACCCGCGTGCGCGTCGCCAGCCGCCTCGTCTGGTAGTCCGTACACGTGCTGGCCGACGTCAGCTCGCCCCAGCCGCTGTTGATGGACTGTCTGCTGGGGAACCAGGCCTCCATGTCTACTTTGCGCGTGGCCGAGGCACCCAGGTCTGCAGTCGGCATGGACAAGACGCGGCAGTAGAGCCCCAGTGACTGCAGAATCTCCGTCTGGATGTCGAGCATCTCCTCGAACACGTCCTGCGCCTCGTCCTCGCCGGGGCTCGTCCACGCAAACATTTCCACCTTGGTGAATTCGTGCACGCGGTAGAGGCCCTTGGTGTCGGCGCCACGCGCGCCTGCTTCGGCGCGGTAGCACCGAGACACGGCGACGCGCTTCATGGGCAGGTCCTCCGGGTCCAAGGTGGTGTTGGCCTTCATCCCGGCGAGGGAGATTTCAGATGTTCCCGCGAGGCACATTTCGGGCACGCCGCGGTCCGCATCGGCCTTGGATTGCGCAATGGCGTAGACCTGCTGCTCGCCGTGCTGGTCGCGTGGCTGGAAACCACACGCCGCTCCGATGTGGCTGTATACCATTGTCGGCGGCGAAACCTGAGTCCAGCCGTACTTGGTGGCGACGGCGAGCGCATACTGCACGAGGGCTTGCTCGAGTTGAGCGGCCTCGCCGACGAGGTAATACCATCCCCAGCCGGAAGCTGTGGCCGCGCCTGAGAAGTCGAACAGTCCCAGCTCCGAGCCGACATGCACGTGCGACCGCCAGACTTTGTTCTCGGGCGAGTTGTCAAAAGCCGTCGGCGGGTCGTTGACGTAGCTTAGAAGAACAGCCTCGTCTCCGCGAGGAGTGTCGGGGCTCGTTAGATTCGGAATCTCCAACGCGAGCGCTTCCATCTCGGCAACGGCCTCAGCCTCGCCCTTCTCGATGACGGCCAGTTCACCCTTCAGCTTCCTCGCCTCGTCCTGCACTTGCTCCCTGCCCATCTCCCGAATATCCTCGACATCATCATCCCCGCTGCTCGTGGCCGGATTCGCGAGGAATTTCCGCAGCAAATTTGACCTCTCGCGGAGTGCGCGCCCCTGTCGTTGCAAGACCTGCCATTCGGAATGCAGCTCCAGGATCCTGGCGGGGTATGTTGCTTGATTTCTGTAGTTTCGCTCCAGGCATGTGAGCTCATATAGCTCTGGGTTTTGACGAATGTGCTTGATGTCGATGATGGGCTTTGGCGCTATAGGCGGCCGCTTGTTGTCTGCAAATGTGCGCGCAGAGACGGCTCGCGTTTGTAGCTTGAGACCCCGACAGCGTAGACATGTCAGTGCTCGATTCATCGTCTTGGAGTGGTGATGCTATGAGCTTGAGCTCATGCTCATGCAACTCCGACGAGGGTGTGAGTGAGCTTGAGTTGAGGTGAAGCTCTCTGCAGCTTTTGGGGGGGTGGGGTCGGTCTAATAATGCAATTGGCCGAAATGGGGGACGCCAGCATTTAATGTCAAGTACATTGTACGTACCAGACAGTAGACTTGAATAACTGCCAGACTACACTCAACTGGGCAAGCGGATAGACTTGTCAAAAGTCAGAACATGCTTGTTCATTTATGAAAGCAGGCTTGTCGAATACATGCTCATGTACATTTCATGCGTCTAAATCAAGTGGTATCTTCTGAATGCACACCAACTCCTCTTCGCCTCACCTCGCCTCATGTCACCTCACATCCATCACCTTTACTACAAGGCACCCCAAACGCCGAGGGTCCAGTTTGTGTGATGGCCTCCAGTTCCTCTGATGGTGCCCATACTTTGCCGCTGCTGGTTCTTGAAATCAACATCACACGGACGAGATGCTCCGTTTGCGCCTTGCTGCAACCACAGCTCCCTATCTATGGTGGCCAAGGCTGGAATTTTCAACTGACACATCAAGCTGGCACCCGCCCAGGCTCCCAGCGAGTGAATAGCTCGCAGCCGGCCCTGGACCTGGGGCCGTATCGGCCTGTTGCGTGTAATCTTGGCCTCGACTTGGTCTTCTTGGGAATCTGTCGTTCCCGATTCCGACCGCAACCCATCAGAATCGTCACCGCCGGACTCTGACGTCCCAACAGAGGAGGTGCTTGACCTTTGGAGGCTAGCCTTGCGTTGGGCTCTGCGGCCGTTTCGCAAGGCCTCGACGCTTTGGCCAAACACAGGCTCCCAACCCCTTCGTTCAACAATGCTCGTAATCTCGTCCAAAATTCTCTCCTTTACACCTAGAATATTCGAACAGCCCCCGGTGAAAATGATTCGAGACATGCAGACTGCCCTGACGTCAACAGGCAGCTGAAGCAGGTGCTGATATACAAGCAGGTGGAGGGGCAGTTCGTGGTCATCAAAGGTGGTCCGAGCTGCTGAAGGGTCGAAAAATGAATCATCGCAGACATCGGCAAGCTTATTGAAGGGTATGTGGATAGTTGAGGGAGGGTTTGTTGATCGAAGTGGCACTTCGGCTATGCCGCTCGGCTGATTTGACTCTCCTTCATTTTCGTCCTGCTCCTCCACCGTGTCCAACTGAGTAGACTGTCTCTGAGATGACTTGAAGGCCGAGGGTCGACACCACATGAGTCGACACAGTATTTCCTCGCACTCTTCAAAAGCCACGGCTCTGTCTTCTGATTCGTCGTCTCCTGCAGAAGGGATCAAGGCATGAAGCAGTTTGTATAGCGCATCATTAAGACTCCTGCCACCCCTGACAGTCCTCGAGCTTTTCACTTCCCTGTATTCGTAAACACTGGTCACGGCAGTTTCGTTCCAGCCCATGTCCACGATCAATGCTGACCGTACGCCGGCTCCCACAGTTACCATTGTGGGAGTCGACATGAGAGAGATGATTGGGGTTTGGAAGTTGGTGAACAAGGTGTCCAATACAGAAGATAGAAGAGGAAGTGGAACAGCCGAATCCAGGACAAGACCAAGTCGTCTCGGCCTAGAGTCAATGAGCAGAAACCTAGACACACACAATGAGCACTTGTTCAATCGTCATGCCATCACCGCACGCTACCTTGTAAATGCTTCTCGCAACAGTCGGTCAAGCTTGTCTCGAAACAAGCCCAAGTCGACATCGCGCACGTCATAACGCCATATTTCGTGATCGGCGGCCCATTTCCTCGAAGGACCCGAAGCCGGTTCCTGCCAGGCTCGAAAATCACCAACTCGCCGTTGCTGTCCTGGTCCACATGACAGGCAGGCTTTAGGCAAGGAGTCGCCTGCAAAGCCAGCTCGAATATAACGCGAGCCGATCTCGAGAAGTACAAAATCGTCTTCTGCACGGATCGTTGATGGCGACCCAAATGAGGATGTGACGGTCCTTGGCGGGGTGTGAGGCGTTGATGTACTGGCCGGCGCTTGTGACGTCCCTGATCTTATCGTGGCCACGCTCCTGTGCGCGAGCGTAGTGCTTGCGCCAGAAGACATGGCTGGGGATGCAGATGCAGGTTAATTTTTAAGAGTGAATTCCAATTCGGCTCGGTGCTGTAAGACGACCAAGCTCATCACCAAAGGCGTGGACCAACCAGCGCCGGCTCAGGCGATAGATATGCACTTAGTGAATGTGGTACCTACATAAGCGGGCTGCAGTGACGGACCAGTTGACCCCTGATCAAATGCTTCCTGCCGCCTGTGTGGCCTCTGGGGTCGGCCCACAAAGTCAACAATGGCAGGCGTCGCTGAGGCGACGTGGGGCATTTGGCTCATCAATCACCTCGACCCCCGATTCTCCAACTGCAGCCACGCAAATCAAATGCCAATTTTGGGAACAATGCCGACCTGGAATGGGCATCAAAGGGTGCATAATGCCCCCAATCCTATATTCCTGCGCATAGCTAACTGGCTGAAGTATTTACAAAGAGCTCGGTCCGGGCAAGCGGATCTCGCTCTCCAAGCTTGCCGCTGATAGCTTGGAGTCGGCAAACCGACCGTATCGCATTGCTATTGACTTTGCAATATGGCACTTCCAGACACAGGCTGCACAAGGTCTGCACACCCGCCTCGCTACATATAGTCTGGCATAGCCATGACTCATCATGCTGACCTATCCAGGTGGTACCAATCCGGCATTGAGGACTCTGTTCTATCGCCTAGTTCGACTCCTCGGGACCCCAATACAACCAATCTTTGTGTTTGATGGGTCAAATAAGCCCATGTTTAAACGAAACAAACGATCAGGACGAGGCGACGGCGCTACAACGGCAGCGGCGAAGCACCTGATACGATTGTTCGGATTTCCTACCCATGATGCCCCCGGCGAAGGAGAAGCGGAATGCGCCCTCCTCCAGCGACACGGAATAGTTGATGCTGTTCTCAGCGAAGACGTCGACACAATAATGTTTGGATGCACAAAAACACTCCGTAATTGGTCTTCCGAAGGGAAAACTTCCACAGCACCAACCCATGTTTCTCTATACGACGTTGGGGACATGGCGTTGGGAGACCTAGGTCTTGATCGTGAAGGCATGGTGTTAGTTGCATTAATGAGCGGCGGTGACTATCTTCCAGACGGAGTACCCGGATGTGGTGTAAAAGTAGCCTGTGAGGCGGCCAAAGCTGGCTTTGGAAAATCAGTTTGCCGTCTAAAGGTATCCGATAAAGACGGTATACAAGCATGGCGGAATTCTCTACGGCATGAGTTACAAACCAACGAAAAAGGCTATTTCAGAACGAAGCACAAGGCGTTAACGATACCAGAAGACTTCCCCAACATCGAAGTCCTGCGCTACTACACCCACCCAATAGTGTCTTCCGAATCCAGTATTGAGGCTATTCGTCAAACAATGGAGCAAAAGCACGTATTTCATCTAACCGCATTGCGCGAGTTTACGCGAGAGAATTTCGACTGGGACTACCGTATAGGGGCTGTCAAGTTTGTCCGAGTTCTAGGACAGGCAATGCTTGTTCGCGACTTGGCCAATTCCCAAATTGCCGCCCAGCATGTTAAACGCATTTCTGGGCGACGAACACACTTTAGCACAGATGGCACACCCGAATTACGCTTGGCCTTTATCCCTGAGGAAGTTGTCCCCATTGATTTGGCGAAAGAAGTTGACGAAACTGTCAATCCTGGCCGAACAGGATTGGCGTTGAACAGCGACGATGAGTTCGACACTCCTGAGGGCGTCCCTACCATTAACGCACCAAAACTGTTTGACATTTCCAAACCCGATCTCGCCTGGGTGCTGGAAGGCTTGGTGAAAAATTCCGCCTCCGACGTTTTCCAAGAATGGCAATTGAAAGAACAGGCCAAGGCTGTCCGACGATCTCCTACAAAGACAAAGAAAAAAGCTGGTATAACCAAAGCTCTCAAAGGCTCCGATATGCCTCGAGGCTCACTTGACAAGTATGTCACAGCCACAAAGGCAGCTCTTGCTAGCAACCAAGGTTCTTCCAAAGCTCTTGAGCCAAGTTCATCACTCCACAAGAGCCTTGCGCGTCCCAAAGCCACGCCGAGCATAAGTAAGCAATCCTCGTCCTCGCCTACGAGGAGTCCGAAAACAGCGGCAACCATTGAGGTAATCGACAGCTCACCAGTCATGCCTAGATCCCCCAGGAGGCAACCAGACGCGATCTATATTTCATCAAGTCCCCCAGCGCCGGCATCCCGTTCTCCTCCTGCATCTCCTTCCCCGTCAGGTTCAGTTTGTAGTACGGCTTCCAAAATCCCACAGTCTCAAGAGGTTCCCGAATCAATACGCTCAATTCTTCAGGCGAGCCATTGCTCTAAGAGCCTGAAAAATCCACTTCAACGGCAAAGACAACATCAGGAGCCTAAAACGAACAGCTTGACGTTGAAACAGTCTTCTATGGAACTGTTTCTCAGTAAATCCAAGAGGAAAGCCACCGAAAAGCGAGTAATACTGATGAACAAGGAAGGGGAAGGGGAAGGGGGAATAAATTCCGACTCGGACTTGGAATCAATATCAGCGCTAGCACGGTCTCCCTCACCTATTCAGCCAGTCTTAAATCAGGAGACGGCTGCAGTTGGCCAGGGGGCGTCATGTTCGAGGGGACCGGGGCCATCACCAAAGAACAAGCTTTTTAGGGCAAGGCTTTCAGGTTCCGGCTTTTTCGAGGAAGTCGAATTAGATGAAGAAGAGCGCAATGCGGAATTAAATACAAAGTTGAGCAGAAAGGGAGCCGCCGTTCGGTGGAGTGATGTGTCAATCATTGATTTGACAGCCACTGATAAATAGCGAGCATAAGGCATGGGTTTATACTTGTATAATCATATTCATGGGGGATCATGTACGATAATGTGAGAGAATATAAGCTGGAGGCCATGTGTCTCTATACGGCCCATATCGCTACTTCTTTCACTACACAATGCGTGCTTCTGCGTGACGGTACTGGATTCCTACCTTTTGCGGTTAAACCATCCCGGTAGAAGAGGGTGTATCCAGCGTGTGCAGTATTCTTGTTTTGCTGAGTGAATTTACCAAGACACGACGGCGCAGAGAGGCGTCTATTACATACTCTCTCGCATCGGCAGTCAGAGCCCCTTTGTATTTGCCGCTTGGCAGTCCGCACATGCGTGTTTGATGCTACAGTATGACAGTTGCTTCAGGAAGTCAACGGTTGGCCTCTGCCAATGATTTGTAACCGTCATTGTGGTGAATGCAAATGGGACGACGCCTGTTATCTGTGTTCACTATGGCGCGCCGGCTGCCCAGACTTTCTAGTGTTGAATTCTAAGAGGGGGGGAGGAGCGCCTACACGTTGACTTGTTATACCTGGCATCTCATCGGTGAGGGTGTCAGGTGGCTGGCATCGTGTGAAATACGTCTTACCACCGAGACGAGATGGTCTTGAGCCAGCTCCTCAGTCTGCCTGGTATGCTGACGAGACGAAATGGCCATCTACCTGATCATCTCGTACTATGGGCCAAGAATGGGCGGGGACAACTGGTATTCATGTCACGTCATGTCATATGTCAAAGTTGGTGTCTGGCAATGTCGAGGACACGAGGACGGAGATGAATAACAAGACAGACGAGAGGTCCCTACGCGGGTTCACGGCTTGTCCTTTCTTGTATCATGTAGACAATTCGTCAATGTGTATGTACTATTTTGTCTTGACCCTGTTCTTCCTGTAGAATACATTGCACGCCCGACACGCCGCGATGCACCGATATCCCATATTTTCCAAACACAGTAGCCCAACGCTATGCACACGTCACTACGCCAAGTGATGCAGAACCTACGGTATGCTATGCAGTTTTATGCAGAATGACCAACCTCCTCATCAGCCTTCACCCATGACCAGATCAGGGTCGACCTCGGTCCCCAGATCCCTCTCCTCGAGGAACCTCCGGCCGACGAGCTCCCCGGGGAGATAGGTCTGACGAACCCTGCCGTCGCGGTAGTTCGGAGGATACTTGTACTCGGCGCCGTATCCCATGTCCCGCATAAGTCGGGTGGGCGCGTTCCGCAGATGCAGCGGCACGGGGAGACTGGCCACGCCCGGCTCGCGCAGCGCCGCGTACGCACTATTCAGGGCCCGGTACGCACGCGTGCTCTTTGGCGCGAGACACAGCGCAATGGCGCAGTGGGCCAGCGGGATCCTAGCCTCCGGCATGCCGATTTGCTGCGTGGCCGTGTACGCCGCCGTCGCCAGGGGCAGGAGGGTGTTGTCCGCCAGGCCGACGTCTTCCGAGGCGATGACGACCATGCGGCGGGCGATGAAGAGGGGGTCTTCGCCAGACTGCAGCATTCTCGCCAGGTAATACAGTGCTGCGTCGGCGTCGTTGCCCCGCACCGACTTGTGAAAGGCCGAGATGGAATCGTAGTGCTGGTCGCCTCCCCTGTCGTACACGAGCGTCTTGGTCAGCGACGACTTGATGTCTTCCTTGGTGATGCCCTCGCGCGTGGTCAGCGACAGCGCCACCTCCAGCAGGTTCAGTGCTGTCCTCGCATCTCCGTCGCTGAACCTGGCCAAGTAGCCCATCATTTCGTCGTCTATCAGCGGCGTCGGCGGGTACACCGCTTCCTCGGCCTCTCTGGCTCTCTTCAGAATACCCGTAATGTCTTGTTCGGTGAGCGACCGCAGCGTAAACGTGCGGCACCGGGACAGCAGCGCATTGGCGACTTTGAAGGACGGGTTTTCCGTCGTCGCCCCTATCAGTGTGACCGTCCCCGCCTCGACGGGCTTGAGAAACACATCTTGCTGCGCCTTGTTGAAGCGATGTATCTCGTCGCAGAATATGATTGTCCTGCGGCCCGTGAGAGCCAGTTCGTTGGCGGCTTCTTGGAACAGCTTCTTGCATTCGGACACGCCCGTGCTCGTGGCGTTGAGCTCGATGAAGCGACTCCCGACCATGTGGGCTATACATCTCGCGATGGTGGTCTTGCCAGTGCCCGACGCACCCCAGAGTATCATGGACGGGACGCGATTTGTCTCTATGAGGCCTCGTAATACGCCGTTGGGCCCTACAAGATCCTGCCCGCACACGTCGTCGAGCGTCGTGGGCCGCATCCTCTCGGCCAGGGGAGCTGAGCGTTGCGTCTTGGCCCTCTTTGAAACTTGCCCGTCTTCTTCCTGTCCGTTCACCACGCCATTTTTTTTGGCCTTCTGGTCGACAGCCGAGAGGCCGGAGCCCTCGTTCCCGGCACCGGGTCCTTCATCGAAGCTACGCTTCTTCCCAATGATGGGCGGGAACGTCCCATTCACAAGAGGGGCCAATGCCTTGCCATCGGAGTGTATTCGTTTCGGCGCGGGCGTTGAGAAGAAACTCGACGCACTGCGCTTCTGCTGGGAGGGCGTATGAGAAGTTCCGTTTTGCTGCGACGTGGGTGGCGAAGGGTCCTTGTCGGCGATGAAGCTTGTGCAGCCAGAGTCGATGTGGCTATTGATTTCGGACGATTTGACGGGTTTGTTGCATATGGGACAGTCGACTGCCATGGTCCATTGGCTCTGGTTCGAGCGGTATCAGCGGAGGTAGCGCTAGTATGTTTGGTGGCAATGGTCGGGTGTAGTTGGTTTGGACTTGGCAGATTTATTTGCAAAAAGCGCGAAGACGCGAATCGCACATGCGAGTTTAAGTGATGTGACGCGCTGTCTGGTGGCTTGGTGGTGCACATGTGCTCAGCTACAAGCACGGGTATTAGCGGGGCCACGGGTGTCAATTGGGGGAACCTGGGGCATGCCACCAGCACTGAGACGTCAAGCAAGACTGGAGGAGGCACAATCCCATCATTATTATTCTTTTATTATTTTTATCAACTCTTTTTTTATCAACTTCATATTTCTGATGTGGATGCTCATGCAGTAGCCATGGCCATTAGCCATCTCACCATCTATCTAGTACGAGTCTCCTAACCCGTACGTCCCACCACCACAGCTGACAACTCGACTTCATATCATTGTGTGGTCAGCTTCCATGTGCCGAGGCATGCAGGTACGCAAAGCCTTAACGTTGCACAGCAAATGAGATAAAATGAGCTGAATTTCCAAAGTTGGAGTCTGTAAGTGTATTACTACCCACCGCCTCTCGCTGTCAACCCATGTACCACTGCCGCCTCCCAAACGTATGTTTGTTAGCCCTATCAAGTTAAAGCTTGTAGCATAAAACTCCATCAAGTACACCCAAAACGCCGTATCTCATGCATGCAAGTCATACTATATAGCCTCCTCCATGCAACTGATCACTTGATGGCCTCACTCTTCCCGTAACACTGCCTCCAGCCCCAAGATTCTATCTATATACACAATTCGCTGGCTTTACATTGACGTCTTCAAAGTCCGAATCTTCGGCGACGAAATGGCGTTTTCGGCCTTCCTTTTGCCCAAAACAGGCTCGGGTGTTCGCCGGGAGGGACCAGGAGTGCCTTCACGGTCTCTCGTGGCTTCAGCGTGGCACGACGCATGGTACGCTCGGTTGCCCACGAGGACAGCGTCCAGCCAAACCCATTCTTGCGCCGTGTCGAGCCACTTGTTTTCGAACCTCTCTTGGCAGATTGGGCAAACGTTGTTGATGCCGCTCGCGGGATCCGGCACGGGGATATACTTGGGTCCCTTGTTCGCTTCTGATGCCTGCCCAGCACCGTCGTCGGGTGCCGGAATGTGATCCGAGTCTACTGTCTCGCGAGAGCGAAGCCAATCCTGGATATCGTCTTAGTAACTCCATCGCAACCTCACTCGAGCTATTCCTTCCAACATACCTGATAATCCACGTACCAACTTCGGTGCGTACCCCTCTTCTCGGCTTCTGTTGTTCTCTGGTGAACACGAAAATGCCAGTCCATGTGAGCCATCTTCTTTCGCTTTCCCTCCTCATCCGTCTTGAATCGTCGTCCACATTGCGAGCAAGGCGGACCGAGGTTATCATAGAGAGCAGCAACAGTACTGGGGCGGAATCTAGAGCTTGTTAGATTTCATGTGATGCGAAAATAGAGGGGGAATTGTACCGCTGTAGGAATTACGTACTGTTGTTTTAATGACGTCGAGTCTAGGACGGGGCCATTGAGACCATCAAGTCCCTGTTGGCTGGCTGCTGCCTTTGCCGAAGCCAATATGCTGGAAATGTTCAGAGGTAGTATTGACTGAGGCGGCGGCGGCGGAGGAGGAGTGGCGACAACTGGTACACCACTACTTGGAGGTGTAGCAGATGGTATCATGCCTGCTTGACGAAGTCGTTCCAGCAAGGACATCGGATTCTGAGGAGGAGGCTTCGGTGTTTCTGCATGGGTCGGAGGTGGCGATCGGATGGGAGCATTAGGAAATGGGGCCGCAGGAGTGGCATTCTGTGATGCTGCCGCCTGCCTAGCCATGAGTGCTGCCATTGCTCCTGGTCCCAGGAGAGAATCGAGCGTTACTTGAGGCTTCTGCTCAGGCACCGAGGCTGGGACTGGAGTTACAGGCGCAGGATGAGATGGTGGGTGGCCTTGAGGGGGCACATACCCAGGAACTGGCGTCGAGTTCTGGGATGGCGTTGCCTTCATCGTCACGGCAGCAAGTTCAGTTACTTTGTTTTTAATAAGCTCCAGCTGATCAGGTGGCAAACTAGTATTGCGCACAACGCCTTGAAGATCGAGCAGGGCTTTTAGTCTGTTTTGAACACTATTATCATTTGGGTTCTGTGCGAACTCTGCCCTCATGGCAACAATCAAATTCTGAATGTCATTGCTCAACGTTTCTACACTTATTCCAGCCAGTGTCCCCGCCCCTGCAGACCCATATGGTCCGGAGAGGAGCGGTTGGAAAGAGGCCGGTATAGAGCCATGTGGTTGAGGAGTTGAGGAGCTGGGGAGGAACTAGGCGGTGCATAGTCAGCAATGAAATCTTTTGTGTAGAATGGAGCCAGGAGGCTTCTTACCTGCTGTTGTTGGCCGGGGTATGGCGCCTCGCCGGGTCTGCTGCCATTGGGATAGCCATATTGCTGCGCAGGATACGGGCCAGCCGGACCACCAGGCTGCCCTCGCATGCCGGGAGGCGTAGGTGTGTTCCGGTGAGGTATCATGGCAGAGCGTGGTCGCCCAGGGATGGCTCCCGGTTGCGGCATCGTCGCGGCTCTGGCCTTCATAAGGGCATTCTCTATTGGACGAACCAGTTCGTGCGAGAAGACAGGGCGCGTGTCCATTGATCCAGGAACAGGATCCTTCCAAGTCTTGAGCATTTCTTCCATCTTCCTCCGTACGTTGTTGTCGACCACGGCATATGATTCCATAAATGTTTTGAATAGATTTCGACCAAAGTACAATGTGTATGGCGTGCCGACATTCTTCACAATAGAGTCGAGCACGTAGAGGGCGGGCAATTTTTTCGTCGGGGGTGCCTAACGGTGGGTTAGTTATGCAACTCAACACGATACGTCGTTTGCTTCATGTGTAGATTTATACCTTCAGAATATGTTGTTGAAGAACCTCGGCAATGGCCAGGGCGTGTTCCGTATTTTCTCTCGCAATCACGGTCAAGTTGCTAATCTCGAACCTCATGTTGGAAGAGAGATCTTCCAGAGCATGGCGGTAGTCCTCCGCAACCTCGTCGGCTTCCGACATGACTGAAGCTGAATTGAAGAGATCTTAACTAATTACCAACTGTTCTTCACCCTTTATCTGCCTATTGGGGAAATCAAACTGGGCCGTGGCAATGTCGTTCTCAAACCTGGACCAAGCCGCCGTACCGGGCAGCGTACTTGGACCCAGGGGTAGGAAACAAAAAACAGGGCAAGAAACCAAGCACGGGGGAATATTTCTTCTAAGGTGTTAAATTTTTTATATCCAGAGATTCCCTCCTGGGTGCATCCACCCTTGCCAACAACAATCAGTCGCCTGCCTGACCTGGTGCGACCTTTCAAGTACCACAGACAGATGTATCGCAGTCGGACATACTTCAGAGGATGCTAAACGCTGCAAGTGTCCCTCTAAGGAGAGGTTTTACCGACAGAATTTGTATCCAGGACCTTCAGAATCGTTCGTTGCTCATGAAGTGTTCAAAGACGACCGGCAAGTTGTTGTCTGGCGAATCGCGGTAGGGGACAATCAGGCAAAATCAGTTACAGGGTGCGCTAAGCAGAATATGGAGACGTATGTCGTTATTTAAGGGCGTCAACGAGTCGCTTTGTTCATACGCACGGCGAGGTCGATTTGTGTTGGGTTTGAGGATAGCTTGTTCAAGGGCAGCTCCCTGGAAAGAAAGGGCTTTTGGTCGTCGTCCTTTTGGCAATGAGGCACGGGTCACGGGTCACGTGTCACGGCGCCGAGCAAAATCGGTTAGGCTCAATGGTGCAGAACTGCACGTCAGCCATGCAACCAGGCTTCTTTACTCGTCAATGTGCCATCATCCACAATGTTTGATTTGAGGAGCAAACACAAGATAACAAAGGACATCAAGGCTTTGTTTGACGACCATCAACTAATCAGAAGGCACGTTCACATTGAACCACACTTGTCCCCTTCTTTACAGACCACAGGAAATATTTTTTCTATGTTGCAATTACTTGTCTATATCCAGCCTTGAATTGCGGAAAACAAAAGGGAAACAAATGACTAGCCGGATTTCCGTGAGTCCGGGGTATACTTCAAAAAAACAAGAAGAAGAAAAAAAGTCAAGTTAGGGACGCCTCCAACGCCAATTCTGACGTCCATTGTTGTAGTGTACAAAGGCACTCATTCAATTCTTAGATCCGATTCGGGTCGGGATCCGAATACAGATCCGAATACATACTGCTGCTCCCAGAGTCTGTGTTGTTGTGCATCGGGTGCATGACAGTGGGAGGTCGCCGAAGCCCCGGCATGACGGGACTAAAACGGTCCTTTTCACTATGACCTCTTTCAACATCGATGACAGGGGCGCTGATTTCGGGTCGGGCGGACTCCTTTTTCTTGCTGAACAGAGTCGTGGCCTTATCCGTGAAGCGAGTGAAGCACCCGGCCTTTGCGCCTTGTTTTCCGTACTGGTCTGTGTAAGTGGATGCGTAGGCCGGTGGAGATTGTCGACGGCCTTTGGCCAAGGCGCCGTTGGCACGAACATCGCGGGAGGTAATGCCTTCTTTTCCATTTCGCCACACAAAGGAGCACACAATGTTCGTTACGCCAAAGATAAAGGCAAGAACCCCAGCCGCAAGGGTAAGCTTGAGAAAGGGGGCCGCGACTTTCTCGCTATCCATGGCCGGCGTGTTGAGGTTACCGAAGATATTGCACCCCAGCAGGAGCATAATACTTCCCAGCCATGCTACGCCGTGCACGTCGGACAGCACTGGCCAAGATGATACGAAGTAGCGTTTGACTGCTTTGAACACGGGGAACTCGGAAAAAAGGAGGATGAGGCAGATGATGGAGTTGCAGCAGAGTGAGGCGCACTCAAACACAAAGTAGGTACGCGATTTGTCCACGTTGAGGATGAAAACCCAGTACGCTACACCCATTGTGGCGAGAGTGATGACGGTGCAAAGGCGAAGGATTTGCAGAACAATAATTCCCACGGCGTTGTCACCCGCATTAGCGGCAGCAGGGCAGAAGATTTTGACGATTTTGGACCACATTTTGGCTGGCCTTGGATCGGAAGTAGGATGCTGTGTAGAAAAAGACGTAAGCAAAAGTAGACCCTCGCCTCAATATGGCTTGAGAAGCGGTTAGTCCATACAGTTTTATGAAAGATTATTTCGGAATAACAAGAAGGAGATGAGACGACAAGTCTGGCCGAGGCTGCAACGATGTGTGTGCCCACACGGTAGGTCGAAAGGACATGTAGTTTACAACAAAATTAGGAACCGATATGGCGATGTGGTACAATTCGAAATTCGGAGGACCAGCCTCGTGTTGGTGTTTAGACACGGGAAATGAGGGTGAGGTAAACGGAATGGCGCGTTTGGGAAGAAGATGAAAAATAAGGAATGCGTAAGGATGAAATATCAAAACTCAACAAAGAAGGGAAAAGTGGTAATTGTTCACTAGCGAAGCACCATTGTCTAGGATGTTCAATAGAGGAGAGAGGGCGAAGGTGAACAGAGATCCAGTCCAGCTGCGTCTTTAATAAGTCAGAGCCTCGCACAACCATGAACAGTCACAGAACAATCATGCGGCATCAGCATTCAGGGACAAGAGCAAACCACCAACGGAATTCTCCTTGTCCCCCCCATGTCAGAAGCCGTGTTTGATGGAGAAGCGCAAGCGATATCCCACGGCGGTTTTGCGAGATGGCATCATTGGCATGGTTCGGGGTCCCAACAGCACTCCCCGGCGCCGGACCTGCAGATTTCAGGCTCACGAGATCCAACCATCCAAAGGCCAGGAGCAAGCCGTACGGACGGCGGACGGCGGCAGGCGGAGCATGATCAGCATCAATGTTTCATGGTCGACGGGATAGGTCGCGATGGAGCTAGAAACCACAAAGTGTCACGGCGGGCTGGTGCTGGCAGCTGCGGGAAGACAAACTTGGGCTGAAGAAAACTGGGACGCATGCTGGTTCAGAGAGTGAACAGCGCTATGGAAGGGATCCAATGAATCACGCTTATAGTCAAAAGACAAAGAATGCATCAGACATCAGACGCCGGCGGCATAGATGTCTTTGCTGGGATAAGGTTCCAACGTCGCGATTCGATTGGCCGAGAGCAGCCGAGTCGATCAACGGTTTCAAACCTCAGGCGGCGGGCCTGGCCACGGCCAGAGAGACCAGTACTGCAAGTGACTGGAGAGTCGAGACTTTTGCCAGGCGTGCCGAGAGGAAGGGCGCCTACTGATGCAGGACGGGGCAATGCGAACGTTGGGCGTTGATAACGGCATCTCTCTCTTTTTTTGTCCCCTCACTTCTGCTCATGTCTCGCCCGAAAGTGACACGATGCTAGTATTTTGGCATGGCTGAATCTTTGTGTCATGGTCTGTTGCCCAGTGTCAGCGGTTTGTGCGTACATGTACATACTACTCCTCGGGACTGCACACCCACGTGCCCATTCAGCCATGATTTACAGATGGGCCTTTGGGACTCCTGCACGTCAAACAGCCGGCAAAGAAAAATGCCGCTGCATTGTGCAGTCGATGCATGTCCATCTGCTCACTGCCTAACGTGAGTAGCTATGTACGTGCAAGGCCTCGTCCAACACACCATGGACACGATCCCCTTTGCGGCCACCTTGCAGAGTAGCCTCCCAGCCCATCTGTGAACACAAAGCGCCCCAAAGGGACAAAAAAGAGGGAAAGGGAAGGAAATGGATTTAAAAATAGAAAGATTATTATTCTCCGCGCTTCACTGTTCCACCCGGCCGCCGCCGCTCAGGCCTCATCGAAGCGATGACGGCGCGTAACCACACCGTGCCGTCTCTGTGCCTGAAGCTGGCACGACAGTCAACTGAACTGATCTCGACAGCGACCCACAGCGCCTGATTGGCTCCCTTCTCTGGCCGAGAACCCTCAAGTGCGTACCGGCCGGCCACCTACTCTACCAGGTAGATACAGTGCATCCTCCCCGCCATCCAACGACCCTCTTATCTCCCTCCTACTTTCCACCCTCGCCCGACCGCTCATTCCTTCCTCTACGTTTTTGCTATCCCGCCCGCCCGCTTCCGACTAGCTCCATCCAGGCATCCCGCGCTTTGCGACGAGGGGAAGAAAAAAAAAAAGAACAGCAAGAGGCACAACACCAGCCATGGCCCGTGGTAATCAGCGCGACAAGGCCCGCGAGGCCAACCTGAAGAAACAGGCCGCTCAGGTACGTCTGCCTTTGCCCGGCCACGAGGCTACCACTGGGCCTTGGACGCGCCTTCTCAGCCGCCCTTCGCATTACATACACCCTCGAGTCTGAACGCTGACAGCTGGGCTGCTGTAGAAGAAAGGCAACGCCATGACCGGCAACGAGATGCAGCGAGCCAAGGAGAGTGCTGCTGAGATTATGCGCCAGAAGCAGGCGGCTGGTACGACCCCTCCACCCCCGTGTCACATCGTTCTCCAGATCTCTCCGTCTGCCATGGTTGTGTAGGAATTTTTGATTTTTTTTCCTGGGAGGAGGAAATGCTGACAATTTGGTTGTGGTTCAGCCGAGGCCAGAAAGGCCGAAGCCGGTGGCAAGAAATAAAACGACGACCCTTGGTCGAAACACTCACCACCGTCGACTCCCGTTGTCCAGACGTACGAAAGGCGACACGAATACAATGACTCGACGGCCAGACATCTACGGCGTATACAGATCGGGAGGGCAGCTCATTCTAGGATAGCAATGGCGAATAAGGGCGTATGACTTTTTGATGTTGGCGCTTTGGGATCTCTTATGTTAGGCACTTAATAAACTAACCTTTCCGCCGTCAACGTCCTAATGACGTTTCATGTGCTTTTCATTTCTTCAGATGCACAATTACTAGCTTGGTCTACCATCTGATTCCGCCTCGAGGCCACTCCTTCTTGGTCAAGTCACACGATGACGAACCCTTTCAAACCTGCGGTACCTGCACAGTTTGGCATTGAAAAGATCAAAGGGAAAAAAAATGTATAAAAAAATGGTATGGCACACATGGTTCTCTATCCTAAATCCATCTCTACCTTTGTTCATCAAGAACGTTGCACTTCCCACATGAGGCAGTCAACTTGTACTCAAAAAAGGGTCAGTGGAGGCCCCAAGCATCGCTTCCCATTATATCTGCCTTCGCCTCTTCCGAAAGAAAAAAAAAACACGAACCGGCCATGTGTATTTTGCTAACATATGCTCTTCCCCATTATTTCCAACGACGCAGGGGGTTCGAAGCAGCCGGGCGTGTGGTTGAATACTTTATTTGTATTGATTCATGAGCCAGAGTGCTACCCGACGACGTGGAGATCCCGCAGATGTACGCAGATACATCCCGTCGAGCCCACTAGACGGGAAGAGCGCCTGGTGATTACAGTCAGCAATCATAGACTCTTCAAGGGCTAAGGGGGGGAGGGGTCTCTCAACTAACCACTCATTCCGCCAAATGCGCCAACGCCTTGGGAAGCATCAGGGAATGAACCACTGTTGCAAGTAACAACACAGTGGTAGGATCCATCAGCACCCATAGTCGCCTTGCCAGGGGTGACGCCAGAGTTGCCGCCAGAGCTGCCAGAGCCGCCAGCGCCTCCAGCACCCCCGGTGGAGTTGCCGCCAACGCCGCCGGGAGCAGAGGGGGGAGGAGGAGTGCTGCCCTGCTCTCCGCCGGTGATGGGAGTAGCTGAGCCGGCACCGTTCTGAGCAATGGCCATCCCTTGGAACATGGCATGCGTCTTTTCGGCAGTAGGGTTGATGGACAAGACCATGCCCTTGCCACAGTGGCCCTTTTGTGCGCAGAAAAACCCTTGGTGGTGTTAGTTTTCTCAGGTTCCGCAGAAGTATATTACGAACGGGAGATTGTGTCTTGACTTACAGAGAGGCTTGTCTGTCATGACTTGCATAGCAACCTCAGGCGGTGGTGAAACGGTATTGTTAGGGTTGGCAAGGAAGCCAGAGTCCATACCACCAGCCATGGGCTTGCAAGGGGTAGCGAACTCGGCTTGAGTGACCGTGTGGTTCTGGGACCCGAACTTGAAAAGAAGCATATCACCCATAGGCACACGAAGCTCTTGCGGACTAAAAGCGAGGCCGTTCGCGCCGCCAACCGTGATAGTGTGGGTGGCTCCCGTGCCAGGGGCAGAAGCGGTGGCACTTCCTCCAGGAGCCTGGGTTGCTTCGCCGCCAGCGCCAGCGGTAACAGTCTTGGTGACAGTGACTTGCTCGTTGATGGATGTTTTGGAAGCGCCGTTGCCTGGGTTGAGCCAGATGACAATCACCTCGGCGCGGGAGTTGGCAGTGATACCTTCTACCTGCTTGCCCCGGGAGACTTGGATGCCACTCTCGCTGGATTCAGTCTCGGCATTTCGTTGAACGATTCCAGCTGGCGGGGGGAAGACATTGGCAACTCGTCGGGCCATGGCGAAAGGAGCCAGTGCCGTGAAGATGGTCGTTGAGTACTTCATTTTGTTGACGTATGTGTAATTATTGAAATTGTACCAAAAAAATCGCACATGTGACAGGGCTGGATGTTTGGGCTCGTGAGCTGCTCTCGTAATTCTCGAGTCCTATCAAAGGACAAATGGTTGAAACAAGTAGTAAGAGGACCTGCTCCTAGTTGGTAATAGAAAGGGTCAATCGAAATTAAAAATGAAGAAAAATGAGAGACGAAGCTGGCCCAACACCAAAAGAAGGAGACCTTCAATAAAAGAGCGAAACGCGGAAACTGCAGAGTAAAAAAGGGAAACGTCGGCAACGCATGGGAACTCGAGACATGTTATATCCAGCATAATTGTCTCCCAACACACCCCCTGGTCGTCCTATGTTTTAGACTAGGAGGCCGCGGAACCTCCTGACGCAACTCATGATGGGCGAGGCAATCCACAGTCGCCGGTGCCTATGTGAGGACTCGAGATGGAAGTCGACGGCTTGGCCTCATGCCGCCCACGCCCAGCCTTGCTTGTGTGGGGTGCAAAAGCTCGGGGTCTAGCGCATCCGATCAGAGGGCAAAGGGTGCCAGAGTGCTGAGTGGCGAGCGAGCGCGGAGGAACGAATGTGTAGGTGTGACAGATTTGTCTCGAGTGCCGTTTTGGAATCGACTTGTGAGGTGATGGCGTCGCTGGCCTTGCCTGTTTGGGCCGTGGGCTCGAGTCTTGACGAGGGTCTGGCGAGTCGAAGAATGCATCATCGGCAGCCGCAGCAGAGAAGATAGTACCAGACGCACATGTGTACGTACTGTAGACGGTGGCATCTCTTTCAGTTCTTCAGAAACAAATTCGCATTGAATAAAAGGATGCCATGGCCCTGATTCTCGGGTCCCGGCATCTCCATGTCACGGAACATTGCTTTCCAGGTTTCTTTGGGCCTTGGCCTCTGCTGTCAACCAACCAGACGGGACGGCATGCCAAGTCTTTGATCCTATACTCTGTACGGAGTACATACTAGTTACTACTTTAGGTACTTGGGGTTCCAAGGTTATTTGCTACATGCAGCCATTCTGTCCGGCCAGATATCAATCGACGTCAAAGCACTTATCCCGCCGCGTCTTCATTTGTTCTGCAGCATGGATGCGTGGAGGCAACAAGCACTTACACCAGACCGTTCTGCCTACTTAGTAGCAAGCCCCTTCAGTCAATCCGCAACCTTGTCCCTCCGCAGGCCACCAGCTTTCCATTCCTCTGGTGCCATTATTCAAAAGCGGCATCGTCCTGTTTGGCTATCCAGCCCCGTCCTCAGCCTCAAACCGCCAATGTGGTGATGAAACGGAGGCTCGCTCCTGGGCGGATTCCTGCCCTCATCAGGTGTCCATACTCGTCAACGCCACTCACTGGATGCGAAGACGGGCTAAGCTGCCGATTTTAGAACGTTAGTTTGTCATCGCCAATAACACTAGGTGTTTTGCCATTGTTGCCAAGTAAGATGTTGCGCAGCTCGGAAACCCGGTAGGCTACGCGGCAAGCAAGAATGGGCTGTGCTCATGTCGTGAAACAACGGAACGGACCATTGACTAACTGGACGAACAGGTGGTTTGCTATATTTCGTCAGAATTTTTCTTTGGGCATTACATTGTTTTAATTCCATTTCCGCTCTTCGGGGGGTGTTTGTTTAGATCATGGCATGAAGAAGTAGGCAGAAAGACTCTGCATCAACTCCTAACCAAGTCAGTTTCCTGGATCCTGACCTTGCCCAGGCACAGCAACCATCAGCCACATTTTCCACGCCCTTTGCATAGTAAATCGGTTTTGTGCTCGATTCAGACTATCTAATATATCCTACTCAACGCCAAACACAAACTGGGTTTTAGACGGCTTGGATCGCAACGGCCAGAAGATGTCCTTAATTTGCCAATACCCTCTGATTCTTACAATCCTGGACATCTTCGCGTCAAGTAAATTAACCCGTTGGCAATCTACCTCGACCTAGACTTCAAATTTCATCCCAAATCTTCAACTTTTGTCGAGTTTCAAAGTTCCCACGACACAACAACAGCTGGAACCCTACGATTGGGCGACTCAGTCTAGTTCTGACGCGCGGGGGGCGACGGGAGTTGCAGTGAACATGTTCCAGCCGCCAGGGTTTGGAACGGCTGTCGTCGCAAGAACTCCACTGTGCGACACCCGCCCTCCTTGGCCTGCCCAGCCTCCTCTCGGGTCTTCGGATAACAATACGTCTATTACTGCCATTCCCGTGATGGGGTCAAGACTGTGGTTTTTGCTCCCCTTGTTGGCCATGCTGCTGCCCTTCAAAGAGTCCGGTGTAATACCCTGCATAATACCACGACATGAGCAGCCTCTTCAGATTGTCGTCTCGTACTATTTTCGCGGGGAAAGATTCGGTTAGCACAGATCGTCCGAATACTTTGCCAAATCCAAGTCGAACGTGATGGCCCTATAGGTAGCTGCCAACTTACTTGAGCCAAGGAGAGCTTGCGGCGGCGGCGCAGCCGAAGCAGCTGCAGTTGCACCTTTTTGTGACGACTGGGCTTGGTCGGAACTTGAGATCTGTCTTGATGTCAGCAACGTTGGATGAAACAAGAAACTATTCAACGGTGCACAACAGATCGCCCATGATTGACGCCGTCAAACCCGTAGTTCAAGGCTCTTACAATGGCGTCCGGATCTTCGTTGCCGGTAGAAGAGACAGGTTCGGGATTGTTGGCTTGTTTGTTTGGTTCGGATTCTGGAGCGCGCCTACCACAGATGTCAGTTAATGCGGTGATGATAGAGGCACCGTAGGCTGGCTCCGTTCATCTATTCACTTACTGGGAGATTTTGGATTCTAGGTCTCTAATGCTTCCTCCCCTTGCGTGTACACTGTGATATTTCTGAGCACAGCTGGTATTAGTGGTTTGTTGTACTTGATGAAGAGATATAATTCATACCTTATACTCTGCCAAAGCCTCGTTCCACGAGTCTATGAGCGCAGAGTCATCCCATACCTCCTCATGACTAAGCTCAACATGCTCCATGCCCATTATGCAAGCAGGATAGTATTAAGCGACGACGCGTTTTCTGGGTTTGTCAGATATCTTGGTCCTTGATGACCAGGCAGCCAAGACGGAGCTTTGCACTAAATGCAGTAGGAAACACGAGCATATGCACAGCTAAGCTCAGTTGGTATATCACTAGACTCGCCGGATGAGTCGATGGTGTGCATTCAAGGCTCTTCAGTGCTGTATATAGCTTCACAAAGTTAAGTGGTTGAACTCGAATGGACTAAAGGCTGATATATCGATTACGGGAGCATCTGGTGCAGCAGCAATATGTTTCGAAGTGTTGATGGGAAGGAGCGACCAGACTTCAGCCAGCATTTGCTAGGCCCTGAACCAGCCAGGCCCAACTACATATGGACGGCCTGTAGGCAGTGCGAGGCCCCCACCACCAGCTGCACCCATTGGGGCTTTGGTTACATGTAGAGTGATAGAGTGATAATGCGCCTTCACCGCTCGCAAAACTGGCAGAATCTTATTTTTTTCTGGCCCACGTCGATCATTCCCAACGCCTGCCAGCACTCACCAACCAGGCTGTAAAGTCCAAGTCGTCGCAATGGCTCCAGAACTTAGAAAGAGAAAATGTACGTTTACATAAGTAAATATGTTCATTTATCGCTGCTAATTGACCGTGTACAGCTGTTTCCGAAGTTCAGAAGAGCAACGGCGCCACCACCAAGACGTCGGACAAGCCTACTCCCAAGGGCAAGAGAAAAGGTAATGCGATATCCAGCATCCGTCAATTTTGTAATCAATTAGCTAACCATCGCAGCCGCCGGGGATGTCTCTCCAGTTTCGTTAAAGAAGCAGAAGCCTTCTAAAAAGGCTGCAGCACCTGAAAAGCCTGTTGCGAAATCACCAAGAGAACCCAAACCTGAAACGGCAGAAAAGGAGGCCGAGGAAAAGGATGATGTCTTGGAGATAGATGACTCCGACGACTCAGAGGGTGAGGACAATGAGAATGTAAAGACTCTGGCTGCCGAGATCGACTCGGGTGACGAAGCACCGGTCGACAAGACCCTGTCCTTCAAACCCGGCCAAGACGTCGGTAAGATTCCGCATGTCACCAAGGAGCTTGCAAAGGCAGCCAAGAAGGCTACTGGTGAACCGGGCGTTCTGTACATCGGTCGAATTCCCCACGGTTTCTACGAGCACGAAATGAGACAATACCTCTCCCAGTTCGGGCCTGTGACGCGCCTTCGCTTATCGAGAAACAAGAAGACCGGTGCCAGCAAGCACTTTGCCTTCGTCGAGTTTGAGGAAGCGACCACTGCTGAGATTGTTGCCAAGACTATGGACAATTACCTGCTATTTGGGCACATTCTCAAGTGCAAGACGATCCCCAAGCAACAGGTCCATGAGGATTTGTTCAAGGGAGCCAACAGACGGTTCAAAAAGGTTCCTTGGAACAAGATGGCCGGCCTGAATCTGCAGAAGCCATTGGCCGAGTCTGCCTGGAAGAACAAATTGGACAAGGAGAAGGATAAGAGAGCCAAGAGGGCTGCCAAGTTTAAGCATATGGGATACGAGTTCGACGCTCCAGATCTCAAGGACGTGCCGCCTCCGCAAGCCGCAGAAAATAATGTGGAGGAACCCAAGACTATAGAGGCTGCTCCTGTGGAGGAACCTGCCGAAGAAGAGACCAAGGCAACAAAGACGCCCAAAGCAAAAGGATCTGCTGCCGAGCCTGAGTCGATACCCACGCCCAAAGCCAAGGCCGGCAAGGGTACTAAAGGCAAGGCAAAGAAGGTCAAGGCCTGATCTAAGTAAGGGTTTATAAAGTCTTGTGATGTGGATATATACGTTTTGGCAACGGCGCATCAGGTAGTAATGTCTTAAATTTTTTGTCTGGTCCAATCAAGTCTTTTCATTGAGCTCAAGTCATTTGATCGTATTCAATCGGTCAAACCCTACGTGGCACGTGTCTGACTAGGTTTTGTTCCTCTACAGGTGTAGGTAGCACCGTGTTCACCATGAGACGTTACGAATGGTCGTGGACGGCGAGATGTACGCACATAAGCGAACCCACGGCACTCACAAGGACGCGACCCGCTGTTCCGAAGAAAGGGGAAAGTCGAGTAAGCAATGGGATTATGAAAGGCGAAACGATCTACTTCGCGCGAGATTGTGAAGAAGCCACATGCATATGGTCTTATTCATTAGTATGACGGCGAAGATGATTGTAAGATGGGGAAGAAAAATAAAAAGTTCCAAGGTCCACCTGGTTCAGGGAAACGTAAATACTAGCCATGGCCCCACGACGTAGATGACTAAGCATATTTCAAGCACCGCTTGGTGCCAATGCTTGAAACAACCAAAGTAGATGAAAAGAAGGGAAGACAATGTAGGCATCAAATGACAAATCGTGAGATAAGAGTAAATGGTGAATCACATTGGAACGAATGCGTTTATATGAGTTGAGCCAGTCTCCCCTGGCCAGTAGAGACATCTGCAGACAAACCGGGCTCGTCTTGTGCGCCTATTACGCAAGTGTCTGTATGGGGTTTGAGGGCAATTGCGATAATCAGTGGCGAGGTTTGCTTCACATGCTTGAATAAAACGATTATTTCGAGAGATTTTTTTTTTCCTTTTTTTTTAAATGGTCGTGTCCGTCACTGTCCTACACTGTCCTACACTGTACTGCAAACTGCTCAGTGCTTGCTCAGGAGCTCCAGTCGCTTCATCTTGTTCCGCTGGACCATGCATGTGAGTTGACAGCACAGGCCACTGGGTGGTAGAATGAAATCAATTGATGTTTTGTACATGTACTCCGTAAGTTAGCGACGTTCCGGTGCGCAAAACCAATTGGTCCGCCACTAACCGGCTCAAAGTTGACTGGCGGAAGCCCCCGCGACCCGCTAATGCCACATTCCATACCCGCTATTGTTTCTTCAAGGTCAACGTGTTGCCTCTGTAAGGTTCCGACTGCGTTTCAATATTGCGCCTCGTCATGTCAATCGACAACTGACGACGCCGGACTCGACCCGACATTGCCCTCGTCACCACGACTCGTGGGCTCAATACACCAGCACGCACACACGGGCCGCTTCACTGCTGCGCCTTGCGGCTACAATGTCGTCAACAGCTGCTGGTGAGCCCACCCAGGCCATCAATTCTGGTTTGTAACCTGTCCTCTTGGGCCTCCGTCAATCGGCAATCGTGTTCTAATCACTACCGTGGGGTCTACAGCTTCCAAGAAGAAGAACAACAGAAAGAAGAAGAATGCCAACAAGAACAAGGATACCACGCCTCTAAGTAACGGCGATGCGACCCACGAGGACGTACAAAATGACAACGATGAAGACGACGATGACCTGGTACGTAGCAGACGCCGCACTCTATAATATCAAGTGTGCGGATGCATAAATCGGCCCGTCATGTTTACTAACGAGGCCTTCAGGACACTGCAGCGAGCACGGACAAGCTAAAGCCGGAGGGTAATGGACGCGCCGTAGAACCATCCAAAGCCACCGACGGGACTTCCGACTCAGACCCGACTGCGAAACTCGAAGCAATGGGGAAAGAACGGGAGGCGCTCCGGGCTGAGGTGGAACAGCTTCGCAAACAACTGGAGAGTATTCAGGAAACGCACCAACAGGAAGTCTCGCAGCTCAAAACGGATCTCGAAGAGAGCAACTCGGCAAAGGAGCACGCCGAAGAGCAGTACCAGACCCTCCTCGACCGAGTTGAGAAGATCAAAGAATCGCTCAGCGGCAGGCTAAAACGCGACAAGGCTGAGCTAGAAGAAGCCAGGGAGCGAATAGAAGAGCTAGAGGCGCAAAACGAGCAGCTGCAGGGTTCCGCACAGTCCACGGGCGAAGATGTCGAGAAACTCAAGCAAGAGCTCCAAGACGCCAATAGAGAGCTGTCCACGCTGCGAAGCCGTAACAATCTCTCGGCCCACAATTGGCACAAGGAGAAGGAGGAGCTGACCAGGACAGTGCAGCATCTCAAGGAGGAGATGGAGACGACAGCGAATGCCATGGGCGAATGGGAAGTGTTGGCCATGGAAGAGCGCTCTATTAAAGAGAACCTAGCGGATAAAGTCGGTGATCTTGAGGAGCAGATCCAGACGCTGAAGAAAAATTACGAGACCGCTGCCGCGGACCGCGATAGCCAAGCCACTCTCGTGGATAACCTGCAAAATGCCCTGCGAGAGATCCAAGACGCCCGCAAGAAGGAGCTGCGGGATATGGTTGAGACAACGGAATCACAGCTGCAAGCGCAGAAACTAGTGGCCCAACAGGCTGAGGCGCGAGCTACGGAAGCCGAGGCGGCCAAAGACGAAATGTCAAAGGAACTTGAGCGAACGGCGCCATTTGAGAAGGAGGTCAGGGAGAAAACTTTGCTCATTGGCAAGTTGAGACACGAGGCTATTGTACTGAACGATCACTTGACAAAGGCGCTGCGATATCTGAAGAAAACCAAGCCAGAGGATAATGTCGACAGGTGCGTTGCGCTCCCCCCCCCCCTGCACATTATACCCCCTATTATGAGATGCTGTCACTAACCTTGCATGTGTAGACAAGTCGTGACAAACCACCTCCTGCACTTCCTCACCCTCGACCGCGGCGATGCCAAGCGTTTCCAAGTCCTTCAGGTGATGGCCGGCTATTTGAACTGGACCGACGAACAGCGCGAGCAAGCAGGCCTCGCTCGTCCCGGCGGCTCCGTTGGCAGCTTGCGACTGCCTACATCCCCTTTCCACAGAACACCCAGTTCGCCTTCACTCAACGCGGATGTCTTTTCGGAACCCACGTCGGCCAAAGACAGGGAGTCTCTTGCGGAGTTGTGGGCAAATTTCTTGGAGAGGAGTGCGCAGGAGGGTGCAGGCGATGGATTGTCAAAGGACTCTGGGTCCCGCAAGGCAAGTGTTAGTAGTATAACGACAGGCACAGCGGTGGCCAAACCCGACTCCGGGCCGTGATACGTCTGATGTGAAGCCGAGTTGTAAAAACGGGTGCCGCAGTAGCTGGTTGTCTGTCTGCGCGCAGCGCAATGTTGAAACATGGGGAATGGGGATCTTTTTGGAGTTTCTGTAGACGTACGATAGTAGTAATGCATGGCAGTCGTGCTTCTCGTGTTTTTTTTTCGGGTGGGTGGGTGGAAATACAAAAAGACATCCTACTTGTACATGCGAATTCTCATATCAAACATGGTGAGAGTGAACCCATGTGCATATATTCCTGTCTATCCTTCTCATATCAAACATGGTGAGAGTGAACCCACGTGCATATATTCCTGTCTATCCAATGTACGACAAAACCCCTACTCACTCTGCTGCAGCTGCCGCAACGGCTCCAAGACACTATCTGTATACGTCTCGGCGTCCTTGGAAATCGAATCTATATTGATCCTGTTACTCAAAGCATCATTCACGCCCTCCACCACCTCCCTCTCCTCCATCACGTCCCTCATCAGGCGCACCTCGTGGGCCCAGTAAGTCTGACACCTGCTGCGCAGCTCCTCGTCCCTCATGGCGGTGTTGTTGATGATGCCGATAGCGTTCAGTTTGCTCTTGACCGTCAACAGACCCTTTGCAACATCCTCAACCCTCTCCGACGTAGAGGGCAGCTGCACAAAAGCCCGGTTCGTCGAGGACAAGTACATGACCCACCCCAAAACGGCGTTAAGAGCGGCCAGCGCGACGAGTCTGTAGCTTCGCATGGACCAGTAGAAGAAATCCACATCGGAGAGGCGCGGAGCTTTTGCGTTGGCCTTGTAGCTGTACGAGCCGGCAATGTAGGCTTCCAGTCCGGCCAAGGTGAGCGACGCGATGGTTGCCAGCGTGCGCCATTGGTAGCCGTGCTTGCCCGTGAAGGAAGGGCTCGTAATGGCCGCCAGGGCAATCAGGTTGGCCAGGTGCGGCCAGAGGAGGGACGGCAGAGCATAGTACAGGTAGCTCTTTGGTTCGTCGGCGTTGCAAAACGGGCAGTCGGAGAGGACTTGCGGGCCGAACTGGGCGTACAACAGGCGGCTTTCCATGTTGACAAACTTGGCTCGCAGGGCGTGGTCGCTGGCGGTGAGGATGTTGCCCGGGCGGAGGACGGCCACACGGTTGAAGAGCACGTCGACGGGGATCTGGAGGCGGCTTTGCGTGCGGGTGAAGAGGTTCTCGGGCGCAAAGGCGGGCAGGGTCTTGACGAGGTAGATTGCTGAGAGAGCGAAGAGCAGGCCGAGGGCCAGGCGGACTCGCGGAGGCATGGGTTGGATGGGGAGACCATGGGGCGAGGTGCGGATCGAGCGATACCATGATATGGCCTTTGGGAGGAGCATAGGCCCGAAGAAGAGAAGGAGGGAGCGGATGCTACATGGCGTTGTTAGTTGAGCGGCAAATAGGCCTGCTTGAGAGGTGTTTTCGAATTGTTTCGACGGGAGGGCTTACGAATCCCAGGTGATAGCCATGGCGGCGGCGGCTGCGGACAACGAGCGAGAGTTGGTTGACGAGCTTCACGATGCGAAGCAGATGGTGGCGTGAAAGAACATTCGAAAGACACTGTGTCGTCACGGCGGGCGGGTGTATGGCCCTGTGGGACCGACGTTCAACGCATGTGGCGCTGGGCCAACTGCCGTGCGGGGCCACCTATCGTGGTCTGGTGCCTGGTAGTACTACTGCTAGTACCATTACTCAAGTACTAAGTAGATTGTGGCATCTGGCATCTGGTCATTCAATTAATGTTCATTGATGGATCCCTGATCCCGCCGGAACAAGGCCGCTCAAGCCTCGCAATGGCTACATCGCCAAAGACCCTTTGTTGACAAGATGCCAATATGGGAACAATCAACGGGCGCCCGATAACGCAGCACATGTCGTCTCGTCATTATGGCATCGACACCTGTCGCCGGACAGGAATATGTTTCGGCCGATCCCAAAACATTGTCTGGTCCCATGACCGTTGCTAGAAGTGTTTAGCTTTCATGCTCGATTCCGAGGGGGGGAGAAGAAGACGCATCTTTGATCGACAAAAAGAATTTATTCATTACTATGATCTTGCAATCAAGGCCGTCCGGCCCTCGCACTTCGTCGCAGTCCGATAACGCCAAGCTGCGTCAGACATACACGCGTGACGCCAGCATGCGCAAGCGCTTTACGACGTCGCAGCCGTGATTGGCTCAGCACGATCCTCTCGGGAGCTTTGCCGGCAGGGCTGATACCGTCGTCGAATCAACAATGAAGAGCTGTGGGAATACCGAGTTGTGTGCTATTGACTCTTGTGTCGCGGGGATCGTTAACCGGCTCTAGATGTTCACGATACGACATATATCAGTATAAATACTCCGTACTAGCAGTTACGTCGTCTCACAAGACTGCTTAACTAAAAGGCCATCATCCCATAGAGCCAACACTCTTATCTTCATCAACACCATCTACCCGGGTTTTCTACAACTTGCCACCAAAAAAAGCACCTACGTTTTTTCCTTTCAATCACAGTCACGTTCAGCCGCCCCAAAATGCCAAGCCACTTCTTGGAAGGCAAAAAAATAATCGTCTCGGGCGCTGGTTTCGCTGGCCTCTCCTTCGTCGTCGCCCTCCACCAAAGCTGGGATCCTGCCCTCAAACTACCCCAAATCACAATCTACGAACGTGAAGGCCGTCATCTTCCCCGCAACAGACAAGGGTATTCCCTCTCTCTCCATGGCTTCGACGAGAACGGTGGCCTCGTGGCGGCCCGAGACATTGGTCTTCTCGACGAAATGATGAAGCGTGCCATTTGTGGAAATGACAGCACCTCGGGGTTTCGCGTATGGTCGAGTAGCTGGGCTCAATTGCTCGCTGTCAAGTTCTCTCCCTACAAAGATTTACCTGCTTCAGGCATTCGAATCATGCGCAACGACATAAGGGACCTTTGTGTCTCTGCTGCCGAGAGGCTGTGCCCCATTACCTGGAGTACGACGGTTACCTCTGCCGAGAGGCTATCCAATGGGCAAATGCGAGTTCACATATCCCCGTCTGATAACGAAGGCAAGTCCTTCACGGATGACTGTGACTTACTCATTGCTGCGGACGGGGCACACAGCAAGATTCGCTCTTCCTTCAGGCCAAACGATAGTCTAGAGTACGCAGGCGCCATTCAAATGGGCGGCGTGAGCAGGTTTCCCAACGGTGTCCCCGAACCCGTCACCAAGAACTGGGGCTTGGTCATCACTGGCGAAGGAGTTGGGTGTTTCTTCTCGCCCGTCGATGCTACAGGCGTCGTCTGGGGTCTGGGGTTCCTGGAACCCCAACGAACACAAAAGTACGATCCGGAATCACGCCAACAATGCGAGGCTCTCAAGGAGGAGGCCCTGAGGAGAGGGCACATGCTCCAAGAGCCCTTCCAGACCATTGTGAACGCCACGGAGCAACACTCGTCATTCATGTTCCCTGCCCGAGATAAGAAGCCCTTCCCCCATACAGGCGATGACAACTTGAAGGGTGTCGTGTTCCTGGGAGACACGAATCATGCCGTCAGCCCATTCGCTGGTAACGGGGCAAACATGGCCTTGAAAGATGGCGTTGATCTTGCGCGTCAAATTTGCCGTAGTCAGTCCATGGAGGAGGCGTTGATTGCGTATGACAAGTTGGCGTTGCCGAGGGCACAAAAGACTCTCAAGCAGTCACATGAGCGGATCAACTTCTCCCATTGCACGGGTTGGTATTATTATGCCCTGAGGGGGATGCTTTTCGCCGGAAGTACCATCATGTATCTGATGGGACGGCTATGAGTGATGCGTATTGTTATTAATTTCTTTTGCTGTTCTTTTATTTTTGTTTCTTTCTTTTTATTCTTTTTTTTTTTGTATTTGATACCCCACTCTTGCGCACTTGCAGGAATAAAGTCAATACTACTCGAATGGTTGATATCACGTAGAGGCTCGTGGTGTTTTGACACCCAGCCGCATCCAAGCCCAGTACGGAGTATATGTGGGGCTATTCCGCACCCTATTTTTACCAGCGAAAAATCTCCCTCCGCCCAATTCTTCTTTCAATCCTTCCTCCATCAAACCACAACAACCTGCACGCACTGCGCGTGCAGCAATGGTTTCCATAGCGCCAGCTAGCAATAATAATTCGTCCTCAAACAGCTTTATCCTTCGGCCCTACTTCTCAGTGACTGACTACAGCTTGGCACTTTCGAAGCTTTGGCGATCTCTCCGTGGTCGTCAGAGTCAATATGTTGCCTAGATTGACCCCAAAATACCCTGCCAAGGGTTATTCTCTGTCGTGTTACAAAGTCTCAGCGTCTTGCAATGAGGAACTTTGCGTCAAAAATCAAAAGAGATACATGCTGTCACCCTACATCACCAACCGCGTCGTAGTCTCATAAAATGGGGGAAGGATGATGTACGTGGCGTATATTTTATATAAAGAAAATTATGCACAATCTACAATTCCTTCTTTTCCTCCGACTTCTCCGCAGTTTGTTTTCCGGGCTTCTTGGCCTCCTCCCCTGGCTGTGCCACCTTGGTCTTTGGCTGTGCAGAGATTTGCCTGCTGGCAAACATGAGGATCTCGGCGAGGAGGGTAATCACCACAGAGCAAGCCAGCTGCCATGACGGAGCGCTGACGCTGCCCATGGGCGCGCGGGGAAAGGAAATGATCCATTCGGCGTAGTATGGGAACCAGCCGTAGGGCAGCCAGAACATGGGCTCCTTGCCGTACCAGAAGGGGATGAAGTATTGGGGTACTTTGGTGATGAGCATCCGTATCGCCGTGAGGTAGTTGTCAAACCGGGCTCGCGAGGCTTCCATTGCTTTCTCTGCGGGCCAAAATATGATTAGCACTTGTCTTCATATACACGGCTCGGCATATTATTATTCTTCTTCTTCTTTGCACGTACTGGATGCATCGAGCTTCTCAAGCAGCTTATCGTGCTGCCTTCGCAGCTTGGCCCATCTCGCAAACTCGTCCTGGCTACTCGTGGCGTTCAAGTCCCGCCGTACTTTTAGATATTCGGCCTGGAGCGTGCGCTGCTCGGCGGCGGCTTTGGACGTCGAGACGGGGAGGTAGTTGATCAAGGTCCAGATCTATCACGGTGTCATTATGCTGCTTCCCATTGCGTTTTGGCCACCAAGTTTACCAGATTGTTGATCTGTGCCGCGCCCACAGCGGTGATGAACTGGGCCAACACCTCGACGGCAAATATGAGGAACAGAATGGTCGTCATTTTTTTTTCTTCCCCAAATCCAATCGAACAGGACTCGTTCCTGTTGCGTTGGGATGGATCGAGTCGTCGTAGGGTTACGTCTCGTGGTTCCAGCTGCGCTGCTCTTGTGGCCAAAAAGCACCTGCAGTTCCGCTACCAATGACCCCCGGTAGATTGCATTTCCGGAACAAGCCCAGCAATAACCTTGGTCCACCCATCCCACCTTACCCTATACATCCAGTTGATGTTGCCAGCATTCCACGATTTTTCTTCTTCAGGTTTCGAAATGTCGAGTGCCATCGACGGCAGTTTGAGGCGTGGGTCGCAAAATGAGGATCCGAAGGAAATATACGACGCCATCTCACATGAACTCTCACAGATATACCACCCATACATCGACATAGAACTCTTGCCCAAGGGGTTCGAAACAGAACTCAAGAATACCTACTTTGTCAAGGAGGAACATTGCCTCGCGATACCCAAACTTAGGCTCGTCCAAGCATTCACAGCGGCTCGCCAAATACTCATAAGCCATCTGAACAAGCCAGGCAGCATATCCACGGATGATGTACGGAAAGCAACCAGCGTCATGTTACTCATGGACTCCGAGCATCTCACGGCCGCCAACACGAGAAAGCGACTACTCTTGCGGCAGACACTCGCAGCGTGTGAGCGGAAAGCAGAGCTTGGAAGGGAAATGTACTTTGTGAACAGTTTACTCTCAAGCCACCTTCATCGGCATACGAAATCGCCCGTATTATGGAGCCACAAACACTGGCTTCTACGGCAATACCTGGAAGCAAAGGTGCCCATAGACCTGATGCACGACCTCGAAAGCGTGGTTTTCGTTGCAGCAGAAAGACACCCCAAGAACTATTACGCATGGACATATGCGAGGGACTTGTTCGTCTCCAGAGCCAAAGTCAAGCCAGGCTGGGACGCGGAGCAAGACGAAGAGCTTATGAGAATGACAGCCAAATGGTGTCGCCTTCATCATGACGACATATCCGGCTGGTCGTTTTTGCTGCATCTCGCACTAGGATCCCCACAGCACGCCCAAGAGATATTCAGGCAAACAGCAAGGCTGGTGCAGACTTACACCTGGCGCGGAGAGTCGGTGTGGAATTTCCTGCGGACCTTGGTGCTGGTTCCCGCCATGAGAGACAGCTCGGAAGTTAGGCAGAGTTTTGTTGATTTGTGGCATCATGTGCGACAAGACATACGGGATGCGCAGAGCTTGGATGCCAAAGTTTTGGATAGAGCTGCGGCCTGGGCCGAAATACCCAGACCGTAAAACGCCGTCCCGGTCTGGTCTGGAAGGGAGACCAGTTCCCAGTGATATGACGGTTGAAGCGCCATGAAGTCTAAATCGACTCGTTCGTGTGGATCGTCGTGAGTTGTATACCATGACCGCGATCACGTATTTTCAGCAGTTGTAGCGGGATCTGCCGAAAATAATGATTATAAAAATCACTCCGTACTTGAGTTCAAGAATCTATGTCTCACTGCTCAGTCTCAGTAATGTCAGTTAGTGGAATGTCAACGGCTGTGTGGGTAGACTACATTCCACAGGCGGTGCTTGTTTGATCAACACACGTGGAATACTCTCCGGTAGCCATGAATGTGATTAACTTTAAGTAGTTTCCCATCAAGCCACAACTAAAATAGTAATAAAGAGTATCTGAAGTTTCTTGCCGTGCTACTCCCGCATACACCTCATTGAAAACAGCAGGGTCCCAGCACATGTTAGGCGACGAGAGGCGGAGGAAGTAGAACGAATCATTTGTGATAGATATGAACTAAAGTTGAGCTTCATCGACTACGGTATATATGGCCACCGTCCTAGATTTAGATTTTGGCGAGACGGGTATGGCCTGTTGGCGTTAGAAAGGGGCCCGAGGTGCTGCTGGATGTGTCATGATCAAAGGGTCTGAAACAGCAGGACCTAAGGAAACGATGATGACACGGACGGTTTTATTGGTAAAGTCTGAACGCAAGTGTAAAAATAACCGAACTAGCATCGAAGATGCTCCTGGCGACTAAACGTAGTGTGTATACAAATCTTGATCCATCTGCTGCTTTCCTCATATTTTCAAAGTCGCGGCTGCGCGGCTCTGATAATGTCCGGATCCGAGCCTGGAGCAGGATCTGCATAGTACTACTTGTGCAGAGTAATGTTTTGACATTCGCAGATGGATCATTAATTGGCAAATCTGTCGATTCTGGTGTTACAACTGAATACTGCTGCAGAGGTCACGCATACAAGGTGACTGGAAATGTGTCCCGTGAAAAGGCCCGACAGAGAATCAGAGACGAATATTCCAGGTAGATTTTTTTTAACGGATGGTATTTGGAATAGCTGATCCCAACTAACTGTGTAGAGAGTTCTGTCAGTGGAATCATGTTCAGTGCCTTTCAGCCAGAAATCTCTTTTAGGACTCGCCGGCGCTGGAAGGTCTTATATTCCCTATTCCGTAGATAGCACTCAGAACGAAGCGCGGTGACAGCTTGGACATGTTTTATTGACCATCGGCGCGTACCCACAAGTGCCACGATGCCCAGCCTCCCAAAGTTTGGAACAGACGGTGGGACCCTCACGATGTCGTACCGCAACTGGCATGAAGGGTCTCGGCATGAGTCCCTATGACGTAAAGTGGGATCAATTGATGGACTGATATGGGTTTTTCAAGGACGGGAAATGGACAAAAACCGCCATTTCTTGCGGGACCTGGCCAACTTAGTGTGAGAGGCTGCAGGGGGCCCTGGGAGAAACCTCCAGGTCTTGATGCCATGGGATGGCTTTGCCAAGCACAAGAGGGCTCAAATCCTGGCGTGCTCGAGCACTCACAAGCTGAAGTGCCTTAGTTGGCAGCACAGACACTGGGGTCGTCTGGTGTCCAACATGGTGGCTGATGATAGTAGCGAGTGGCAAGAGGTTACCGCCCCGGTGGATCTGATTGAAGCACGAGGCTGGGTGAAGAACGTGGAGTACAATGTAGTTTCGATGCGAGAAAGAACGCATACATACTCCGTAGTATCCCTTGAGGCTATTTTTTGTCAGCTGAGATCTCAGATGGCCAAAATGGCGTCTACCTTTGTCCGCATCTACGGAGTACCGGAATACGATAATAAAACCCACGGGCAAAGAAGAGAAGGCGAAGAAGAAGCTCTCCTGCCAAAAACGTTGGGCGTCTGACGCGAGGGATCGGCTGTGTTCCGTAGAGTACGGAGTACAATAGAGGAGGAAGGGCACGGTATGCAAACACATGTATTGTGTAATAGTTTTTGCTGGTACTCCGTAGTCTGGTTAGTCATGGCGCAGCAGAGACAAGTTAATTTGGTGGCTCCTTACCTGGCCCTGGTCATGTTCTGCAGAGACTCTGGAGCCTTGCCCCTTGCTTCCTTTTTTTTGGCCATGGCCGTGCAGCTGTGGTCCAATGGAGATCAATCAATAGTTTAGTCGAGCCAAGAGCTCTGATAGATTCCGAGCTCTGCAAAAGGGCAGCCAAGCAGAAAGGACCGACAGGTGCCGGAGGAAAAGAGCCGACGTTAAAGCCAACCTTGACATCGTCACGGCGGCAATGGCATGGGCTGTGGCAAAGTGTGGCCACAGGTGCTAGCGTCGCAGCCAGGAGGTCCTGAGCGCTAAAACATCTTGTCCAGCCGAAACAGGCCTGATTAATCGTGTATGTATGTATGTACATCCCTTTGACTGCGGTTAAGGTCCAAGTAAAGTATCGGACCCACCTTTCTGTAGTACCTCACAGGTACGGAGTACTCCTTTAGTGCGAATAGTTACGCTGATATTAAAGTATCTTTTTATACATAAAGACTATACCAGTACTTTTATTATTATATTATTTCTTAGCGGAGCTCTATACCTTTTAATATAATTCTTCTTATTGGGTAGAACCCCTGCAGGCTACAAAAGTTGGACCTTACCTCAGTCAAAGGGATGAACATGTATGCACAACGGAGTAAGTGCTCTGTAGATCCCTGAAGGACGTGCCTGGAAAATACACGACTCGGTGACGAGCCAGGGGCAATCGTAGATGAAGCGGCGAAGCGAGGTGGTCGAGGCCCAGAAGAAGGCATAGTACTATGTAGTATTGTACTCCGTACTCCGTACTTGTGAGAAGTTACAGGTCAGGTAATTCGAATCTATTGTGCTGTTTGGTGTCAAGTTGTCGTTGTCAGCTGCAGGTGATACGAGACGCCACCGATACACAGATTATGCAGCCGACAGGGGCAGGAAGGAGCGAGCACTTGCGCGGTTCCTGACATCAATTGATGAATTGATCCAGATCTAATGAGCGGGCTGTGCTCAGCTCAGCAATCTCAACATGGCTGTGATGCAGAATGAGACATTCGCTTGCATACATACCAGGGGCGAAAAGACAACACAAATGATAAAAATACATGCGCAATCATGAACAGTCCTCGCCCTCGTTGTGCCAATGCCTTGAATTTTGCAATCATACCCAACATGAACTTACAACATGCGTCCAGTACAGAAAGACCGCGCTCGCCCGTTGTAGAACTGGACAATCAGCTTCCGCTGCGGAGCAAACGTACGCACGCCATCGCCCGATCGCGAGTCCAAAAAGGCTCAAGTGCTAGTACTCCAGAGTCCACTTCGCGACCAGGGTGCATGTTTGCCAACCTTTTGAGATGGATTGGGAACAGAACAGGGGGGACGCTGGACTACTGGCACTAGCATTGTAGTTACGGACTGCAATGTTCTGTTGTCTAAACCGTTATTAGTATCGCAATAACTATGACTTTAGAGCCGATGGAGCTCCTATATATCACCTCCAAGCTCAGATGGGCTCCTCGTCTATTCTTTGTTCGAGTGCCTCATGTAACAAGTAAACCACGCGTGCAGTTAATACTACCAGACTCTCCATGTCTAGTCTTCCAGCCCTCGACCCGCAACTTGACGCTAAGACTATCGTCCCTTCCTTCCAGTCCGATGTGCCTCTGGCCCACCCATGACAGTGATGGATCCTTTGGCGCCCCGGCGCCCCGGCGCCACTTCGCCTGACCCTGATCTGGACTCTTCTAGCCCAACCAACCGGCCAACCGCTGGCATTCCCCCCACAGGTTCTCTGAGCAAGACCATGCCCCGGCCCAACCGAGCCAGCCGAGCCAGCCAAACCAACAAGCTTCCAAGACTGGCGCCTGCAACGACTCGGTGCTCGTGCCTGCTTGTCCTGTCTCCCTGCCCTCAATTGATCACCTCCAAATGACATACTAACAGTATGTAGTATGTAGTATGTAGTATCAATTGTTGACCCCAGTCGGGCCCTGCGCCAAGTTGGGAAGGGATTGGCGTTATTAGTCCAATGGAAAGTGCGTCCCAGCAATAATCTCCTTACTCGGCCATTCAACCTGAGAGCGGTACCTGACCCTTGCTCGGTCACTTCTCTTAACTGTATCCCCGGTATCGTCCCCGGACGACTTCTCCATCTTCAACCTCTCTCAATAATGCATCTTTTTATTACTCTTCATTATATCCTCTGTGCATCTTCTCGCTGTGCATATTAGCCCTCACTTGACTTTTCCAATTTAATTTCGATTTTTCTTGTCCTCGATTTATTGTATTGTTCTTACTTGGCGTGCATTTTCTACCGACCAGAAAGCAAAAAGGGCCTATTTTATTCGGCCCAAGCAAATGTTCCATTACTATATTTTCTATATTCTTTGATCTGGTTCGTTCGCCGCTAGCTTCGTATATTCAAGTTGTGCGTCGTCATATACTCCCGTGACTGATATTTGAGGAATTTTACAAGCTAACAAACGTCCGATTTTCCGCAGTCACAACCGAGCACTCACTCATACCCATTTCGTTTGTCGTTCGTTCTTCGACGAGGCTTCAGAACCCCTTCCGCCAGACTGGAGTTTGTGATGCTTCATAGTAATTTCTAGTCGCCCGACTCACTGTACATTCCGGTGCCTGTCTGCTTCTGAAAATCCGACCATCTTTTGCCGACCTCGCGGCATTGCTTTGACTAGCTTCTTAAATGATTGGATTGGAACCTGCCTCTGATCACGACTCCTCGCCAATTGCCACGCTGTGTCCTTTGGACCGTGGCCGACCTCGTTGACCTGCCGAGGACTGACTCGTGGCCTCAATATTTGATATTTTCACAACTATTCCATCATGGTCCCAGTTGTACTTCTACTGCAATTGGCATTATGGGCCGTGTCCACATCTGCCTTTTACCCATACACACCACAATGGCTCAAAGAAAAGGAGGATCTCACCCCTCTCCGCGAAGCCAAAAGAAGTCCTGCTGTAGGGAACGCTCGAGACGGTGTGACATTTAGAATCGAAAAAAAGAGAACACAGGTGAGTAGCTGTGCTGTACCTGGTCCTGGATGGCGCCATCAATTCTGAGGGTGCCTAATGCTAATCCACACGACAGGAAAATCAATCTCCTGCTCTGCTAGCTGCGCAGCAGGCTGCTTGGCTGAGACACAAATTTAAGCATACTCGCTCTGGAGTGCCTGTCAACTCTGTAGAGAAAAGAGCAAGTCAATACAGCATTATGGACGCCACTGAATCAAACGAAGCCATGGCCGCCGGGATCAATCAAGATGGAACCGATTACTCGTATTTTGTGAAAGCAGGGCTGGGTTCCAAGGGAAAGCAGGTGTACTTACTTGTTGACACTGGTGCTGGATCAACTTGGGTTATGGGATCGGGCTGCACCGACACATCTTGCTCCACGCACACCACATTTGGCCCGGGTGATTCCAGCACATTTACCGATGCCGGCAAATCTTTCTCCGTTTCTTATGGAACTGGAACAGTTCAAGGCAAACTAGTTACTGACACCATCAACGTTGCGGGTATCAGTTTGAAGTACACTTTCGGCCAGGCTTCGAAAACGTCGGATGTGTTTTCGCACTTCGCATTTGACGGCATTTTAGGCATGTCCATGGGACAGGGCGACAGCGACAACTTCCTGAAGACATTGGTGGAAGCCAAGAAGCTTGACAAGAACTTGTTTGGCATCCACCTCAACCGGGCATCAGATGGATCGAACAACGGCGAGATCAAGTTTGGATCAACAAATCCCGACAAGCATATAGGGGATATTAGCTACACTCCGATTGGCTCCAAAAATGGCGACTGGGCTATTCAGATCGACGACATGGCCTACGATGGCAAAAAAGCAGATGCTGGAGGTGTTCTGAGCTACATCGACACTGGCACTTCGTTCATTTTCGGGCCCCCCAGTTTAGTCAGGAAGATTCACAACACTGTTCCGGGATCCTCTAGCTCTGACGGGCTGACTTACACTGTTCCCTGCTCAAGTAACAAGACATTGTCATTCACGTTCTCTGGGATTGATTACAAGATCTCTTCCAAAGACTGGATATCACCTAAGGACAGCTCAGGCAATTGTACCAGTAACCTGTACGGCCGCGAGGTTGTTGACGGGGCATGGCTTCTTGGAGACACATTCCTCAAGAATGTCTACGCAGTTTTTGATGCTGACCAGAAGCGAATCGGGCTTGCGGCTCCAGCTGACTCCAAGGGCGGATCAAGCTCCAGCTCCAGCAGCGGCAGCAGTCCGCCAACACAGACAACTGTAGGTTTAACTACTGTCACTGCAACAGCACTGACGACCGGTGTGACGCCTCAGCCTGACTTTTCCACACAGTCCAAGGGTCCCCCACTTGGTCTAAGCGGCCATGAAACGGGTTCTACAAGATCTAGCAGCGCTACTGCCAAGCCAACGGAATCTACAAAATCAGCGGCACCAGACGTGCGTGCACGGCAAACCGCCAAGCTAGCCGTTGCGATGTTGTTTGCAGCTCTGGCTGCATTGGTTGCCTAAGGGGGGGAATAGCATGGCCCTGCATTCTCCCCGGCGGTGTGTGAGCAGCACTACAAAACTACAACGTTATTTGCGAAGAACTTTGTACGTCCGTCATATGTCCCATGGCAACAGTCTGCGGAAGTAAAACTGGGACTGGGAATCGATGGGCGGCATTGGCTACGAATCGGGGCGGGTGTTTTGCTTCTTGTCAGCGAAACATGAGCGACAGACGATGTTTGATACCCATATGAGTCCAGGCAGATGAGTGCTTGGAGGTTTAAAGTTTACAGCAGAAGGTGTTGGTACGATATTTTTGAAAGTGGTTCTGTATATTTGTACAATATTTAATACGACTCAAGGCACAAGTACATAGAGAGTGCTAATTTCACCTAAATTCACAACAGCATCCAGTACGCTACTTGGTAATTAATCTAGGTGGTACCCGAAGCAATGTAGCCCATGCTTAATGCTGGCCAGGGAGCCGAGGGTTTGTGGAGTGCTCCCACTAGGCTAATGATTTATAGGTAGGACAAACAGATATGTTTAGCACATACGACCATAGCCGCTAGTACCACTCACGATCCCGTCCGATCTCGTACGATAACCTAGCGAGCGCTGGATTAGTAGTTGGGTCGGTGACGACCAGCGAATACCCAGTGTTGTATGTCATTTTTTTGTACTTTTTGCTTAACCTCACAACTACGTGCTCTACAATCACTTAGTTCCTCGTGATGGACGCGTCTGGTCGATACTGCACTCGGCGCACTCGATCAATTGATAACCCTGTGCATCCAGTAGAGCACTGTGAAGCGGCGGATTGTACTGTACGGAGTACGGAGAGGGGATTACTCGGTACCTGTCGCATTAATTTAATAAATGAAAAGGCCCCTGTTCAGCAGGAGCCTTTCTAGCTTCAAGTTGCGGAACAGGGCTGGTTGCGGCTGCTGCAGACTGGCCAATCAAGGCGCAGCATTGAGCTGACGTAGGGGGTCGCAAGAGATGTCAAGACACGCTGAGCGCGGCAATTTGCTGGGTGTTGAGATGGACATGGACATGGACGTGTTCCAGAGTTGCCGGCCACTCAGAGTCCACTGGCAGTCCATTTGCAGCCACGTCCATAGCTGACTGTAGCCATGTTGTGTTTCTGTAGTTGATTCCATCTTCAGCTCGACCATCTACACCACAACTCATTCCGTCCTCAGCCAGTCATTTGCAGTTCTTTCTCTACTCTCACACTCGAGTCTGTCCGCGAGCCCAGGGCGAGTCTCCAACGCGCATTCCGCTGCACAGAACAAAGGGGGTCGGGTGAAACCCCTACATCGATCTCAAGGCGAAGATGTCTCTGGCGAGCAGCCGCATTCCCTTTTCTTGAACAATGAGCGAGGCCAAGAACAATGGCGAGCCGAACCGGCACGAGGAAGCCCACGGATTGTTGGCCAGCAGCGACTTTGATGACCACGAGGACGATATCGTTGTCTACGCCGCCAATGGGGACGGCAAACGAGAGCAAGGCAGCCACAGCGACACGTCGCCGTCGCCGCCTAAAGTAAAAACACCACGGACGCCGAACCGAGTGCAGTTTGATTTAAACCCTGCTGTTATCGGAGATGCAAATGGATCCGCTCACGGCGGGAGGAGGTCTTCCTCCGAGGAGAGCTTCGAATTTGACGACGATGTGGAAATCCAGGGCCACCACTCGCATCGGGTGCCCTTGCTGACCGACATGGAGGCACCCAGCGTCGCCGTTGCGAATACACTTGGAAATGATGCAAACGACGACGGCAACCGATTAGAACAGGCGATGCGACGACCCAAGTCGGGGCTCAAATCGGCCTTTATGAACATGGCCAACTCGATCATTGGAGCTGGCATCATTGGACAGCCATATGCTCTTCGACAGGCAGGTCTCCTGTCCGGCATACTCTTACTCGTTGGGCTGACGGTGGTGGTGGACTGGACCATTTGCCTCATCGTGATCAACAGCAAGCTGAGTGGGACGAGCAGTTTCCAAGGCACCGTAGAGCATTGCTTCGGACGCCCCGGTCTCGTGGCCATCAGCCTGGCCCAGTGGGTGTTTGCCTTTGGCGGCATGGTAGCGTTTGGCGTCATTGTGGGAGACACGATCCCCCATGTGCTGGTTGCCATCTGGCCGAATCTAGGCACGGTGCCATTACTTGGACTCTTGACGGACAGGAGAGTTGCCATCGCAGTGTTTGTAATGGGCGTGAGCTATCCACTGACCTTGTACCGCGATATTGCGAAACTGGCCAAGGCGAGTACCTTTGCCTTGATTGGCATGTTGGTCATTGTGGTGACGGTGGTGATTCAAGGATTCTTTGTGCCGTCCGAGTCCAAGGGTTCGTTTAGTACGCCGCTGTTGACTGTGAACGGGGGCATTTTCCAGGCCATTGGTGTGATTTCATTTGGTAAGTAGTCCTTTTCCACCCATTCTCTTCTGAGCCGAAGCGCTCCCGTGCTGCGAAGCTGTGGGCTAATTGATACTGGAATAGCTTTCGTTTGTCACCACAACTCATTATTGATCTACGGCTCTCTGAAAACGCCCACGATTGACAACTTTTCCCGCGTCACGCACTACTCCACAGGCATATCCATGATGGCTTGTCTATTCATGGCTCTGGCAGGATTCCTTACCTTCGGAGACAAGACGCTCGGCAACGTCCTGAACAACTTCCCCTCGGACAACAGCATGGTCAATGTTGCCCGTCTCTGCTTTGGCCTCAACATGTTGACTACCTTTCCTCTGGAGGCCTTTGTGTGTAGAGAGGTGATGCTCACATACTGGTATCCCGATGAAGACTTCAACCTCCGACGGCACATCATCTCCAGCACGGCACTGGTAGCATCTGCCACGGCCATCAGCTTGCTAACATGCGACCTGGGCGTGGTGTTTGAGCTGGTCGGGGCAACGAGTGCTGTTGCCATGGCGTACATACTGCCGCCCATGTGCTACATCAAGCTCACGACTAAGAGTTGGCGAACATATATGGCATATGCGGTGGTGGTGTTTGGCGTCGCTGTCATGGTGATTAGTGTGGTCCAGGCAGTTGACAAGATGGTTCACGGTGAGTCGTCCCTGTGCTTTGATTTTATTTTTAAGTTTTTTAAAATCTTGCTTTGCGTGCTAACCGTGCCACAGGGTCCGACGAGGCGACCCAGTGTGTATGATATACAACTGGAAATATACATGTAACTATAGATGAGGTGGGATTAGGTATCCGCGTTGCATTCGCGCAGACACCGCGGTGATATCATGGGTGCAAGATTCTCATTGTATTTATAGCTCGGGTTCTGTCTTGCATCACGCACACAGCGTTGAGATAGATGATAATCTACAGACTTTACAAATTGAATCGCACAAAGCGACACCGTGGGAGACTACCGACTTTCACTGCCAGCATCTGGCAAAGAGTCATGCCTACACACCATGGACTAAACTCCGTCAAACATGAGGCCCGACAATGTGCAAACGTAACCACACATGAGCGGCCGTGCCCCAAACAAGGTCGAGATAACAATAAGCTCCAGCTACGTCACACCGCAGTATGCGCACCTTCCCCCCACCACCAAGACTATCCAAATGCCTTCTCATCACGAGGACCAGCCCACACCTCCTCAGCAGGCCAGCCACCCCGTCAGCTCGGAATCACGAGCCTCTCTGCCCAAACGACATATCGCCAACGAAGCAGCGATATCCTGAATCACAGCAGCATCGCAGCCCGTGCCTACGACAAGCCACCGCTAAACTCAGAAGAGCCAAAGAAGAAGAAAAAAGAAGGAGAAAAAAAGCTCGAAACAGCCCGTCACGTCCAAAACAACATCAAATCCAAACTCGCACACCGCAAACCCCGCTTCCAACCACAAGCGCGGCACCAGCAACCTCCCCAGACCCTGAAATACAGACCCTCCCCGCCCTTCCCCCCCAAACCCAACGAACCACCACCTCTGCATTTCCAAACCTCCCGTCAAGTCCACCCCCGAAAACAAAAGGCAACAACAAAAAAACAACAACTACCAGCAATCCATATCGCTTCACCATGCCGCCCGTCAACCACAACCACTCCTCGTGCCCCAAGTGCAGCGCCAGCATCTCCAGCGGCAGTAAAACCTGCTCTTCCTGCGGCGCCGTGCGTCCTCCCCTCTCTCCCTCCCTTTTGCCCCAGCTCGAGAAACAAGCCTGGCGAGCTCACAACTAATTCACCTGCGTTGCTAGACCTGCCCCAACTAAGATGCTCGGACGGTCTCCTTGAGACGACGAGGGAGTAGGTGATGACGGCGATGAGATTACGACATGCACGGCAGAGTATTTGTTTTGAGAGCACGGAGATGGATTGTAGAGATTTTGTTTTGTTTTGTTGCGGTGCATGGCCCATGGCGGCGGCGTTGATGGTCCAAGACCATGTATTGGTGGTTGATGTACGGGGACATGGAGTATACACGGGCGGATTATGACGGTATCCTAGCAGAACGTATCGGGTATCAATGATGCAAGCAGTATTGTCAACAGAGTAGCTTCCCATGTGCTTAGTACTGACCTGACGCAGGCAGTTGGACCTTGGAAGAACATCCAAGACGCACTCTCTTGTCGTCAGGGTGGCCCAACACCAATCTTCGTGAACATGGTCGTATCAAACGACGGCCCGACATTGTGACCCAAAGACTACAAGCTTCACCAGATGCCGTCATCACCTCACTCGTCAGGGTAAAAAAAGAGAACCAGAATTTGAAAAACACTACAATTGTGCTCTAGGAATCGCAACAACAAACGTGAAAACAAAAAGATTTATGATGTAACCATCCTCAGCGTGCCGCGAATTGGCACCGCTCAATGTGCGACCAATCCACAACTTACACCCGTCTTCCTCTTTATCTGCAGGCCCCATGGTCAATCACCTCCAGCCCCGCGGAACTCAAATCAAAATACGTCCCAATATCAGGCCCGCCTTCTTCCGTAAAGCGACAAATACATAAAAATAAACTAGGCGTCCTCCTGTCTGCCTGCCAGATCCGACAAGTGATGAGCTCTTTGCTTCCAAGAATCTCTTGCCGCCACATACATCTTGTGAATTCCATTGCCTCTGGGGAACCGTGGTGCAGAGGGCAAGACAAGAGTGCCATCTTATTACGTCCTCAAGCGCTCCAAAGTCCATCGTCTGTAAAGCCGTTACAGCGATCCGTAGATTGAGGACAATACACACAAATATAGTAACAGGGGGGGAAATCGAGAAGAATCAGGCGCAAGCAAGTTTCGAGTCGGCCGAGTGTCCGCTGGCGGAGCAAGACGCAAATATGACGAGATATCAAACTCCAAATTCCGAGAACCTAAGCAGAGTAGAGCAGCCTGCACCATCTATGGCCGTTTCCAACCCAAGCCATCCGAACAGACGTGCCAAAAAGTTTGAGATTTGCATTGGAAAGATGATTGCATGGCGGGGCCATCATGCCGAAGAAAAAATTAGGTCTGGTGTGTTCGGTATAGACGGGCTCGCGATTTGGCCGCTTTACAGAACAAGACACTTCTTGTCCCTCTTGCGGCTGGTGCGAGACAGAAGAGCAGCACGGGTAGCGTGCTCGAACACCTCGCGGACACCCTCGTTGGTCTTGGCTGAGCATTCAAGGTATTTGTAGGCACCAATAGACTTGCGCTTCTCCTCGCCCTGTGGAAATACCGAGTTAGTCATGGGCATTCGCCTTGCAACTTCACTCGTGCTGGCTAGACGAGCAGTCAAGGGCCCGTCTGTTATGACAAGATGTTCTTTCTGGCTCTGCTTACCTCTTCGGGGGTGACAGGCTTCTGATCAATAGCCCGCAGCTCACCAATCGTCTTGTTATCATATCGCAGATCCTTCTTGCAGCCAACCAAGATAATGGGCAGTCCCTGGCAGAAGTGGAGGACTTCGGGGATCCACTAAGAAATGAGAGAGAACAGATTGTCAGCATATACTCTCAACCGTCATCCTAGTACCGATACAAATCCTCTTGCATCAGGTGCCATCAAAAACAGAGGTTGGGGCGCCAAACCTTTTCTTCAACGTTTTCCAGGGAATCAGGTGAGTCGATAGCAAAGCAGATCAGAACGACGTGGGTGTCAGGGTAAGAAAGGGGACGGAGTCGGTCGTAGTCTTCCTGTCCAGCCGTATCCCACAAGGCCAGCTCGACGTGCTTGCCATCGACCTCGACATCGGCGACATAGTTCTCGAAAACGGTGGGGACATAGACCTGAGCTTCTGCGTCAGCAAAATAGATCCAATAAGGCCAATCTTCAAGGTCGCCAGAGCTGCCCGATTGCTTGCTTTGGCGAGGCGGTGCAACGGGGGTGAGTATTGTAATCGAGTCGTCCGATGTCACGTCAATCACGGTAACGACAATCTTGTTTCGATTCTCGGCTGTGCTATCTGCGTGTTTCTGGTGATTTGTGGTCCGGGGACGGAGATTGGAGATAAAGAATGCCGAAAGGAGGCAGCACACTGCTATCAATTCCTTACCTCGGGGAATGTGCCCTTGGAGAAAACGCTGCATAGGCAGTTAGCAACATGATTGAATGAATCAGGGAGATGCAGTTGATGATGAGGATCCCGATGATGGCGACGGAGGTGATGGCGGTGCTGGATGGCGGTCTCTTGGATCAGGGGCACACGACAACATGGTGTTGCGTGGGTACGTGGGTGCGTGTGCCGTAGATACGGTTTCGCAGAAGGCCGGATGCAAAGGCGAAGGCGGCAGACAACAGCAAACTTACATCAACAAGCAGGTTTTACCACAGGCACCGTCGCCGACGATGACGAGCTTTCGGCGGATTTCAGCCATGGCTTGTGAGTTGATTGAGAAGTGGTGAAGGGTAGAGCGACGGAAACGGAGCTGTTGAGATGCACGGAGGCAAAGGGAGGCAGAAGTTAGGAGTTGGATAGGTTTGGATGGAGTGGAGGAGTACGAAGTACGGAGCAGAGAAAGGGAAGGGGAGGAGGTGGCAGGAGGTGGAAGGACCAGCCGAGCAGTTGCGTGTTGTCGCAGAGCTGGGCAGGACTGGAGGCAGGACCAGACTGGAGGCAGGCAACGCAGCAAGGCAACGCACGTCAGCGCCAGGACGGGGCATGCAAGCTGTGGCAGATGGCGGTTGCGGCGTCCAGCGACATCTACGCAGCTGCGAGCTGCGAGCTCAGCCAACATTGAACATTGAACCAGACGACTGGTGGACGTACAGTGTACATGGCGAGCCAGTCCACAGAGCATGCTGTGCCTGCGTGCTGCGTACAGGCACCTGGCCCCAATAGCCCAAATGACTACCAGCTAACGGAGTAGTACTGCGCTTGGCAGAGCACACCAGTCGGCCTGACAGCTAAGCTCCAGATGCCCAGAGTCACCAGACTGGTTCGTTGAGAGCACCTGCGCTTGCGGCGGCGCAGTGAGTTCCGGACTCGAGCCGGAACCTTGAGTGGCCAGCAGCCACTGGAGGCCTGCCACTGGGGGCCCGTCACTGGCTGTTCACTGGCCAAGCACCCTGACGGTGGACACAAAGTTCACCCGTGTGAGCAATCAATTCATGTTGTTGATGCTGCATGTGCCATTCCCACACCAACTGCCTTCGCCGGCAGACAACACCAGAACCAGACATCAGAACATCAGAACATCAGAACATCAAACCGGCAGCGGGACATCTGACAAGGCCCTTACAGCCCTGGCCGGCTGAACACCAGATCCAGCACCGCCCTCGGTTCTCTGCTCTACTTTACTCTCAAGTACTATATCACGGCTGAAGCAGGTTTCTAGGGGGTGGGCTTGGGAGTCTCAGATGAGCGGGCGCGTACCGGACTTGGGCAACCTTCCGTCAGCTGCCCTTTGATTGTTGGGATGATGTCGCGAGCTTATGGCAAGATTATACGGAGTACGGAGTAGTACATCTTGTAGAAACGGAGTTCTCCGTACCCAAGTGATGGGTATTCTGGTCCTTGGGGACACACAAGGCACCAGACACCACTTGCATCTGTCGAGCGGACTGGCCGACAGACCAGTTTAGGGGGACTGGAGGCTTGAATTTCAGTGCTCAGTGTTGCCCAGGTCATCAATTGACATGACTGACGTTCGAAGAATAACACAGCGTTGGCCCAACAAAAGCCCGAACATGCAGGCGCATCAGGGATCCAAGCCTCGCACTCAACACCCTAGCTCTATAATAATACCAGACATGATGAACAGCCAGGCTGCCTGGCTGAAAAGATGGGTTGAGATTGCAAATGTCGGCGTTGTCAACCATGCCGACTGTTGTTTCACATTGGCCCTTGTGTTGCTGCTGCTGCTGCTGCTGCCACCACCACCACCAAGAAAAAAGGGGGGCGGCGCTGTAAATAGAATTGGCAGTGGCAGCGGCCAGTGGGAGACAACTTGAGCTGGTCCGGTATGTACGAAAATAAAAGGGCGACCAGATGAAATAAATGATGTGGGGGGCTGTCCGCGTAAAGTCCTAGGCTAGAGGCAGCCTGCGGTACCTTGCAGAGCACCCAGTCTGCGCGCGACATCAAGTATCTACCCAGAGGTACCTCGTAGGCTCGGCATGGATGAGGAATTCTAGGACTTCAGGGCCCCAGAGGAGGCGAAGCAGATGCGACCAGGTACCGATGTCCCAGTTCTCCGGTCCGCAATCACCAAACAGTACCTGCCCGGGTGCCGACATGCTACAGAGTACTCCGTACGTTCGTACATACATGTACCCTCTCTACCTGCAATCCTTACTCCGTATTCCCTGCTCCATCTGCGCCTACTCCGTACCACACCAACCAACACTTCCACCCAGCCAATGTCAACAACTTGCGCCGCGAAATCCATTCACCTGGCCGGCCGACGACCGACGACTGACGAACGAGGCGGAGGTGTTATACAGGGCGGAGTCCCAGCCATCACATTTCAGTCAATCAAAGACCTGCCAACATCCCAGCTGGACCACAAGACTGGAGCCGGCCGACGCACAATGTACGGGGACAAGGACCGGATGACATGCGATGCAATACAACCCCGGAGCCTCAGGCCGACCGGCACTTGTGCAAACGCACAAAGAAAAAACAAACGACAACAGGTTCCGTCATATGAACGCCAATTCACCGGACACATGTTCCATCGACATCAACCTCAACCGTCTCGCGCCAAGGCCGCAGATGACTTCTGTGGCCCTCCTGCCCTCTGTCCTTTGGTTCGGTAACTTGGACTGTGATCGCCACCAGAACCTACAAGGCCAAATCGATGTCTCCTGGTCCCGGCGTAACATTCACTACCTAGGTACCTAGTACCCAGTAGTATGTAGTTACTGAAGCATGCGGGACGGGACGGAGAAGCCACCCCTCCACACATCACCATGCCGGTTCACTCAGCTGCGTCTCGAGGCAACTCCAGGGAAGCACCACGCCAACTTACCGCTCAATACTCCGTAACTTCGGTTTAATTCGCACTTCTGGACGCATGGACTCGTTGACTGACTGGCCCCGACGCAACAATACCACACGCCACCGCCCCCGGCACACCGCGCAATGTGCTCGGCATAGCAATTCCTCATATTCGTACGTCCCTTATTGTCCGGTTCCATAAGCATTTGAGCATCCTAGGATACATTACGATTAGAGTACGGAGTATATACGACCCAGTTCGCTCCAGGGCTTGGTGTTGGCTTTTTTTGCACCATCTACCAAGTACATTCAACAAGAAAGCCCCCGCCAGCCGCGATAGGGACAATCCATTACTCCGTATAATTTGCCGATTCGGCTTGTTTCACGGGGTCTGACTGTAGTCTAGATCTGGGCAAGGGAAACTAGCACGGTTCAATTATTTCACGTACTCCGTACAACAGGGCCGTCGGATATCCCTCCGAACCGGGCCACCCTCAGTCAGCAGCCTCGGTTCAGGTTCTAACGTATCTGGAGAAGAGATGATGCCATGGTAGTATCAACGCGTGGCGAAAAGCCAACCCATTTGTCTGTCAGTTTTAGTCACTTCTCACCTCGAATTCTGCTGGGTGGCTTCGACACTCGGAACACTACCACTTCTTTCGGGACATTCATTCCGGTTGGGCCAGCAACCTTGTCCTGTTTGCTGTGAGGCTTTCGCTGTGATTACTATGTACTAGAAGTCCAGTCCTATGCTCGGACCTGGATCAATGATTCTGCTCATCTGCCTATTTGGTCTGTAGGCGTGAAGACTCTCACCCAGTTATTCTTCGTACTCTGTACTCTGTACCTAGGTAGCTTTTATATCTCAGTCATGTGCCCCGTGTTTTTGATGCATGGCGCCTGCATTTGATAACGCTCAAGGCCTCTCTTCTGTAGGCCTTGAACGTTGTGTGACTTGTGGAGGCTGCAGGACTTTGGACAGCTTGTACTATCGTGTTACCACCAACGTTACCACCACTTTGGGGAAAGGGAAAAAAGAAGAAGGCGCCTGTTGGTCATACACTCCACTCGGGTCGTGTTCCGTTGATACGTGCATGTAATAGTATTGAAAAGCCACATTCATCCAGGTGCTGCCGTGTTTCAAGGCAGAATTCAATGTTTTGATGGGCTCTTAGACGTATCTTGTGACGGGGGTCAAACGACTAGTTTTTTGAGAAGCTAAGCAGAGATTGTGCTTCACGGCCAAACGTCTTCACCGGAACATCTCTCCTATCACGCTCAATTTCCAAACACTGGCACATCATGTTTGAGCCCAACACCATGACGCCGAAAAACAAAATTACAGAAAAACACGAGCTCAGCTGCCAGCAAGTAAGTCAACTTGTATGTACTCAATAACACGACAGCAACCACGTTGATGCGCAAATGCAACCTACCCTACACTTGACATCCAACTCGGCCCGGCTGGTTCCGTGCCCAGCTAAAGAAGAATTTCCACCAGATGCTTCGACATTGCCAGCAACTCCTAGTACGCGACTACGATTGCCCGACAAGACGCCCGGCGGCAGCGATTTCTTCCAAATGGGAATGGACTGCTCTCCAATGCCACGGAGATAAATACCGAAATAACGAGGCTCGCCACCGTCAATTGACGGCCAAGCAACGATGCAGAAGCTCGTAAAGCGAACCGCCCAGGCCCAGCGCCAGGCGACCCGTCGAGCACGGCAGCAAATGGAGCAGGACAACATTGACAACCGAATGCGAAATCGCCAAGCCCTAAGAAGCGCTGTCTACGAAATCAGGCAAAACTTGAAGGATGCCCGACAGGCAAGAAGAGAGGACTGGGAGATGGGACCCTTGGCGCCGAAGCGAGACTTGGGATTCAACAACTACGGAGCGTTCAAGGAGACGGTGCGACAGGACTGGACCAACTATGGTTTGCATCAGGCACGGCCCCAGATTATCGAGCATCGATGTGCGTGGGCTGGTGGTGTTCGGCAACTCAATCTTGCTCCCCAAGACCGAGTGGTCATCATGGATGGTCCTGACAAAGGCAAGATTGATCGTATCAAGGATGTCCAGGCGGAGAATGGAACTGTTACTCTGGAGAACCGTCACAGGGTATGCTGCATCCATCGTGGAAGCACCGCCGTTGACACGCGGGTTTTTTTTTTCTTTTACACTTATTATTTTTTGGCTGACTTGGCTTCACATAGGCACTATCCGTCGGCATGTTTGACAATCCGGCTCGATCGCAGGCCATGCCCATATCCGTCGGCTCAATCCGACTCGTGTATCCTCTCAGGAACCCGGAAACCGGCGTCACAAAGGACGTCATCATCAGCCAGCTCAAGGCCGTGCCTCCCAACATGCAGTCCTCAAACATGTCACTCGACCGGTGGCAATACGGCAAGAAGTGGGATCGTCTCGTTGCTGGGCTCAACGTGGTTATCCCCTGGCCAGAGGTCCAAGTGCCAGAGTTCGAAGCCACCAAGGCCGACACTGTTCGCGAACAGGCCGAGGAGAGGACATTCTACTACGGCCTCCTGTCACCCCCCATGCCAGACCAAGTCCTCGACGAGCTGCGCAACAAGTACTCGAGATTCAGAACCCGCCACGAGCCATGGTATATTCAACAGAAAGAGATGGAAGAGGCAGGCAAGAAGGGCCGCCTCGAGGCTATCGAGTCCATGCAGACGCCCCTGGAGGAGTTTCACGAGAGACAGAGAGAGCTACGCGATACCCAGGGCGAGCCGGAGCTTTCAGAAGAGATGCTCGAGAAGATCGGGGAGTACATGGCGAAGAAGAAGGATGCGGCTTTGCATCAGGCGGGCGTGTCGGAGGTTTCATCACCACAGGCACCGGTGAATTAGACGTGGGATGGGGCTGGGCGAGCGTGTATTAGATGAGGGCGACGAGGCGATACCGCGAAAAAGTGTAATTGTATGTTAGGTGGAGTTCTTGTACATCACGAGCGCAAATAAACGCATCAATCCCCATACCCCGATGAAGTTGAGGCAGTACTATTTTCCTGAAATAGCTATGTGAAGCAGAATTTCAAGGTCCAACCTGGTTTCTGCAGGAGCTACAACATGAGGACGAGGCACACACATTTCACATACCCAAGGCTAAAAGCTTGACGGACTCTATACTGCCGCAGCTCGCCATTCCACCAATATGACATTCCCGATCGCGTGTCGCACAGAGAGGCATGTCTGGTTGCAACCAGTTTTCACAAGCTCACTCACTTCGTCCTGCCCGCCGACATTGACGTCGAAGCCCCCCCACTCTAGTCAAGCTACATGTACTAATCTACATGTAACCTGGGCCTCCATTTCTCCGCGCCCAGGCAGGCAGCCCCTCCGCAAAAGCCCCACCATTTAGTTAGTACTCTGTCCCGTCACGGCTCAAGCGGTTGCTTTCTATTAGTGAGACATCTTGCTCAGCACAACCAGGCCGATAAGAAAGCTTGGCCATCTGACACAGAGCCATGCCCCCTCCTTTCTGGCCGCCTCTTGGGTATTCTTCCTCCTCTTCTCTATGAATTACTTTGTAGCTTTTTAATTGAGAATCGTCATCTACCCGGGCTCTCCTCTTGTATAGTCGGATCACCACACGACACAAGCTGTCGACATGTCCCACAGCCACTCTCACGAAGGCGGCGCTTCGCATTCCCATTCACACGATGGCTTTTCGGCGCAGGAGCACGGCCATTCGCATGAAATCCTCGACGGTCCAGGCAGTTATGTCGGGCGAGAGATGCCGATTGTAGAGGGAAGGAATTGGTCCGAGAGGGCCTTTACCATTGGCATTGGAGGGTGAGCCACCACCACGATATATCCATGACGCCGTGCAAGCCGGACAAGTCACCCGGATAAGGTTGTGATGCCCTCTAACACCCGACCAGGCCCGTTGGCTCCGGCAAAACCGCCCTCATGCTGGCCCTCTGCCTGGCCCTGCGGCAGAAATACGCCCTCGCAGCCGTCACAAACGACATCTTCACGCGCGAAGACGCCGAGTTCCTCACCCGCCACGCCGCGCTCCCGCCGCAGCGCATCCGCGCCATCGAGACGGGCGGCTGCCCGCACGCCGCCGTCCGCGAGGACATTTCCACCAACCTCGCCGCCCTGGAGGACCTGCACGGCCAGTTCTCCACGGACCTGCTGCTCATCGAGTCGGGCGGCGACAACCTGGCCGCCAATTACTCCCGCGAGCTGGCCGACTTCATCATCTACGTGATTGACGTCAGTGGTGGCGACAAGGTCCCCCGGAAGGGCGGCCCGGGAATCACGCAGAGCGATTTGCTCGTGGTGAACAAGACGGATCTGGCCGAGGCCGTGGGCGCGGACCTGGGCGTCATGGAGCGGGACGCGAGGAAGATGAGGGAAGGGGGCCCGACCGTCTTCGCACAGGTCAAGAAGGACGTTGGGGTTGACCACATTGTCAATCTGATACTGAGCGCGTGGAAGGCCAGTGGCGCCGAGGAGGAGAGGGTGCAGCAGGGAGGGCCGAGGCCGACTCCTGGCTTGGACGGCTTGGACGGAGGTAAATCTGGATAGTATAGTATAACAAGGACGCTCGATCGGTATGGCGCTGGATCAAAGGATGGCACATTTTGATGAAAAATGCACATGTAGTTTCGTGGGCGTGACAAGAAAAAAAGAAAAAGAATATATACGCACGTATCGTAATCTCTAGAGGTATGACATATCTCGTCTAAATTTCGATGAAAGCCTTCTTCTAGTAATTCCTCCCCCTTTTTTCCTTTTCTCCGTAATCGATTCATTCATTCCATCATGACGTCGTCGTTCTGGCCTTGTCCAACGGCGGCAGCAGAACCTTCCAGCAACGGCTCCCGGACCGGCCTCGAAGCCCGCGGCCACATGCGCTTATACAAGCTCACGCCCACCGCATCTTGGGGGTTAATCTTTCCATCAAACGTGGCCTTGAAGTAGCCATGCGTTCCCAGCGGCTCCTTGATAAAGCCCGTCCGTCCTCTTCTCGTCCACAGCGGCAGGGCCTTGAACCACTCTACATCCTCGCGGCTGAAGAACATGTACCGCACCGTGACGATCTTCTTGTGGATGTGGTACGGGTGGCCCGTCAGGATGACTCTCTTGGCAACGACTCGGGACGTGGACGGCGGCAGGGCGGTGCCTGTGCCGACTAGACTTAGACCAATGTCCTGCTCGCCGTCGGCATTGGTGGTTCCAGGGGCGCATCTCTTGAAGAACATGACGGGCACGGCGCCCCATGTCATGGGTCCCATGAAGGACGCAATGGCCGACTGGCCCGGGTGCAAGTAGCGGCAGAACTTGTGGACGTCGTTTGGCGTGGAGCCCGGGTTGGAAAAGATGGGCTTGATGACCATGCGCCGCGGTCCGCACTGCACAATGAGTTCCTCCTTGGACTTGATGGACTTGCCGTAGTCCTTGCTCAGATTGAACAGGTAGTTGAGACTGGTCTTCTTGTTCTCGTGGCGGAGGAGTGAGAAGAGCGCGACGGGTGCGCTGGGCTTGTGTGACTTGGCAACGTCCGTCGTAACGCCCTTGACGTAGACGTAGACGCGGGTGCCGGGCGCAACACCACCAACAAGAGCTTCTCGAACGGCCCGAGACCGGGAGGAGTTGTAGTCGGGCACCTGGAGGAGGCGCCTCCATTCCTCGGGTTCGTGGGCCCGATCTTCGTCTTCTTGCCATGGGCTTGTTCGCAGGCTTTTGAGACCTCTGTACCGGGCTAACCTCTCGCGGGCGAGGACGTGGGGGTGTAGCTCGATTTCATCGGGGAACTCTTTGTCGTCTTCGGCTTCGTCGCGCTTGCGGGCACGAAACTGAGCCAGTTGCTGCGCATCGTCGGCGGCGTCGGGGACATCCATCATTTCGGATTGTGGGTATTCAGAAGGCCCGGCTTCTGTAGGTTCGGGCTGAGCATACCCCTCAATGCCATCTTCCGCGCCGATTTCCTCATCTTGACCCTTGTGGTCGTCTATTTCCATGTCCTCCATGTCCGAGTCCGAGTCGGAAACATCGTCTAGGTACCAGGCTGACTGGTAGTTGGATGTACCCTTGGGCACTTTCTTCTTTATCTTCCTTTCTTCGGCGTCGTCATCGGAAAAGTAGTGGTGCTCGTCGAGCAAAACACCCTTCTTCGGCGCGGGTTCCTTAGCCATCTCAGAATCATCCTCGGCATCCATGACTACATCCTCCGGAGCGAGTTCGTCCAAGTCGTCCCGATCCTCCGAGGGAACCTCCAACAGGTTCTCAGCCTCGACTTCGACAGCAGTTTCATCACCCTTCTTGGCGTGCTTTGCTAAGGGAGCCGCCACAATCTTTTCAATTTGATACGTGCCCCAGTCGCCAAGCTGTACCAGTCTGTCGGCCTTCATGCCTCGCCCTCGAACAACGCCAGTGACGACGGTAGACTCCGACTCGTTGGCGGCAAATTTTATATCCTCGGCAAAAATCCAGCTTCTGTCATCCCTCCAGCGGACACCCTTGGGTGTTGTATTGCACAGAGATCGCATCAAGTTGGAGCATTCTTGTCTATTATCCAGGCTGTACAGCTTCTCTTGTTCGGGGTGGAAATGGGTAATGAAGGATTTGAGAGATGCCATGGTAGATTGGCGTTGTTTGGCCGGCTCAATCGTCTCGAGGCCTTGTACCAAAGTGAAGAGGGTTGACATGCCCTGACTTTCGATACTTCGCAAGATCAATTCTCCAACCGCGTCCACTTCTTCGTTGGCGGACAGAATTACAACAACGAAATCAGCAACCCGAGCAGCGTCCAAGCAGGCAGTGAGTTCACGCTGGAGGGTAATATACTGAAGCTTCTGCTTGAAACGGTCGACTGACACTCGAAAGTTTCCATCTTGAGCATCGGTCTCAATATCCAGGCTCCCGTTCAATTGTTTAATGGCGACTTTGGCGTCGCCATCAGCGCATAGAGGGACCACGGCAACAATTCTTGGGGCACCATCCTTTCCGGAAAATATTGAAGTCTCCTTGAGGTGTTCTCTGTGCTTGGTTAACCGAGCCTGCTTGGCCTGGTTTCGTCGATCGAACTTGGACATGACCTGTTGGTGCGGCGTCCGTCTTTGGCTCCCCTCGTTTGGAACTCGGCCTGTATATAAGTAATTAGACCGAGAGGGATCCTATTGGCTCACACCGGAGAGATAAACCACCAGCGCATACCTTTTGCACGATCTCTCAGCTCGTGTTTTGACGCGGCCTTTGACTTGAACGGCTTGTGCGACACCTTTGTGGTGGGGCGATGCGAGTGGTTCGCAACAGCAACAGGCATTTTGCCGTTGCCCCCAGCTTTGAATCGGAAGGGAAGAGACTCCAGGATGAATATAAAACTGATCTACATTCACAGGAATGTGAGGGCAGAAAAAAAAGTTGAAAGAAAACGAGGAGATGTGTGACCGGAAACAAATGTATTGCCGCTATGCCTTTGCCCTGGTCGCAAAGGTAGGCGGTAATGGAGGGGTTGTCTTGTGGTTATCAGGAAATTTTTGTGCGGCAGGCTATCGATAAGATATAGCGGGTCTGCGGATCTAGCCCGTGTCAGTACAGCCAATCATGGCAGGGCGATAGCAGGTGTTGGCTGGAAATTTTGTCGTTCAGCGAGTCCATGTTTGTAGTATAATTATTATCCATCCGTCGCAGGACCTTCAATCAGCCGTTTGCCAACGGTCCATTTTCCCTTCTTCAACGAATCCTGTCTGGGGAGGAATTTATGCATCATGGAAGTCGACACAATTGACGAGCCCATCACCAAGCTGCGTGAAAATGGCGCCCTTGCTGTGGGAAAGCCGCGAATGGAGCTCATGCCCAGGCATGAGAGAGAAAAGCTTCGCCGCATACGAGAAGCTCACAAAGCGTACGGTCGTGGTAAGAAGATCAACACCAAGAATATCAAAGATAAGAAACTGCGAAGCAACATGAAGCGACTGGAGGACAAGTACCAAGATGCCGCAATCAAGGCCAAGGACGCCGAGATATTGCTTGAAAATACGGCTGGCTTTCTCGAGGCCGAAGGCGAGATGGAACGCACGTTCAAGGTTCGACAAGAAGACATTGTTTCCGACATTGGAGTGGCGACGGCACAAAAGCGCTTCGACTTGAAACTTGATGCTCTTGGTCCTTATATCTGCGACTACACCAGGAACGGCCGGGAACTGCTGCTGGCTGGGCGGAAGGGCCACGTCGCGACCATGGATTGGCGGGAGGGCAAGCTTGGTTGCGAATTACAGTTGGGAGAGACTATTCGAGATATCAAGTGGCTGCACAATAACCAGTATTTTGCAGTTGCGCAAAAGAAGCATGTCTACATCTACGACAGGAATGGCGTGGAGCTGCATAATTTGAGGAAGCACAATGAGGTGACTCATATGGAATTTCTGCCATACCACTTCCTGCTGGCGACGATTGTGAGTGCCCTGAATGGAATTTTCCACCTTTGCTTAATCTTACCAAAAAAAAAAAGAAAAGAAAAAAAGCTAATGCCTGTTGTATAGAACACCGGTGGTGTAATTAAATATCAGGACACTTCGACCGGTCAGCTCGTGGCTGAAATGCCCTCACGACTAGGACAGCCCGTGTCCATGGCACACAATCCCTACAACGCCGTACTTCACGTCGGACACCAAAATGGCACCGTCACATTATGGTCACCCAATGCACAAGACCCGCTGGTCAAGCTTCTTGCACACCGCGGCCCCGTTCGATCACTAGCAATGGATCGAGAAGGCCGCTACATGGTGTCCACGGGACAAGACCTCAAGATGGCAGTGTGGGACATTAGAATGTTCAAGGAAGTCAACAACTACTACACCCGCCAGCCTGCCTCGTCGGTAGCCATATCAGACACCGGCCTCACAGCCGTCGGGTGGGGGACGCAAACCACCGTCTGGAAGGACCTCTTCAACAAGCACAGCGCCGTCCAGGAAAAGGTGAATGCCCCCTACATGACATGGGGCGGCGAGGGGAAACGCATTGAACGCGTGAGATGGTGTCCCTTTGAAGATATCCTCGGCGTAAGCCACGACCAGGGCTTCTCGTCAATCATCATCCCTGGCGCCGGCGAAGCCAACTTTGACGCACTCGAAGCGAACCCGTTCGAGACGGTCAAGCAGCGACAAGAATCCGAAGTCAAGGGTCTCCTGAACAAGCTTTCACCCGAGATGATTGCTCTGGACCCCAACTTCATCGGCAATCTGGACTTGAGATCCGACGCCCAAAGAAAGGCGGACAGGGATCTGGACGCACCGGCTGTAGACATCGCCGAGGAAATCAGGAACAGGGCCCGAGGCAAGAATGGCGCGTTGAAGAAGTACCTGCGGAAGCAGAGGAAGAAGAACGTCATCGACGAGAAGAGGATGCGGGTGGACGAGATGTGGAACGAGCAGCAGAAGCTGAAGGACAAGAAGAGAAAGGAGGTGGAGGCGGATCTGGGACCAGCCTTGTCAAGATTTGCCAGAAAGGATTGAGGGTGGCATGTCTGCCGCTGAAATTTGTATATATATAAAACTGATCATGGGGGTGCATGGCGTATGTAGACTGGCGCATCAAATTTCTAGTCTCTCTCTTCTGCATCCTGACGCAGCACCGTCTTGTGTCGTATAAGTGACCACCATCCTCACCACCCGTCTACAAAGCCATGCTAAGCAATTATCAACTTTTGCAATGTACGCCGTGTAAAAAAGTCCAAGACGCCTTTAAACCCGCCACTTTTCTAGCATCAATCCGAATCCCTTTTTGCCTTTGCCTCAAGTGCAGTTCTGCCTCTGATTCACGCCCTCTGATGTGTATTTATTCATCTCATCACAGCAGCTTCAAATGGCCCGTAATCTTGTCCACGGCACTCTTCGGCGCAGGCCCAACGCCCAAGACGGTCACGCTGCCCGGGTCAATCTGCGTCCTGCCGGCATCCTGTATCACCTCGGCCATGAGGCCCGCGTCGAGAGCCTTCCGCCGCAAGTCCCTGAGCTCCGCCTCGCTCTTGACTTGCACTGCAATCTTGGCCTGGCCGCGCTTCTCCCAGCGCTGGAGGAGTTTGCGCTCGGCACTGTCGGGGGCGGAGCGGGCGAGGGCCTTGTAGCAGGCGAGGGTGGCGTGGGAGCATTGAGCGGCCATTTTGCCTTTGGTTGCGTTGCGTTGTCAGTTGATTATATCCCACCTCATAAAACATTGGAAAAACAAAAGGGAAGGGGACTGGAGGGGAGCCCACGTACCCTTGGTCATGCCCAGGTCTGTCCTCACCACCAGGACAAGCTTGCACTCCTCGTTGGAATCGGCATCCAGCGTCTGGCGCTCCGTCATGCCTCCCACGCGGGCGTTTGCCCTGAGGCCTTGCTTGCGGTCGGCAGCGGCGCCGTTGGCCCAGTTCGGCGCATGGTCGAGAATGGTGTCGTCCTCGTCAATGTCGCTTTCGTCGCTTTCCACGGGGTCGTGCAGGTTGCGGTGACGTTCTTCGGCGAGTGCTGGCGAGATCAGGTAGCCACGGGTTGTGAAGACTCCGAATAGCCAGCCGGAGATAAAGGCAGCGAGGGAGGTGGTGAGGATGATGCCCGTTTGGGTGCCTTGGTCGACGGCCATGGCGGGGAATTGAGTTGTTGCGGTATCGAATTGAGGTGATGATGAGATGCGGGTAGTGTGGATTGATTGTTGTGACGTGACGTGGAAAGCTGAAGCTGCCTTGAACCTTTTTTTTTTTTTTTTGGAGCACCTTCGGCGTGGAGGCTAAAGGCGTCAAAGGCAGCAGTTGAACTACACCATTTCTTTCCTTTAGCGTGACGTGGATCAGCAGCCAGCAATGCAACTCGACCACTTCGACCAGAACAGCAAATGCACGCACATCATAGACCAACCCAACTAGAACCCCCCATCACTGTCATATATAATTACTCGAGTACATCTTCTCCCTACCAAGGTTGACTTTAAATACGTTGCCGCGTCTTCTATACAACAATCAATCACAATCACACTCGTCCGAACCATCACAAATGCCCAAATCCCTCATAATAGGCATATCTGGTCCGTCCTCGAGTGGCAAAACCACGCTCGCCCGCCTCCTGCGTGATATATTCCCCAACACGTTTATCCTCCACCAAGACGACTTTTATAAGCCAGAGCCAGAGTGCGTCGCCCTTCCTCCTCACTCGCCGCAATGCTCACATGAAGGCAGATTACCCGTTAAAAATGGCCTGCTGGACTGGGATAGCGCAGGCGCCCTGGACATCTCTGCCATGACCGAAGCCCTCTCTTATATCCGGCAGCATGCTTCCTTTCCGGTACTTGCACCACACCGTCTGACCTTTTGTAGCCAAATCCTAACGTCCTCAAAGCCAACCCTAGACTCCAAAGAAGACCAAAATTCCGTCGGAAAATGCCCGGTGCCTGAATCGACCATCACTGCCCTCAGGAGCAGAGTGTCTGACGCCCTGCCTTCTTCACACCCTCTGCGCGGCGAAAATCTACGGCTGTGCCTTCTGGATGGATTTCTGCTGTACTCGCCCTCCATGCAGGCCGTCCATTCCCACCTTGATCTCAAGCTGTTTGTGAGAGCGTCATATGCCAAGGCCAAAGCAAGAAGAGAGGCCCGTGATGGGTACGTGACCATTGAAGGGTTCTGGGCTGACCCCCCCGGGTATGTGGACAAGATTGTGTGGCCAAATTATGTCGAGGAACATGCTTGGATGTTTGATGGGGGGGATGTGGAAGGCACGTTTAACGCAGATGTCTTGGAAAGTCAAGGCATCAAGGCCCCGAAGGAGGCACCGGTAGATGCTGATCTGGAGTATGTGTTGGGGTGGATGGTGGATGTGGTGATTGATGAACTGAGGAAGCACCTATAGATGACGATGGGAGTTTTATAGAATAGATTATTTGACGACAGGACATTGATCTTGTACATGCTCTGCAATTATTCTTGTCGCCATACAATTTACCTGCGCCACATCTACCTAAGAGAAACCTATCTTGTCCAACTGGATACATAGTATGGATCAGATTTCACCTCGCCATTCGAAGCCGCAATCACATCTTGGCTCATGTGCTCCAATTGATACCAGCACCGAGTCCGTAGCGCTCATGCATACAGCTCCCAGTAGAAGGACTCACCAGCACCCGGTCCAATAAGCCTCTCAATGCTTGACTTCCGCTGCCTTGTCTCTTTCCGCGCTCATAATTCGTATTGCCGCCTCTGCTGCCTTCGTCTTAACTTCTTCCTTGGTCACACCATCAACAACCTCAGTAATGACTCTTTGGCCCACTAGAACACGACATGCAAATGCTCTGTCACCATCTGCTGCCTCCTGCACATCAACATTATATGTGACAGTCTGCGTAACCGCCATCTTGCCCAGCACCTCCTTAGGATGCTGTACCTGGACCCTGTCTTTAAGAAGGCGGTCTAAAATTGACAAAACTCCGAATTTCTGCAGCATGCACTCACAAAGCTCGATTGAGCCCGAGTCAACCCACACTGCCCCGAGCAAAGACTCAAAGATGTCCGAGTAGAACTTCTTGGCCTGGAGTCCGGCAAGGAGAGCCCATGGATAATGTGAACCCTGGCGGAGTGTCGCCAGAATTTCCCCACGAAGTGCTTCATATCGTTTCAAGGTCGTGGCTTGCTCGATTCCAATCGCCTCTGAAGAATGCCGCATAAAGGTCCACAGGGCTAAAGGAGTCGTCTCTTTATCAACAATCTGCAAGTTGGATGTAACGGCTGTTTCTGTCCGTCGCATCTGGTGGTCAAGAGACAAAAATGCCAAGAAGTCAGCATTTACCATTGCTGTCTTTAACGAATGCATTTGATGAGGAGCTAGGAGAGGCTCGGCGGTGTACATCTTTCGCACGATTATGAAATCGAGAATAGCGTCGCCAATGAATTCCAAATGTTCGTAAGATCGTCGCTGGTAGTCGAACATACACGACTGGTGGGTCATAGCTTCAATTAGCAACGATTTCTTGTTGAACTGATACCCAACCAAATGCTCCAGGGGTTTGAGCTCTGCTGGTAATTTATCCTGATCTCGTGCCATCTTGAAAAACAGCGCTCGGTTTGCGCTGACATCTTGCCATTGTATTTCGTTGACGAACAATGATATACAGTTAAGTGCTTTTGTTATGCCCCCGTTGACGTACGATGCTCCAATAAGTGCTTCTACTACATCAGCCAAGGTTTTCGTCGATAATTTTCGTGGCGACACTTTGCCTGGATTCCCGGTATAATTCTCCAGATACAATGGTCGCCATTTTTGGCCGGTAAAGGTCTTTGTGAGAATAAATTTGGCAAGCCCTACATCTATGGCTGCTCTGGAGAGTCGAGAGTTGCTTACAAGGCGGTCTTTGAAGAATGAAAGATATCCTTCCGGCCATTCTGGATCTGTACAACATTGTCAGTTAGTATCTAGGTGGGAAGCCTATACACAAGACTTACGAATAGCAGAGACTTGTATGGCAGTGCAGTATTTTAGAATCGAATCCCCAAGAAATTCAAGCCGCTCATAGTTGACAGGCTCTGCTGCGCTACGGGAGCTGATTGCCTCTCGAACCAGCCTGAGATCAGTGATGTTGATTCTTTCCAGGATCGTGGTCGATAATTCCTTCGCAATCAATGTGACCTCTAACTCGTGTATAAGGGATGGTATAAGCATGCCAAACTGTGCGAATTTGAGAGGGATGCTATCTACTGTTGCCCAAGGTAAAGGAATAACTCGAGGATATGGCTTTGTCGTTGTTGGCGTAGCGTCGGAGGAGAGAACAGGATGAAGGAAGTCGGATCGCTTGGTCCATTTCTTAACAACCAAATATGGTTCATCGGCTGGAGCATTTTCGTAATCAAAGATTGAACTCTGAACACTCTCAACCGGAGGTTTAGATGGAAGGAGCCCTACATAGTGATATGGGCTGTTTGACTCGTTTCGAACCAGGTACTTCCCTTCAATAACGTCACTGCTATTTGGGTCAAAGGTCTTGCCACCAATCCCACCCATTGATACGTGATGCTCTTGTGTCCAAACCCTGATAATGTGATGCTTTTCCTCAATTGGCCATCGATGTGCGAAGGGAAGTGCTAGCAATGCGGAAGTGTGATCTGGCATCGCAGCTACATCAGCGGCAGAGATGGGGCGACGGGAGTCGAAACGTAGCTCACAGAGATCACTGCTGTTGAGATATAGCTGGATATTTCGAAGCTGACTGAGTTCCGCAGGAATAAGCACGTTGTATTCAGATTCGCCGTGCATGTGGTCACAACATTTGAGAGAGTAAAGCCATGACTGGTCTCCTTCTGTCCAGGCTTTTGCCACCCCGAACCAAGGGTTGAGCAGTGCGTCCACCTCTACCTCTGGGGCTCTGGTCTCTACGCCAGGTATGTCTTCATACTTGAAGGGTAGTAGATTTTTATTCACCAAACCAGCCTCGTATAGAGTCTGGTAGGCCTGAAAGGCGGCATCTTTGGTCGCATTCTTCTCCGATCGCCAGCTGAATTTGCTGTCAATTTGTCGAAGTTGACTGGGAACGAATGATGGGAGAAGCACAGTGGCGCTCAACCTTGGCTTTGAGCTTGAATCACAGTCCTCGTGGGAATGAATAATATAGTCCGGCCGACTGTCAACAAACTCTCCTTGAGACAAAACTCTGCAAAAATGCTCCAAATGTGACTTTGCATTCTCAAAGTCGAGTCTAGCTCCAGTGGACTCGACTTCCATGAAAGTTGACGATGACTCTTCAGAGTTCTCCAGGCTCTGTATCGCGCGGATCTCCCGCTGTGTGTCTTGATAAACAGCCTTCATATTTTCCTCCAACGCTTCCCATTTCGCAACAGCTGACGAAGAATGCTCACTAAGCAATATCAGTTTGGACTCTTTCATCCTAGCCCGTCCCCGTCGTTGAAGAAATGACTTGGGGGTTTGAGGGTGGTCAAAGCATATGACCATATTGCAGGCTGGCACATCAATTCCTTCCTCCAAGACGGACGTGGCGATGAGAATATTGATCTTTCCTGAACGAAAGCTTTGCAAGGCTGCCATTGGGTCTGAACTCTGTCCGACGAGTTCATAAAGAGCTAGTTTCCTACTCTGATAGTTGGATGTCCCAACCATTGATCCGATGCGATGCTTTTCCACGATACGTGGACACGACACCAGAAACTCGCGGAGAGCACCGGCAGTTGCTCGCTCCTTTACGAAAATCAGACAAACTGTTGATTCCTCTACTGACACAAGTTCTCGAACCAGGGCGGTCGCCTTCTCAGACACCTCACTGCCACTTTGTGGCATTGAAGCTGGGCAAGAAGGAGAAACTCGACGAATGAAATCTGCCAAGTACTTCTTTTCGGCATCAACCCAATCATTGAAGATAGCATCGGTGTTTATACGGGCCAAGAAGGCAGCTGAAGACTTCCAGATGTACATGTCCGCCGCCCAGGTTCCAAGTTGCTGTAATATCTCGGCGCTGCGTCCCCATAAGCCCTTAATTTGGTTCTGCACAAATGTGTCGTACTTCTCAACAGCTCGTACGAGCGCCCGACGATTTCGGTCTGAGGGGTCTTCTTGGAGTCTTAAAATATATGGGTCTTTTGTTATATCGAGGTTTAGGAACTCTTTTCGCAAACGGTACATTGATTCTGTGTACTGCAATGACCGAGGTGCGTCATAAACAATGCTGTATATCTGCGGTCGCTTGACGCACTTCAAAAGCTCTTCTCGATGCCTGGTAGGGGAAATGCATTTCGCGTCCAATACTGCCTCGAGAATCTCCATGTTGGCAAGATCTTCTTTCATACTAGGAGTTGCTGTAATGCCAAGGATATTTGGAATGCTTTTAGCCGCATGTTTATTGTGGTGGTAGAAATCCGTCATGATCTTGCTTCCTGGATGCTTTCCTACACAGTTATGTGCTTTTTTGAAAAGTTAGTTTGAGGCTCACGGTGTAGCTACAAATCTTTAGCTAACCTTCGTCAAAGATGATGAGAGAAAGCCGGTCGATGCTGATGAATGCGTGACAAAGTGCATCGAGGAGAACCTGGTAGGTCGACACAACAACCCGCACCCCATCTAGGATCGTATCCCAGGTGTCGGCCGACCATGTGTCAACCTGATCGTTGCCTGTGAGCAGTTTCATGGCTACCGATGCTGCCTGCAACCGAATCACATCGAATTGTTGGCCACACAATGCGACAGTTGGTGCAAGAAACCATATTATCTAGATCTGCATAAGTGAAACTGATCCAATGAATGATTTCCAAATCCGGCAATACCTTATCGGGAGCGGATCGATCCAGCTCGGCTTTGATGCGCAGCACGGCACTTGAAAGGGGTCAGAACTTATGGTCGCTTTAGGAAGGCTGTTAGGTAATAGGAGAGGCGAGACGTAAGAACGACTTACACTTGAGTCTTGCCACTTCCCGTGTCCATCTAATTGACAGCAGACAGTTAAAATAGGAGGCGACGAAGGGTTGAATCGTTCGGGTAAACTCACAACCACAATGGCATTTTGTTTGAGGCTCTGGTCGAGCATCTCCAACTGGTAGGCTCGAGGGGACATGGCAGTGGCAGAGGGTGTTCCACTCGTCTCATTGTCACAAGCAATACCCTGGTGTGAAGCATCCTCATGTTGTTCTTGGGGAGAGGCTTGCAGGGCATCGGCAGAGATTGTTTCCCTAATATTAGGGAAATCTGTGGGGGTGTCATTTTGATCACCTTCAACCCAGACCGTCTCCGGTAATATACCGGGTACTTCGGATTCATTGGAACTATAAGAGCCAACGGGAGATGTAGCCGGAATCATATTTCTATGGTGATAGCCTCCGGGCATCCCGCCATTCAACTAACGCATAGGGCTTGCGAATGGGGTTGTTTCATTCCACAAGAACCAGGCAAACACCAAGGAGATGGACCGCCATGTGTGTGTGAACCAAACAATGGGAATGGATGTTCGTATGGAGTCGTGGCCGAGCTAAATCCGCAACCCGAGGCCACCAGGTCGAAGTGGACAAGGTACTCTCTTCCCTGATGCTAAATACCTGGCTACTAGGTAGGTAGGCAGTCACCGCTGGATTAGTTTGAGGTTCAGTACAGAGTACAGGGGTACGGAGACAAAATTGACGCAAGCTGCGATGAAGCATGGGGTACTTCGTATGCATAGAGCAGGGCCTTTCTTACCAATGAGCACGTTTAATGGGTGTTTCTGCGTGAAAAGTGCGAGCTCAAGTTGAGCTCCGAGTGGCGGGGTGTGGGTGGATGGAGGGGTAGCTTTTGTTCTGTTGTTTTTGGTCAGCTACAGTGGGTGTAGTACTCCGTAGTCTGGGGTGCTAGTCGCTCACGATGTTGAAATGCAAAGCGATCGACGTCTCTGCCATCGATTTCAGTGAGAAAAGGGACTACGCGAACAGGACCCTTGGGCCCTGAGGCCAAGGAGTTGGGTCAAATGAAACCCTCAGTACGTATGGTTTGTCCGTTAAGGTTGTTTGGTTGTTTGAAACAAGACCATGCCCAGGCTCCTAAAGCCGGAAGGAGCCACTGGAGCCTAAGCACCTGCCAGGCTAAGCTCCAAGCCACGTCCGATGTAGCGTCAGGCAGACGAAGCCACCCTCAAGCTTTGGCAACCATGTAATATCTTACTGGCACTTTGAAATATTTGGCCCAATGGAAGATCCGTTGTCCATGTCCAGGACAACCAACGTACCTCTCCGTGTGGAGGAATGTCTTGTTTGTTACACGTTGGTTCCAAAATCATCACAGAAACTAACCTCGGTTTAGGTTCAGCATTACGAAGTCAAATGAGATATACCGTCTTCTTTGCCTTGTCTAGCTCGCACCGCCTCGAACCAAGCCCACCAGGCTAGGGCCACCAGCATCACCAACTACGAAATTGGCTGCTCTGTTTGTTAATACTTCATTGCCTTGGCATCAAAAGATCCAGACGCAAGCCAAGACAGACAAGTCTAGGATACATTGCAGCTCGCAAACCTTGTCTCTCAAGCGGACTGGCGAGGAACCTTTGGTCATCACGAGACAATAACCGCAATTGCACCACCCTGTTCTTTATCTTATCCGGAACGAGTTCCCAAGGCGGAAAAGTTCTGACCCAATCGCTGCCACGACATGTTAGATCCTCAGACTGAGCCACGTTATGACTGCAGCCCGCCTAGCGCCGCTCATTAGTATTCTTCCACCACAGGGCAAAAGTCCCGTGTGGGGGCTCGATCTTGGCTTCGTGACCAAAGATGGACTTGTTCGCTGCAGGCTTCAATGCCTGGAACCAATTATGCTTCGTGCCGGAATCGGGAGATGTTGCTGAGCCTAAGGATCTATCGACATTTACAAAAGTCCTTGATGACGACTGCCTTGAACGACCTCGAGCAGGCTTATACTACACGCTAGGTACGTATGGGATAAGCGGACGGCGCAGCAACCGGAGTCAATGCCATAAAAGCTTCCTCGATAGACTCAGACCACTTCAAAGCTCACATTTCACATTGAACAGTCCGCGGCCGCGCCGGGTACTATCGTGCCGGTATCGGGATCGAGACCGCAAGTGATGAAGATATCCAGCGAAGTTACCGGGCCTGTCGCGCTGGCAACGGCCTCACTCTGATCTTTGACGGTCCTACATCTGCCGAAAATACGGGTATGAGGCTTGGGCCGAATAAACACTTTCTAACAGTGCATCCTTGTTATGATGACTTTGTATCAAAGTCCAACCCCACGAGTTGGCCATGTAATAGCCAGGTGCGAGAGGTGGCCTCTTTCGCCGCCGGGTTTATAATCCTGTATCAAAACGGCCAGGTAGCCACGATGGGTGATCCGCGATACCAGGACTGCCTTGCTAGAGAAGTAACGTCGGATGAGTGAGTTGCGAGATACTTTTGTCCACTGCATGCTCGTTCGAAAAGCAAACGATGGGACTGATTTTTGTGTTACATAGACCGGCTGATCAGCCGGGATTTGTACCCGATCTAATCAATCTAGGAGAACCCATAAAACATGTTACCGCCGGCGGTTATTGCCTCACGGCACTCACTCAGAGCGGAAGTATTTACATCTGGGGTCGAAGATGTACAGGACAAAGACAAAGCGGCCATTCGGCGTTTGCGGAATTATGTGGCATACCCAACTACCTCGGCGTAGATGGCGACAAAGATGTACAGGATGTGGCCTTGGGGGATAGTCACGCTATAGCGCTGACGACTGATGGCACTGTTTATGTGATTGGTCGTAATGATAATGGTCAACTTGGCTTGAGACAAGGTGTGGACATGGCCGCAAAAACATGGACAAAGGTAAAGCTGGGTGTTCCAGATGGTTGTCAAGTCGTAGGAGTAGCTGCTGGACCAAAATCGTCATTTATTTTGACAGCACAGAAGACAGGTGTAACCTAAATCAGCATATATCACACTGAACTTTCAGAAAGACTTCCGTTGAGAGGGCTCATTGAGAATTTATGATCTTCTATTGTACACCAAACTTCACGTCATTACCCAGCCACGCTCACACATCATAGACTCGTCAGGTAGTCCTCGATTTCCTGAGGGGTGAGCTTTCTGAATCGCGGGCCCGTTGCTCCCTCGACCCCCTCGACTCCCAGCAAGTGGTCAGCAGGAGGGCCGACAATACCTACAGTCTCGGTTAGTGATCGGGCGAAATAGCCAATGCCTAATTGCGTGCAGAAAGCGACATACCAATCTCAATGGAATCACCGTTCATTTCTCCCTCAATATTGTCCTTCAAGGTCAAAAGGGCAATGTGAATTGCATCCTCCAATTCCAATTCCTCAGAGTATCTCTTCTCCAGGAAGGTCTTAGCCTTGGTCGCGCTCTTACCAATAGCTGTAGCCTTCCAGGGAAAGTAACTACCCGTAGGGTCGACCTGATACAACATAGGCCCGCCCTTTTGGATACCACCAGTTTTGGACGTGGGTTTTTTTTCGTCACCTTCAGCAGCGGGGGCCTCATCTTCGGGCTCGATGCCATCATCCCAACCGGCAACTAGCATGCTCACACCGTAGGGTCGAACGCCAGCTGACTGCGTTGCTTCTTGCATAACTCTAGCAACATCCTGGACCAATATTCTGGTAGGAGGGTACTCGTTGTAGATTCGCTTGTAGCCAGTGTGAGAAACTTTGCGTGCTCGGTCAATTAGGACTCGGTAATCGGGACCCATGCCAGAATAGACGGCGCCAATGTTTGGTGTGATGTTGCTGATTTTGGACACGGAGCTTTGGTCAGCGAGAGGCGAGGACGACTTCTTTTCGGTGGCGAGAACGATGCCGTTGGTAGCTGGTGGAGTTTAAGTACTGGGAAGATGCATAGAGACATGGAAAGCCGGGTACGGAGTGTACAAACCTTTAATGCCAAGGGCGGTAATGCCCTGATTGACAGCGTTCAAAGCGTATTCTACGGATCATTAGGTTAATACAGTTGCAGATATCGCATTTTCGTCGTAGCAGTACTAGGGGGTCTTGATAAATGGCACAAGAATTCCGTACCAATCTGCACCAGCTTTCCACTACACAGCAATAATTAGCTAAGCTCCAAGCACGTCGTCACCACGAAGTGACATCAAGACGATCTTGCCCCAACATACCTGGGAGAGAATGTTGTGAGGGAGAATGAATATCGGTCCGCCATAGCTGCAACGGTCACCAAAGAAGGTTTGGCAAGGACTCTTGTGGTATCGGATCTGGAGAGAGAAACGGATTGGAGGGTCAATGAGGTCGAAACAACTGCGACAGTCAAGCTTGGATGTTCCCGCCTCAAGCAGCCTGGTGGACGGTGGCCCAGGCACGGGCGAAGCTGCGCGTTCAGGCTGGCCTGGGAGCTTCCCAGCCCGGCGCATGAGTTTGGCCGAACTCCGAGGACCCACTCGTTTCGTTGCCCGCCTCACGGATTCCGTTGGGCACAGGAATTGTTGCTAGAATTAACGCGGTGCTTCGGTTCGATAGCCTTGTCCTCGTGTTCCATGATGATGTGGCCTCAACATCGGCCTGGAGGTTGACCGTCCTGAAAGCTGCATTAACCCACGTAACAATTGTTGGCTCTTATTTTCTTGTCTTTTCTTCTGGCAGTAAGATATCTATTCTGCATTGACTCCGTCTGCTCTTCAGTTTTCAAGGCAGACCATGTGGTCTGCAGCGCAGCCATTTCGCCTAATATGCTGATTTCACCAACCCGAATCGAACGCAATTGAGCCTCTACGAAGCATCAGAACTTACTACCACCGCAGTTTTAGCTCGCAGTGCTGCAATGGATTCTGAACCGTTTGAAAACGCAGGCACCTCGTTTGAGCGCCGACGGATGCCATACGCGTCCTCGCAGCCGTCCGAACGAACCGAGACGTTCGGACGATCAGGGCCTCGGCTAGCAGGCGAGAGCACTGCCGCAAAGGAAGAAGCTCCAAACCCCCAAGCGAAACCAAAAGGCCGTCGCTATGGCCCACGGACCTGTCGAATTTGTCTAGACACCGAGCATCCCAAATTCCCTACGGATATTCCAAGGACATTTGGCGTGTCGACAAGGTCGTCACGGCCCGTGTATGAATCAGACGACCCTGAACTTGGCCGGCTCTTGTCGCCTTGCAAGTGTAAGGGCTCGTCGAAATATGTCCACGAAGGATGTCTCGATGCATGGCGGTTGACGAACCCCACTGCCACGAGAAATTTCTGGCAATGCCCGACATGCAAGTTCACCTATCGACTGGCTCGGCTGCACTGGGCCTCGAGGCTCAGCAGCAAATGGGCACAGGTTTTTTTGACAATAGTGGTCCTTATTGTCAGCCTCTTTGTCCTTGGCTTTATTGCAGATCCCATCATGGACTTGTGGTTTGATCCTGTGGGGTCTATTGCAGACACGGTATCGAGTGTCGTATCAGATTTGGATGCTGTGCGGCCGCCGGTGTACGAGGAGCCCAGCACATGGGCCGAGCATTTTACCAAGGGCTTCTTCTCCCTAGGGCTGATTGGTGCCATCAAGTCCTTTGTTGCAATGGGTCCGTGGCACTGGATCAACTTCCGTGCTGGAGGGCTCTTTGGCTCCGGCAGACGCGGCGGCACGGGCAGGAGCAGGATGGACAACTTCAACCTGCTTTTTGTCATCATTGGAGCATTTACGTTTATGATGGCCGTGTGGAGGTTTGTCAAGGCAATGAGTGCACGAATTCTGACCAATGTCAGCAATAAAGTCATGGATGTCGGCGACGAAGATGACGAATATGAAGAAGCGATTCCGGACGGCGGTGCTGCTGGTCCAAGCTAATGAAGAGAATAGGGAGAGACAGCTAGTCACAAGAACCGGCAGAAATAGCAACGATGATCAACCGCCAATGCATTTCTTTGAGTTCCAGGATATGCTTCGTGTTCATGTAGACCTTGCACACTCTTAAGTTGCCTCGACTTTTGCTCTTCCATGTCAAGTCAACTAGTCTGCGTGCAGATATTTAACGTCTAGCCGTTACCTTGAGCCTGAGCCGTTTTGGCTATGTGATCTCGTCGGTACGGTGTGACAGGTCGGTAAAATCAACTTGAAGCTCACGCACTGTTTTGGTGTATGAAGCTATTTGGCGTCTACTTGGTACAACATGTACAAAGCCGTGGGTAGATTGCCTTGCGCAACTGATACATTTATCATCGTCTTCTGGCGTAGTATAGCGAACCTTGGCCTACGTAAATTACTCTGTGTACAGCATCAACTGCCTGCCAGGGCTGGATGTACTAGTCGTGTCAGCCTAGTAAATTTACATTTACAATACAGTATATAGTCGATATGCCCGATCGAATGCTCCAGTGAACTAGTCCGTGAATACAGAAGAGCCAGTGTTTATATGAGGTGGCACGATAAATTGTGTCCATCAGCCATCAATCGATAACGGCTGGATGGAGGACCCCTAGAACGAGGCGGCTTGCCACTGTTAGCCCCAGGCATCTGCAGCATTGTGGCAGCGTGTTGATAGGTCCATGTCCACCCAGTGCCCCTGTCTGGTCAACGTTACCTGACCCCTACTGCAATTGATACTTTATCTTAGTCAACACAGCAAACTCCTAATCATCACAACTCCCAGAAAACCTCACGACTAGGTTCCTCGGCCGATGGCTCACCTGCAGAGACCAGCCGTGCGCCCTTGACACTATATCCCTTTTCCGACATCGTCCTTTTCTTGACAGCTTGCTATTTCCCCGAGGGTGTGTCTTCTGTCGCCCGTCTCATTTGACGTTTGCATCAATCGACGATCCCCGAGACCTTGACCAAGATTTCCCACAAGCAGTCGGGATAGCCATATCGCAGCCGCCCGAACACGAAACGTGTTGCCGCGAGGCGACTTTTCACGAGCACGGCCGAATGTTGTCAAGGACAACACTGAACCTGCGCACACCGACGGTCTAGGGGATAAAATTGCGACGAAATAGATTAAGCCCTGTGTTTGCGAAAGGACAGGACGGACTAGCTGGCCAACAATGCATCTTCCATACCCCCCGCGAAAGCGTTCGAACCCGCCGCCGTTTCGGCCCATGTCATCAAATATATCTCTGCTTAGACGAAGCAGATTAAAAAACATTGCCATTGGAGCCTTGCTTTTCCTGGGCGCGCTCTACTTGCTCTTTGGGGGCAAAAAGCCCGATCCTTACCACGAGCATGTGCCCTCAGGCCATCCGTCGGTGGTGTTGGTGACGGTAATTGACCCCAGTGAATGGGACACTGCATATTTGGACACGATTAAAGAGAATCGTGAGAGATATGCCGCGAGACATGGTGCGTTTAAAGCACTTGTTCAACAGGAAATAATACTAACCACCCAAAAGGCTACCAAGCAATGGTCGTCAACGCCCTAGACTACGATACGCGAGGAGCCCCACGATCATGGGCCAAAATATTTGCCATGCGTCACGCCCTTTCGAAATATCCCGATTGCAAGTTTATCTGGTACCTCGACCAAGACGCCTACATTATGGACCCAACCAAGAGCCTGGAGGACCAGGTTACGAGGCCCAGCAGGCTGGAGAGTCTCATGATTAAGGATTACCCTGTTGTACCGCCTGACAGCATCATCAAGACATTCTCACACTTGGGCGGCGAAAGCATTGACTTTATCGTAACCCAGGATAAAGAGGGTCTTGTGCACAAGAGTGTTGTCATTCGCAACGGAGAATTCGCCAAGTTCTTTGTCGAGACGTGGTTCGATCCTCTATATAGGGCTTACAATTTCCAGAAAGCCGAGAGACATGCATTGGTACGACCTGCTCTTTCCAATTTCCCGCGCATCTCGATGCAGTATTGACTTTAGATGTTTCAGGAACATATCGTCCAATGGCACCCAACCATCCTTTCCAAACTAGCCCTCGTCCCCCAACGGACACTCGCGTCTTACTCGAAATCCACCATCGGCGAGCAATATCAAGAAGGCGACTTTGTCGTGCTCTTCCCAGACTGTACCAAGACGGGGGATCAGAGCTGCCAGACCGTGTCGTCACACTACTGGGAGAAGATGAAGAAGGCATTTGGTATAGCATGAGTGGGCATGGATCAAGAATGAGATTGAAATGCAGTGCGCCGTGATTTGGGGCGTTTATGGACCAAAATCGCTTTCCCTTTCTTTACTCTTGTACTTTTTTTAAACCCGAGTTTGGCGTTGCCGGTTTGAATAGACGCGATATGAGCGACGAGAGGGAAGGAGAGGTGGTGGACGGGGTGGAGGAAACATGTATGATTTGAGTGACATGGCTAGGGATAATTTCGCATGTTATATTATTGTTTCATGATGAGGCATGTTGGGGTATGTTTCAGAGACTGGGATTGAATTGCAGAAATATTGATTTGGGTTTAAGATTGCCGGCGTGAGGCGCCACCATCGTAAGGGCTTAGCCGATGGGCAGATACATATGCCCGTGGGGTTGAGGGAATGCGAGGCGATGATGACTCGATATTTTTTCAAGTGCCCAGGAGTCTCTTACGCACCCCGCGTTGGTGTTGCACGATGGAGAGGATAGCATTGCGCTATTAGCTGCTAGGCAATGCATTTGGCCACGATGGAACGTTGAGTGGCCCAAGTCGGTGGCCGCGGAGGTCGAATGTCGACTTATCCCGGTTAGCAGCGCCGGGCCATATACCAAGATGTCGAGGGGATGTGGCCACCTTCGAGGTCTGGACAACCAATCATGATGGCTTTTCTTTACATCTTTATGCTGTTCGTGTTGGTGTCCCGTCCTCGAATTTCACAAGTCCCCATCGTACAGCCTGTCAACCTGGTACACACCCATCACTCGCAAGACCAAAGCAGCGACTTGACCTTGACTCGACATTTGACTCGACCTCGACACGGTGGCGCTTGGTTCGTCTTGGCGTACAAGTATCAGGGACAGTATTCACGTTTTCGCCGTAAATCAGCTGGTGCTATACGAACAGTTGGGGAGGGAATAGACAGGACAACGATCAAGGACACTCTGCTCGGGTCTCTATGCCAGCCTTCATAGTGTCTACCTTGCATTCTTATGCAGTCATGAGGGGAATCCCAACGTAATGATAGATGGTCACTCCGGCCGACTACACGTTCACCACCACTTGCTACCTCTTATATGACGAATAGTGTTCGATCCACAATGGTCGTCACCTCCCTTTTCATACGCGTGAACCAGTCATGTATATAGCGAACCGGATAATTTGCCTTCGGGTAGGCCGCTTCCACCCCGGCGGCCAATATATCCCGGCCGGTGGTAACAAGTCCCTCCCCACGGGTTCGCGGCGAGCATCTGCTTATCGCGCAGAGCAACGTTGTCTATGGTAGCAGGATAGGGCGGGTGTACCAAATTGGTGTCCTGGCGGCGCTCCAAGCTCCTTTGTGTCATGTCTGCTGGTTAATGCTTCGACTTTCCCGGAGGCGTGCCGGCTTCAACGACATTGGAGACTTTGGTGCCGACATCTCAAGGTTCGCTCATAGCTTTCTCCTCGTAGGGCCAAAATTTTCCCCAGTTTTACCACGGTTGTGAATCTATTGCATGGGCAGAAACATTGAATCTCATACAAGCTACCTGGGTAGTTGGCTCTCTTGCTCTGTCGATTCACGATGGCAGATGGACAAAACTGGTACCAGGCATACCAAATACAGTCTTCCGTCTTGAATTCCGTCGACGCGTAATACAACTTACTTCGCTTTTGTCGTCGTTTGCTATTTATTTGCTACGAAATAATAATAAAAATTGGGCTAGCAATAATCCCATACATGACTCGTGGAGCCATGCAACTTCCGCAAAATGTAGAAGATGGCATTGTGTCAATCACGCCCGCGAATGTACGATAGTTGGCCACGCTTCACAAGAGGTCAAGTCGCAATCTAAGCAAGGAGCAAGAACTCTATAAAAATCCCTCCATTGGCCAGTCGTGCCGACAGTTGTTCCGAGTTGCCTGGGTGCTCGCCGCGGGGAGACGCAATAGCTGGATGAGAAGGCGCAAGGTCGTCTTCTCAAGTGCTCATGCCACGAGCAAAGCTATGATCAAATGATGATCTCCGCATTTCCCCGGAGAGGTGCAAAAAAAGCCGCCACCCTATCCATGTGTATAAACACCGCTACTTGCATTTGTGACAGTTACCATTAGCGCCTCAGCTATAGGTCGTTTGTGGTGGCAACTTCGCAGCTTGTCAACGGCACCAACTATTTACACAGTGTTGGAGGTTCAAAATGTTATCCCTGAAAAGCCGTACCCAGCACATCGGACCTCGACCGATGTGGGGCTCCACTTCGGACCGCCAGAGAGCATCATCGACCAAGGGAAGCGGACCGCGAGACTCCGTGGTAATGGGCCACGCTTCGTCAGAGGAAAGACGGACCTGGTGGGCGATGATCATTTTTTGGCCAATGAAAAGGTCAAGTCCGCGATGAGATGCCCGCTTCTGATTGGCCAGGCATGGGGCGGGCATACGACCTTTCGTCTCTTCGTTCCTTTGTCAAGATCAAGTGGCTCATTCCATCGCTATTTAAATTAGCTGCAGGCAAGAGTCGGCGGGATTGCCCCACTAAAAAATGTTCAAGTACAGGCCGTCCCCCACCTCCATGTCTGTTTTTCAGGTGTCCGACTGGTGCTCTGCACCGAGGTCTGAGCTGGCTCGAGCCTCCGACTGGTGCCTTTGTCGTGCGCAACAAGAGCAGGAGCAGTCGAGATGCGCTTGCCTTTTCGCTGCTGATAGCCCCGATGGCAAGCAACTGAGTAAGTATATGTACCTGGGTACCTAACTTGGGTCGTCGCCTGCTTCGTACGTACTTGCCGCTTGTAGCTGAGAGCTCTCACCAGCGCCAAACGCCCACGACTATCCGAGTCGGACTACAAAACCGACCACGTCAAACCCTCACTCTCTTTTACTTTCCCCAGCCCACCGTCCTTTTGCCCTGCGATAGCTTCCTCGGTGGCATTCCTTGTCCTTGTCCTTCGTTTTGCACTTGCGTCTGGGGCATTTGGGACACAAACAGCCACGTAGGGGGCCATTCTCTTGTCTTGTTCTCGTCTTGTTCGCCCGCCGTCATCAGCTTTGCTGCCACTGTCCTCATTGGACCGACGCCACCATGCCTGGAAGCTCTCGAATGCCCGTCAGTCTCCTCGGCGGCTTCGAAAAGGTCAAGCGCCGAGGACCCGCCAACCCTCTCGATTTCCTCACCGTCGACCTGTACGTGATATTCCCATGACCTTTGTTGTAACTGTTTGTTTGTGTTTTCTTGCTGGTGAAACATGTGCTGTTCAGCCTGCTATTCAGCTCTCCCTCCGATGTGGTGCCTCTTTGTGCATGTCGGTCATGAGCTGGCTGAGGCGCATTGGCGCATTCTATGTTGGCTCTATATTGCCAATAGCCAATTGGTCGTGACGTCAAGCATCGCGCCAATTGGCGTCGACTCACCTCCCGTTTTCTTCACACACCACACCGAGAAACAACCTTCTCACCGCATGCTCATCGGATTTCTTGGCTGACACCTCATCTTCGTTGTTGCTGCTAGGCTCCGGAATATCGTCTTCTACTACTTTGTCCTCCGATGGACCCGACGTGCTTTCTGGAAGCTCAAGGGTCGAGGCCCGATCGGCGCCATCCTCGAGTTGTACCATGTAATCCACCGCACATTATACGGTTATTTCCTTCGCGCCCCTGGCGTGCGTGGCAAGGTCCAGAAACAGGTCAACGAGTCCATTGCTCAAATGTCGTCCAAACTCATTGCACAGACTGATACCCGGTACTTGACGCTTCCCAAGGAGGGCTTGACCGCAGATACTGTGCGTGCGGAACTTGAGATGCTGGCCAACCTCGACCACACCCGCTGGGAGGATGGCTTCGTCTCCGGAGCCGTCTACCACGGCGAGGAAAGTCTCATCGGCCTGCAGACCGAGGCTTTTGGCAAGTTTACCGTTGCCAATCCCATCCACCCGGATGTCTTCCCGGGTGTGCGCAAGATGGAAGCTGAGGTAGTCAGCATGGTGCTCAACATATTTCATGCCCCTCCTGGAGCTGCCGGCGTTTCGACTGCTGGCGGTACTGAGAGCATCTTGATGGCTTGTTTGAGCGCTCGCCAAAAGGCGTATGCCGAGCGCGGAGTTACGGAACCTGAAATGTATGTCTCAACATTTTGAACAAGGATGCGGCAAGTTGTCGTACCTATGTTGTGCATATTAACCGTGCCAGAACGTGGCAAATGGCTAACCATTGTCTTGGCAACAAACAACAGGATTCTCCCTTACACTGCACACACTGCCTTCCGCAAGGCCGGTGATTACTTTGGTATCAAGATTCACCTCGTCGACTGCCCTGCGCCCAGCTATCAGGTCGATGTCAAGAGAGTGGCGCGTCTGATCAACCCCAACACGGTTCTGCTAGTCGGTTCTGCTCCCAACTTTCCTCACGGTATCATCGACGACATCGCGGCCTTGTCCAGACTGGCTGTCCGCAAGAAGCTCCCCCTCCACGTCGACTGCTGCCTAGGATCATTTCTCGTGCCGTATCTCGAAAAGGCCGGCTTCGAATCGGAGCTTTTCGATTTCCGTCTCAAAGGTGTTACCAGTATCAGTTGCGACACCCACAAGTACGGCTTTGCCCCCAAGGGTAATTCGACCGTGTTGTACCGCACGGCGGAGCTACGCCAGTACCAGTACTATGTCTGCCCTGACTGGTCCGGAGGCGTTTACGCATCTCCCGGTATTGCTGGATCGCGCCCTGGTGCATTGATCGCCGGCTGCTGGGCGAGCTTGTTGACCGTAGGCGAGGCCGGCTATGTGGATGCTTGTGTAAAGATTGTTGGTGCCGCCAAGAAGATCGCAGAGGCCATTCAAAGTTCTGGAACGCTCAACGGCGAGCTCGAGATTGTCGGTAAGCCCCTCGTTTCCGTGGTCGCCTTCACCGCTCTCAACCTCGACATCTACGACATCGCCGATGCCATGTCGAGCAAGGGATGGCATCTCAATGCGCTGCAGAACCCTCCGGCAATCCACGTGGCTGTAACCATGCCCATTGCCAAGGTGTGGGAGCGTCTGGTTAGCGACCTGGAGACTGTTATCGAGGAGGAACGCGAGAAGGAAAGAGTGCGTCAGGTGGAGGGCAAAGGGGCCAAGGGCAAGGCCATGGGCAACTCGGCTGCCCTGTATGGTGTAGCTGGCTCTCTGCCAAATAAGAGTGTTGTCGTGGACCTGGCAAAGGGATTCCTGGATATTTTGTACAAGGCATAAGATGTCGGCAGCGATTGGGGTTCAAGGGTGAATATAGGAGGCGAATTGTATAAGCAAAAGGGAGCCTGATTTACGGCGGAGGTTTTTTTTTTTTCATCTGCCTTTTTGTGTTGTGTGGGGGTGTTTTCTTTTATGAAGGCGCCCTTTGCAGCATTCATAGCATTATTGAAGCATCAATAAATAGCCTACAGGTCACGGCGAGTTTATCTCTAATCAGGACACGAGTGGGCAGATGGCGATATCCGTCGTCTTCGGTAATGGCACGGCGTCGAATGCGCAACAGAGCCTCATTACATGATTCCTAGGGGGCTCGAGATGGAATCAAGGTTCTCCTCCCTTGTTGTTGTTGCTGTCTGGCCGTAGACGCACCAGCCAATAAAGCAATCTAGATGGTGCTGACGCGGGCAAAACGGCTACAGCCTCACTTTCGAGTGTCCGATGACGAAAGACGCATTCAGACGGCCAGCAGCAGCACACCACCATTTTTGCTCGCCCACGGCCCATTCATTCACTCACGGTCAGTTGGTCGGGCTGCGCTCTGTGCAAAATTTAGTTTTTTTATAACCTCGCTCCCTCCCTCCCCTCCCCTTCCACAGCCCAAGTCGGTGACCAAGTGCGATGCCGAGAGGGGGTGGAGGAGGAGGAGGAGGAGGAGGAGGAAACAGCGGTAGGTCAAGTAGTCTGTGATTCAACTCGCGGGGGAAGGGGCCTCTCAGAGGGAAGAAAAGGGTCTGGTCTGTCTGGTCGATCGGGGAGGAGGGGGGTTCCCGCGGCAGAGGGGCGGCGGAAATACCAGAGACAAAGGAAGGCAAAAATGAGGCGGGTGGTGCAGGAAAAGGCGTGGCGAAGGCCTGCATAGCGCCTGGTGTCATATGCAGGGCTTGCAAGCAGGAAATGCTGTCGTGCTGGTGACTGAAGTGCCTCTTTTTGGCTTGCTTGGCCTTTTGCGGTGATGCCCAAGGACCAGACCAGACTAGACACCAGACCTCGAGGGCTGGCCGGTTGTGTTTGCCACTTGGGGATCAATGTGCAGTCGGGTGGGATTTGGTGCCAGACTACCTGTTTATCACTATTATTATTAATGTAATGCTTCTTTTTTTTTTCTCTTTTTAAAAAAAAAAAAAAAAAACAAGGGAATCCTGGGGTTTGTCGGCATGAGATACGAAATGGCTGCATTTTCGAGAGGTGGGTGGGGAGATGCAATTACTCGGCACATGAAGCTGGGGGTTGGTGATGTGAGCATTTGTCAAGGTTCAAGGGTCTTACAAGTGGCCACTTTTTGCGGAAGAGAGCAGTGGCATTTGCTGCTGGACTTGGAGTTGTATGTATGGCATGTGCGTTGCGAGCGAGTGCACGCCTTTGCGGCCTGCCGTTCTTTCCATGTTGCCCCCTCCATCAATGTCGATGTCCCCGCGGCGGCAGGCGGTAGGCAAGTACTTGGGTACTTGAGAAAGTTAGGTACTGAAGTACTTAAGGTATCACGCTGGCGGCGGCGGCGGCGAAACAGGGTGGTGGTGGTTTTGGTATACTAATTTCAATGCTCCCTTGCTTCTCTTCCCCGGGCGGCCGGGTCGCACAAGGCGTACCTTTTTGTGGGCTTGCTATCTCGTTTTTCTTGCTGCTGTGTGAGTTGAACTATTTGAGATGCCATGTGGTGGCACGGGGGACGGGGGAACAAGGTAACAGGTCAGGTAACAGGTCGACAGGTTGCATATACGTGCATGGGGGAGGATAGTCGGGAGTTCTGCCGTGCGCATGTGGCGAGAGAGCGTCTGGAGGAGGTACGACGGTAGGACATGTCAACAATCAACCTCGTCGGAAGGGGCCGCGTGCCTTGATTGGATGCACCCGGCCAGAGCTGCTCGACACATGGGCCGTTGACATCTAGATTTCTTCTTTATCGTGGGTGGGCGTGACGAGAAGACGGCCAGTGCTTGGCAAAGCCAAGGGTGTGCACCGATACATTGGGGTAAATGCGTAAATGGGCTGCTTCGTCGGGTTTTCAGTCCATCGTCTGTTGATGCCAGTTGTTGCTGAAGTTGGGTCATGACAAGAAAGCATATAACAATTGCCCGCTGCCCCGTCGTGAGTCGAGACGTCAAACACAACTGCTCAACTGGTCCCCTTCATCATCATCGCCGCTGCTGTGAATTGGTGATTGACTCCTTTTTTGAGCTCGTATAAACCACCATCACCTTCTTGTTTGCGCTCTCTCCCCTTTCACCTCTGTCTTCGTCGTCCATCTTGTCCCCTCCTCCATCTTCCATCCTCCATCCTCCATCCTCCGTCCTCCATCACCATGGCGGCAGCAGGCCCTGCCATGGAGTCGGCGTCCTGCGTTGGGCTCGGGCTGAACCTGGCTCAGGACGCGGATATATCGCATTTTTCTCTGCGGAGCGACGCCGTCGCACCAGAGACGAAGCCAGCGGCTCCCAGGAACCGCTTCCAAGCTACCGTGGATGACGACGACTCGGACCAAGACACCGTCGTCGCATCACCAGCCCGCAACAAGGTTGCAGACAGTGTCTCGTCGTCCTCGCCCTCGCCCTCGTCCTCGTCAAGGACGTCTACCCAGAGGCCCAATGGCGATTTTCCAGACCACCACCAGCCTGCCTCGCCAACACCCGCCAGCCGATATGGCAAAGCTCGTCCTTCTCCTTCTCCCTCCCCGTCGTCTTCATATTCCCATGCAAGCCCAAGCTCATCAAAGTCACACGCCTCGTCCTCTTCAACGGCATACGGGACCCCCAATGCAACACTTACACCACCCTCGTCTGCCGAGTCCAGCCCCAAGCAACGGCCTGCCGTGCACTTTTCCACCAGACCCCCCGTCGTGCTGCACCACAGATCAAATAGCTATCCGGTAGCGACGGAGCCTTCTTCGCCGCGATATACCACGTCGTCACGCGGCGACGGCGGTCCACACATGTCCGTGGTCGACAGACAATGGGGTCAACTGTTTACCGAACACGGCGAGCCAACCAGGAGATTGGCCTCTGTGCTACGCGGGTTGGCGAACTTCATGGTAAGGAACCAACAACACGCCGGGCCGAGCTTGTTTCTGATGAGTCTGATGAGTCCAGGTCCGGGAATACGAACCACGCAATTCGCTCGTCATCCCTCCTGTCAAGATGTTTGCCTTGTATAGGAGATATAAACTTGACAAGGAACAATTCCCCTTCCAAGGTCCGCCGTCTCCCTCCCCCCCTTTCCAAGACTTGAACAAGAACACAGTCCTGATGATTGTACCCAGGAATATTCGACTACCAATCCCGTCACTGCCTTCGCAGCCTGGAACTCCTCTACCAAGACCTCTCTTGCGAATACCACCTCGTCCAGGACCACCACTCCACGCGTCCCTACATCCCTGCCCTTACACCCGTCGGCCTGCAGACCTGGCTGACGGCCTTCATCCAAGCCGCGCCAGACGCCGAATCCTACCGCCTCCAAAGCATTCTCATGGACATCCCCCTTGAGGCAGACCACCAAGGCCCGGCTCCAGCAGAGCGCCTACCAAAACAGCTATCCCGGCACCTGTTCCCCGCCCACAGAAACGACCGCACATACAGAGACATTGTCTGTGCTCTAGACGACTGGAGTAAACGCATGGGGAGCTCGTCCGAACCCCCCTCCCCCTCGTGGGGCAACCTCCTCTTCGAAGCATTCCGGGGCGCCTCACACATGAGTTCCGGCCCAGCAAGCATGGTACGCCGAGAGAAGCCCTACCAGACAGATGATTACAAGCGGCACAGCAGCCGCAAGTCGCCTCCGGAGGATGTCACCATATCCCCCGCAAACACCTCCCGCCGCAGGCAGAAGAGCACCTCCACCGCCAGTCGCACGCCACAGGAGGCAAAGTACTACTACTCGTCCTCGTCCTCTTCCACTTCCTCCTCCCAGCGTGAGAAGGCGTATAACCCCGAGCCCCGGTACTTTCCTAGCTCGCGCAGCGAGCCCTCTAGGCGCAGATACTCGGAGCCATCGCCCGAGCGCATCAAGTACGATAGACACACGAGCAGACGGCGCGGCAAGAGCCCCAAGGCGGCAAGAGCCGCATCAATCGACAGCGAAAGGAGATATAGGCACCCTCCACGAAGCTATTCCAGTTCTTCGTACTCAAGGGGGGCAGAGGACGTAGACAGGGGCCGAATGGCGCCGGATTCGAGCAGCCGGACACCTGATGCGTTGCCCGGGAGAGTGGACAGCTACCGCTTCTTTCAGGGGAGGCAACAAGGGCCGACATACGATGATTTCTTAAGAGGCAAGGCGAGAGGGTGAGAAACAGCAGAGGGCAAGAGCCGCGTTGGACCGGCAGATTGTGTGACTGTGTGATATGGCGAGCAAAGGCGTGCAACAATGTACTAGGATGAATGACTCATGACTTTTGTATAAATTGGGAAAAAGGGGGGACTGATGACATAACGACCACGGGTTTGTTTCCATAGCATGACGGGAAAGGAATTGATATCTTGATGACAACAGTCGGGGACTATTCGAGGTATCAGAATGTATACCATGTATGAATTCAGATTAAAAAAAATAAAATAAAATTCAAAGTAGGATTAAATCATTCGTCTGCCTGCTATGCATGGTATCACTCCAAAGAAGAAGCCGTTGTTTGACACTCGTAGCAAACATTCGGTCAAGAAACAATCTTTGCGCCGCCCCCATCAAATATCCCTGTACAACATGTGCGTCTGAAGAAGAGGTAAACATGCGAGAGGGGGAAAAAAAAAGATAAAAGAAACAAGCTGAATTCCGAGAAAAAACAAGTCCAGGCTATGCAGATAACATCTCGATTCGCATAAAAGTTCTGTTAGTGGAGGGCCAATCGTCAATTAGAGTCCCGAGTTCGTCGTACAGCCATACAACTCGTGTAGTAACATCAAACTCGTACAGCCGTCTAGTCGTCGTCGTAGTCGTTATAAAAACATGTTGATGAAGTAAGGGCAGTCAGTTGCTGTCAAGATTCCCACGATGGGGTGTTATCGTAACGGTGTCCCCATTTGAAGGGGGTCGAAGCCCCGAACGCTGGCCATGCTGGCCCGATGCGCTCGTTTTCGTTTCAGGGCTTGGTAATCGTCTTTAAACGTGGCAATGCATCGCTGGAGTTCCTTATCAGGGTGCGGTGGCATCTGTATCTCGACTGCTTTCAGGCATATCCTCAGATGCTGCAGCTCACCGTCATTTTCTTGGAGCTCCTCCTCTCTAGTTCTCGTCTCAGCAAAATGGTGCCAGGCCGCGTCACAAGGGAATACGTACAGGTAGGAAATGCGGTTCTGCAAAAAAATGATGCGCTGGGCCGCTCGTTCTGCCCGTTCAATGAGAAGTCCTTGAATATGCTGAAGCCAGTGTTAGCTAAGAACAATTCGAGGAGATTAAAGAATTGGTGTGGCCATAGAAGCCACTCACCTCGGACTCCTCTTGCCGAGCCTTGAGATTGTTCACCACCGTTGATAGTTCCTCATTGAGCTTGCTCATCTCTGCAATCACCTTCTTCGCCTGTGTCCCCGTCATGCCCTTCTTTGACGGAGCCTCATCCTCGGGTTCCTTTTCGGCCTCGCGCTCTCTATGCAGCGATGCGGACAAGTCAGAAAAGCGCGACCTGAAAAGGGAAGAAACGGGTGACCCTAGCACAGAGCCGGCGTCACTTCTTCCCGGGCTATCAAAGCTTGTTCGGTATGGAAGCTTTTTAGACTCAGCGCTCCTAGCGCCGCCAACGACCTTTTCAAGCTGCTCGAGTTGGCTTCCAACCATCATCTCATCGACATCATCGGATCCGTCATAAGTAAGCCGCCGGGCCAGGTGACTAAGTCGCCTCGCTAGATCGTGCCTTGCTGCGCGAGACGTCACGGCGTCAATGCCTTCGGGCGGCATCGTGTGCATCTGAGATAGATCACGTCTGAGCGGACTGATGCTACCCGCTGGATTAGGAAAGGCCATACTAGAGGCAGCATAAGTGCTAGTCCGGCGCGGTGGAGTGTAAACTCCTCGGTCAACAAGTTCGTCTATGCCGTCATGTGTTCTGCTCAACGGCCGGGGAGAAGAATGTTGGCTAGTCGTGTAACTTTGACTTCGATGACTTTTGCAGCTGCATTGGCTACAAGCACCATTTTCACTGCTCCCGCTGTTGCTGCCCATGCTTCGGCGATCCAGCGCCGGAGTGGTTGGCGATGGCTCGTGTCGCTCTGCGTGACCCATGTTGATCTTGTGAGTAGAGGCCGTCGAGGCCGTTGAGGCCGTTGGGCTGTATGGCAGGCGCGCAGCCAAAGGAAAGGGCAAAGAAACAACTATATCGAGGCTCAACCCCTTTCGCGGTGGCCGTGCTATCCGCGGCCGGCGGCACAACAGAAGACACGTCCAACCTACCCAGACATCTAGCCAAGTGAATCATACACTCAACCACCGACACCTGTTGCAAAAACCAAGAACCGCGTGGGAGAAGGAAAATTGAACAACGACCCAGCCACCTGGCCTTCTGTGCCTGAGAAGCCAACAATTGCTCACCGACCTTCACGAACAAGCAAGGTCCAGGGGGCAGGTACTCCGTACCCAGTACCAGATTTGGCACTAGCGCCCAGAGCGGATTCTGAGGATGCACAACAAGTCGGCCAAGGTCGACCACACACAAGGCGGCGAGCACGTCGTTCAAGCCGCTTCTTGGACCTGGGGCCGAGATGGGGCGGTCGACGGAAGCTAGCAGTCGGCTGCTAACGTGTTCAACGCTGATCTGGGATGGACTTGGTAGCTTCTGCTGAGCTCGGGCTGGGGAACGTCTTGCACAAGCCCTCGTTCGCACCAGGTCCGAGCAGTTCCGATGGACCGAGATGGGCTCGCGGAGGTGAAGGAGATTCGAGCTGGCGGCTCACGGCTGTCACGTCTGTCTCTAGCAAATGTGAACCAGCATCCCAGACTGCCCACATGCTACAAGACGAGCCATACAGAGGGGAGAGCTCGCAGTCGAAGGTGCTTGTGCGTGTGTATCGGCCGGGTTGGGGGTTAGGGGTGGGTGGATGATGCTCGGCTGTTGTCAACTGGCGGGCAGAGAAGCGGTCGAGCTGCGGCCAGGGGCAAGTCACTTGACGACCAAGCACGACTCCGTAACAGAGGAAATAGCGCGGCGCTGATTGGCCGGAATTTGGTCCGGTTCCCTTCAGACATGTGTTGACGAGGAACATGATGCAGAGCCGACCTGCAGTCCACGGTACAGCAACACGCCTTGGAAGCGAGTGAATTATCTGCACGACTAACCGGCATGGATCAAGAGCTGCATCATCCTCACTGCCGCACTCAGGTGCCTGTTTGCCAACAGCAGTCTGGCAGCCATGTGTGTGCCAGTGCCTTGCTTGCCTTGTGTTTTCGACATATGCAAGTATGTACGTACTCCGTACAACGGCGAATATATCCCCATCAACCTGTAGTGTCGTCCTGCTGTTTCAAGGTCCAGGGTGGTTGACCTCACCGGTGTCATTGGACGCGAACCATACCAGTCAACCTTAGCACGTTGACATGTTCAATCTACAAGCAAATTATGATATTGGCTACTACAGGGTATCCGGTACAATCAAACCAGACATGTTGTATTGTCCTTCGCTCCCTGTCCCAGTGCGCACACTGCAATATCCAGGGCCGAATAGTACCTTCCCAAAGTATTCATAAGAAAGAGAAAAAAAACCAACGCAACATGCACCATGCCGCGACATGTCTGTCTGCAGCTTGATACATGGCATGGATTTCATGGCCATCCAGCTCCGTGTGTTGCGCAGCCCCTGCTAAGCGCCGCAGCGTTTTTGCAGATTTCAATTATCAATCAATCGAATCATAAAAAACTTTTTTTTTAAAAAAAAAAAAAAAACCATCAAAAAAATACCGATTGTGGCACCACCTTGCGCCCACGCTGAGTGTGGACGGGTGGCATGTTCGATATCATAAAGTATCAAGTGTCAAGCGTCGAGGTTGTTCCGTCGTCCACAGAGTACTTCGATGGAGTACTCCGTACTTCGACAGCACATGCAGACTGGATTAGCCGCCCCTCCCAATGTCGATTCCCTCCGTTGGGCCGTGCTCGCCCTACATATACCCGACGATCGAATGCTCTGTGCATGTCTGGTGCTGTTCCCCTCTGGGCTCAGGCGCTCTCTCCAGCAGGGAACGCACCAAGCAGGGCAGCATGACGGCGCCTGGGGCAAAAACGCCCACTGTTTATTGCATCACCACCTCCCGTGTCCGTGTCCCCCGTCCCCCGTCCCCCGTCCCAAACCCCAGGCCTGCATGTCCCATTGCCGACCGACGCCCGTTTAATCCTCCTCGCCTTCTCCTCCAGCCCACGCGACACTTTTCTACACATGCACCTTGGACTTGCCACCAGTGCTGGCGCTTCGACTAAAAACCAAAACCATCCCGCTTGCCGCCCCCTTTCCTCCCCTCGCTCATCCCAATCTGTCCTTTGTCTTCTTTGCGGCGGCTTGCACTCTCCATATTGACGCCCGTCTTCTGCTTCGCCGCCAGCCTTGTCCAGACCTCGCTGGGCCTCGGCTCTCACTTGTAGCTCCCGCGGGGCCCAATTGCTGCTTTGACTCAGAGCCGCCCCGCCGTCTTCCGACCTCGCGACTGACGACTGACGGCATCAATGACCATCTTTTGTTTGGCAGACCTTTGTGCCACCGCATCGCCTGCTTCAATCGTCACTCTGCGCCTTGTTTCCTTTTCGAACCCTTTGGACCGAACCATAGAGGCATTGTTATAAGTCGCCTTCCGCTGCCCCGACCCTGTCTGTCTCTCGGCCCGCCACCGCCATGTCGTGGAAGTCGTCAGAGAGACTGATGGACACCATCCGGCATTATGCCAAGTTTCCCGCCACGGGCGTGAGCCTGCGCCAGATGGTGCAGTTTGGTGACAAGCCATCCATAGGTATGCTGCTCTCCCCAATTGAGCTGTAAATCCGCCCATTGCCAGGCAGACCAAGTTGACTTTTCTGGCGACCCAGGCACCTTATTCCGCGCCTCACAATTCTTGGCCGAGGAGTTGCCAATCCGCCTTGCGCATCGTGTCCAGGAACTAGATGACCTGCCTGATGGATTAAACGAGATGCCGTCTGTCATGAAAGTCAAAGATTGGTACGCTCAGTCGTTTGAGGTAGGTTTCCCATGACGCATTGTACCAACCCGGCGCCGTCCACAGAATATCCATTGATCCGTGGTACGCCAAACAGGAAATCACACAGCTTCCTCGGCCAAATCTGAGCAAAGAAATTCGCGATCGTCTCATGAAGCCTACCAAGGGCAACGGCCGCCATATCCAACGACTCTCCGACGCCACACCCAATCCCTCCATCGACGAAGGAGACTCTTCTGGCTGGGGCGGGCTGACAAATTCCAGCAACGGCAACGGCAAGGCAAAGTCGCTGTCAAGGAGATATTTCGCCACTGTTGATGATACGGGTGATTGGCCTGCTGACCTGCAGCTTTACAATCAAAGATTTGCGCAAACCCTTCACACAATAAAGCGGAGACACGATGGAGTTGTCACCACAATGGCTCAAGGCATCTTGGAGTACAAGCGCCGACGTCAGCGAATGCAGATTGATGGTACCATACAATCATTCCTCGACCGATTTTACATGTCGCGTATCGGAATCAGAATGCTCATCGGGCAACACATTGCTCTCACCGACCAAAGTCACCACCGCGATCCAACCTATGTCGGCGTGATTTGCACAAAGACCAACGTGAAAGATCTCGCGCAAGAGGCCATCGAGAACGCGCGATTCGTTTGCGAGGACCATTACGGTCTGTTTGAGGCTCCCCGTATCCAGCTGGTCTGCAACCCCAATCTGGATTTCATGTATGTCCCGGGACACTTGTCACACATGCTCTTCGAAACTCTTAAGAATTCGCTTCGTGCTGTGGTTGAGACGCACGGGATGGACAAGCAGGAGTTTCCCGTGACCAAGGTCATTGTGGCCGAGGGCAAAGAAGACATTACCATCAAGATCTCTGACGAGGGCGGTGGCATACCACGAAGCGCTATTCCGTTGGTCTGGACGTACATGTATACAACTGTCGACCGCACGCCCAACTTGGACCCTGATTTCGACAAGAGCGACTTCAAAGCTCCCATGGCTGGCTTCGGCTACGGCTTACCTATTTCAAGACTGTACGCAAGATATTTTGGCGGCGACTTGAAGTTGATTAGCATGGAAGGGTAAGAACACGTCCAAATCCCGTACCATTGGGAACCAGCAAGACTGACTTGGATTCTGCAGCTACGGAACAGATGTGTATCTTCATCTGAACCGCCTGTCGTCATCTTCAGAGCCGCTACAGTAGCAATTAAGCACCGCCGGGGCCTCATCTCCATCTCTAATCTTGCGCAAACGCCTCAAGGATCGCCGAGAGGTCACGGAGCGAAGACAAGTGGGCGATGCCGAGGCGGTGGTAAATGCACCTCCCACGGAAATATTCGACAAACGGGAAGACCGCGAAGTGTAAACTTGATTTGCAGTTCGAAAACATAAACTACAAACTAGAACCTAGCCATCTACATCATTTCTTACATCTATCCTATTATTATACATATTACTCGGGCGCGCTGTGGGGCGTATGGTGCTGTGTCTTGGGCGACGGACCGTCACAGATCAATTTTGTTCTTTCCTTCTTGCTACTGGGTTCGGGTGGTTCTTCATCAAATTTGGCAACGTTGAAGAGGGAGGTATATTTCTTGGATTTCGGCACGGTGGGCGGCTTGGTACTGCTTGAATGGCCAGGAGGAAGAGGAATGTCCTGGGAAGACCAAGGGAAGGAAGAATAAGTGATCAACTGCCGGGGTGCAGGCAAGCATAACGAGGATTGGCTGGAGCAGTAAATCTTTTGTGTCCTCAACGAGGAGGCGCAAATTTGTACGAGAAGAGTGGAATTTAAACTGTTTTAACGGGCCTAGGGATGCCTATGAGCAATATTTTCAGCTATCTTGATGATTTGTCTTGGTTAAACGACACGCATGTCTCGTCCCTAGCCCCGAGGGCTACTCTGTTTGTTGATCCTTGCAACGCCATGCCTGTCCACTGTCGTGACTATTGATTGCAAAAATAAAAACGGCTCGTATCTTCTTCAATGGTAACTAGTTCAACCCACGCAAGATCAAAATCCAAACCACACCACAAGTTGCCAAACACAAGAAGGGGCCTAGTGGATATGAGCAAGCCACCCCCATGAAGCATGGATTCAGTATCTAGAATCTTCTGAATCGCAATAGTTCATGCGTTTCTGACGATCAATTTTGGGGTCAATATGCTGGTCGGATATGTGGCCTATGTCAAGCAACGGACGCGATTCCAACTAGAGATATAATGTCAGTATGATGAGAAATAAACAAGATTTTCGCAGTCATCTGGGTTCTAATTACCCTTGGGGCTGTGTGCCAATTGTTCCTTGTCTTGGGCCAACCCCTCTTTGTAGCTGGAACACTCTCCCACTGCCCTGATGCACTTGGATCCTGAGCCGGGACGTCGCTTACGGTTGATGCCGTGCCGCCCTCCGAAGCAGTGTGCGACTTGATGGCTTCATGGAGCTTACCGGCATTATCCCAAGCGTTGTATGGGACGCGCGTTTTGGCATGCCCATTATCCTGCTCGCTCCGCATGGTCGTAGCTGTGGAAATGGTTCTGGCATCCGAGCCTTGCGAGCTTGTACCGGGAACCGCATATTGGAACAAGGTAGCACGAGACCCCATGTTGGGTATTTTACCTTGAAGATGTGGTGGTAGCTGGCTATGCAAATTTGACCGTCTTGTTTTCCCAGCATCACTTCCCTCCATCTCAGAACCCACTTCAGACCCAACAACTGACAGAATTTGATTCTCAGCCGGCCGGCCCTGGATATTGACAGGTCTAATAGAGGAGATGCTTTCAGGGCTGCGGTTTTCAGGATTTCCTGATTTTCTCAAACCATCGTTCTGCATCAACTGGCCAACAATAGATTCCAAGTGAGGAGGCACCGTACCAGACGAAGCGACTGATACCGGGGCCGAGACTACAGATGATGGTCCCCGGGAAGACGAGGGACCACCAGGCTGAGCCTGCTTACGACCGCTTTCTGGGCTAATTCTACCTGAAGTAGCAATGTCACAAACCCCCAGTGATGACAAGGCCGTAATGGGAACCTGCGAGGGAATCAGTAGTTGTTCTATGTGATGTAGGGTTGTTACGGGGGAAGTAGAGTCTTTCGTACCTGGGGCATAGGGTCGGGGAAGAAGTCTGTGCTCTCAGTAAATCTTCTTTTACTGTCTCCCTCGTTCTCCTCAACTGAACGGTGCCCCGTCTGCAACGGCATAGGGGTCACACCTGGCTCTTGGATCTCCTGCCAAGCAGTGCATTGCAGACAAGTCTTTATACAACGGTCAGTGCGCAATTAATGATAATATCCGAATTATTCCAAGGCTCACCGGATCGTCGCTCCTTCTCATCGATTTGCTAAACATGTCAATGGGTTTAATCAACCCACAAAGCTCGCAGCGAATTTCTCCACGAAAACCAACAGAGTGCTCTATGCATGTCATTCCTGAATTCGCCGCGTCAACATCGCCACGCAAAGACGTCTGTCTCTGTAGAAGTTGTTGCTGGTTCTTGGAGAAAAACTGGAGCGATTTCCATTCTCCTCCAACCTTGCATCGATAACTGTTGTTGGTTAGCTGTGGCACTGTGTCTTGCTTGAGTATGTGATGGTTACGTACCGTACGGGAAGCCCATGTCTCGATCCTCTGTAGCCAAAAATGATTAGTAAAGATTCAGCCGTAGTCGAACAAGGCGGGAGCAAATATTCTTGTTAGTTGGCGCAACATGAAAAAGGAAGATTTGCTCACGGGCTTGGCTTGACATTGCTATTCTCGTTCGGAGCCATGATTAAGTCGATCCGCTCAAGGGCTCTAATGAGGGGACGCTTCGCTGACAGTTTCAACGAATGCAATACTCGCAATACCAACTAGAGTTAAATCGAGCCGAGTTGTAGAGGACGAACGTTGCTTCCATATGGTGATGAGGAGGGGCCAGAGACCAGTCTCGGTGGTTGAGCCCGGTTTTGAAGGTGGCAGAGATAACAAAAACGAGAAGAAAGAAGAGGAACCCGAGAGCTCGAGGTAAAATTATTCGGCGGCCCGTTTTTGCATTACGTGAAAAGCCTTGACGGCTGGCGGCGCTAGTAAACGAATAACGGGCAGGTGGCACGCCCAAATTTTCTGCCATCTGGCTGCGAATTGGTGATGAAACTTTGAACTTGGCATCTACGAATTCCTGGATGGTAAAGCACTTGATACTGACACAAGACGATTTCGAGAAAGCTTAAAAGACCAGTTAGGCACAAGCCATCAAGCAGAGTCCGGTTCAAGGACACAACCAAAAACTCTCGGTAGCATCACCATATCAGCTCGTGTTTATTTCCCCCATGGAACAGGCTACCAGGAAAGCAATTTTCTCGCCGTCAGGTCCTGATCAAGAGTTCCGAGGTCGGCTGGTAAGTGCATGGTCGAAAGAATAAATCACAATAGAGCCACTGATGGCATCATCTGACTATATGATTTAAACAAACAACCGGCAATGTTTGCTCCTGCGACTTGAAATGGATTGAACACCTGTAATCTTCCTGGTCATTTTCCATTGCTTCAGAAATGGCAGCACTTGGGCCTCATTTTGTCACGACAAACTTGCCTGTGTCTGAGAAAATACCCTCGGTGAGGACGGGAGCATCCACCTTCCGTTGACATCAACGAAGCAAGCAATCATATGGGTGAAATAGGATACCAGCAGCATCAAAGAAAACGTTATCGGCTGCGAGGAGCGGCGGAGAAAGCAAGGTCGAAGGACAGGTTAATACGAATCGTCATACTTTTACAGCCTTGAGCATAGGCAACAACTCTGGCTTCGCTACTCAGCACGTACGTACACATGCCATACCCGGTACAGAGTAGCATGTCAGTGGCAGAATACCAGCGTCGCATTATTTTGTTCACCTTGTTCACCTTGCTTTGTGGACAATGCATGGGCCATTCTGCTTCACAGTGCCTAATGGCATTCGCCTCAGTCGCCGATGGACGTGCCGCCTTCGGTTGTCTTTTCTCGACAAGGCCTGAAACTTGAAATAGGGGGTTGTCAATAAGTATGGAGGCTTTTGGCCGGCCTTATGTCCAGAGCCGGACTAGGGCCATACAGACTGGCTAAGCCAGAGCATACTCTAGGTGTCAGTCAACGTCATAGGAATACTCCGAAACTTGCAACTTTTCACAATGGGCGACAGAAACTAACTTGGCAGAGAAGTTTTGTGAAACATAAGTTGCCAGACACCCCAAAATCTTATTTCTTCTTACTTACGGAGTACTTCGACCATTGTAGCTCATGAGTTACTATCGAGTCGAAAGACTTGCAACCAGGCGGACGGAGAACATCCTGTACTATAACCAATAGTACCCGTTTCAGACACGAACGGTACTCCGCAGACTCATATCCGCTGGGCGACGATGTGTGCCACAGTAAATCACACATCTAACTCTCGCGCTTGGTACAGAGTAATACTTGGCCAGCACAGACACGGAGTACGTAGTGCTCCGAAATAATTACTCTGGGTTTTTTGCGCAGAGCCAGGTGATAACTTAGCCAACGCGGGGCAGATTCTGTCATTTTCATACAAGTTCCTTGGAATGAAACCAGCATGATGTGTCAGCCACCAGATGCGTCAGAGGTCAGAGGTGCATGCAGCCGCTGATCTTGCCTACTTCTGACGGGCCCAAGCAATCACAAACCTAGGCAACCACGGAGTAGGCAGACTCAAAATGTGTGCTTCGCTAGCTCAACAGACAGCTTGGGTGACCTGGATTTGGCTCTACCACGGCAACCCTTCCCTTAGAATACATACGTACTCACCAACCCAGCTGAGGGTTGCTTCCAGCGAGTTCGTTGACTAGAGGAGACAGCAATGATCAAAGCGTGTTTACCTAGCAGTAAGCTTTTCGCCACCACGTGGGTACGCAAACCGCATTCCTGATAACTCGCCTTGTTCACGAGCCGAAAGAGCACCGTGCTCTTATTGCCCCAAGGAGCCTTGTTTGTGTTTGCAATGGAGTAGCAGCTCATGCATGTAATGTTCCTTAAAGCCAAAACTGGCAAAGTTTTGGCGTATTTCTTTGGAAAAGCGGTTAGCCCAATGAGACATTTCCCTCAAGGTCCTGGAGATATCATGTGGCCACGGAAAATCCAGTCTGTTGGACTGGCACTGGCTGGAGCTGGTCCTTTTGGGCATCACCGGCATCGCCATGAGGCCACAACCTGCAAAGGACAAATCAAGCTTGTGCCCACACGGACAACACAAGCCAAGCTGCATGGATCTCAGTACTGCTTCTTCCTTTCCATTCCCGGACTAAGATGGCTTGTGGCCCGGCTTTGGCAACACCTCAGCAAAGCTCACGAGTACGGAGGAGTACTATTCTCATTTTTCGCGTGGCGCTCTTTTTTAATAGGGCAGTTCTGAACTGGTCTTGTTTCCCTTCAGACCAACGCTCTCATCGCCAACATTTGTCAAGTCGCTGACGCATAAGCCGGAAGTTGGCGGCGAGAACATGCTGTGCTCCGCAGTTGCGGACTGTCGTGGGCATTGCTAATAGTTGCCATCACGCAGTCATTGTCGTGTGTGTTCAAACGAAGCAAAAAGGCATCGCCGGATACGCCGGGAGCCAGCAAAGATTCTCCGCACCGTCCCGTTTCTTCTGTACCACGAGCAGGAATGTGCCAGAAGCTGGGCACCACGGAAGCACTGGCCACGAGCGTACCAAAGAACCGGGAGGACAATTGCGCGAGCTGTCGAGCCGTGTTGCACTTGGACTCATTCCTGTTCTTCCACAGCTAGGGCTTCACCGGCAAGAAGCAAATTGCTTCCCCACCCCCAGCAAGCGACGCAAATTGACCAATTTGGGTGGCAGTGGAAAGGAACATTGAGGTGATGAGCATGAGACTGCCGTTGCCAAAGAGCCTGACGATAGTAGTACTATCCTTGTCAGGGCTATTTCAGGGTCGTCCGCAAGCCCCACTGGCGAGATTGGTGAGCGCTTGCCTGTCCTGTCAACTGCCTTGATAATATAATGAATGTATTTAATACCTACAAAGGCAGCCCCCCCTTCGCATTCCCCCCCCTCGTACAGAGTACTTGAGTAATTTTCGTTCGCTTCCATTTGGGTGGCCGCTGCTGCCAGAACTACTTACTTAAGTACCTAGGTACTTAAGTGAGGGGGCACGGAGTACTCCGTACAAGTGTCGACCGGTACAAAGGTTGTGGCGCCCACACAACAGGCCGGGGATGGAGGGAGTTCTGGTACCCCTGAAATACTGGCGTCACATAAGACTGCTTGTGACCCGTGCCTGGGCTCCTGGACCACACCCTTCTGGATCTGACAAGTCGGTCGATGTACGGAGGACTGGGGTGCATGCATGCCTGTGCCTGACGGATACGCCAGCGCGGTGCTGTCGGTGAGCCAACTGCCAACGCAGCATGTGTGTACTAGTAGTAGGCTGGCTGGTAAGATCCCGTGCGGACTGGGCGTACTAACACAGGTAGGTCAAAGTACATACTTACATGATCTCCCGTGCAGAGGATTTGACTTCCAGACTTCGACGGCTTCCTTCACGGAGTGTGAGCCACTGCAAACGGCAGGACAATTCTTCGTGGTGGAACGGCATGACTTGTGAGATCCCGCCATTGCCGTTGCAATATTCCTTCTTTTGCGTTCATTCTCGTTTACCGGGTCTAACGACAGACCCAGGGCATTGTCGAATCCACAGGCACCCATCTAGAGTGTCTGGTGGCCGGTCCGTCCTGTCAATGCCTGGCAATACCAAGTACTCCGTATTTATTAACCACTACTCGAGGTACCTGAGTAGGGTATGCTTCATAAGTTGAAAACGTACTGCTACACACAATGTCGCATAGCTTGGTATGGAGAAAGTAGTACCACTACCCTACAATACGGAGTTAGAAAGTACTCTGCATTACTATTCGCGATGTCAAGGACCAAGCGCGCGGAGACGGGCCGTGGCGATTCCAACGAGTTGGAACCCATGTTGCGTCGCCATGTTTCTCATGCTGCGGGTTCTTCATCTGCGACATGCGCATGTATCAAAGGGAGGCACCCTTGCCTGACCCATTGGTGCTGTTCGTGGCCCGCAGTAGAAATACTCCGTCTTCTCGAGTCGGAGAGACGACGATGAGGAGGCGGGGACAAAGACTGCTCCCCTCAAGGCCGCCTCATACGGTGTGTACAACACGGGAGGCCTAGGAGGACCCATTTCAGCCCCCAAAAGACACCGGGAGACGCGATGAGATGTTGCAAGGCGATTTCTCGTTGTGTGATGGTTGTCACGCCATGGTAGTAGCGACGGATGGCACAGTGTCTCTGACGTCGGGACATACGGAGTACTCGAAAGTACCTAGGCACCCAGGCACCCGTCCTGCATAACGTTAATGCAAGTGGGCTCACTGTTCTCTCGTAGAGTTCACAAAGAACACCTCCGTAGAGTCCGTGTGCTGGTGTCAAACGAGTGTGTCAAACAACAATCAACAAGTCAAATTTTCACGCTGTGCTGAGGGTGTCGCCGAGCCCTTGGCTGCCAAGTTCCTCACTGGAATTGCGTGTCTGCAACGGAGGAAAAGAGAAGCTGGACTTGGTTGGGACCAGGACCCTTTTCCCCACGACGCTGGGTCCTCGTCAACCCGTCTCCTGATGGCAATTTCTTCATCTCTTCACCTCTCTTCACGTTCTCTGGGGACGAGGGACCAGACCGCGACGCCCCCTGTGAGGTCGCCCTGGGCACGCCCCTATTAGCACGCCTCGTGTCTTCTCTGTCGTCCGTTTGGAGTCTGGTTGCTCGCCTGGCTCCCCTGCGCGCCGCCGCCCCACCGGCGCCAATTCAGGTCCCGATCCTCCCTCGGCCCTCTTTTCAGCCATTGAATGGCTGGTTGGCCACGGAAACCAGACCACAGTTCACCTGGACACTCGTGCACTGGACGCCAGCTCCAACGCCAGCCAGCCAGCACCCGCTGGGCTAAATTGCCACCACCAGATAGCACTAGTAGTAGCCGAGTCTCCTGGCCTCCTGGCCGCCGTTTGGCTCATTGCCATCGTTCTCAACTGGGACTGGGCCCATGTCCGGTCCTCCTTCAGTCTTTTCACCTCTCTCCCCTTTCCAATCAATCGCAGTGTTTTGCGTGGCCTGCTTGCGTATCCATCATTCACTCATTTTTTCCAATTGGTTTTTTTTTTTTTCGCATTGCTCCTTTTGTGGCTTAAACCGCAGCTTGCCTTTCCCAGCAGTTGGTGTGTGCGCGGAGAGTAGCCAGAAGAAAAGAAGAAAGAAGAGGTCCCTGGCAGCATTCGCCTGTCAGTATCACCGAAAAGCACTAGTGCCCTAGGCCTAGGATCCCTTCCCACGATCAGCAGGCTTGAGCTGCAAAAGCATTGCCAATACCAATACTAGCAGCATTCTAGTTGGATGCTCATCTACTCGAGTGCCCAAGCAGAAGTTAAGTTAAGCCTTGGAAAACCTCGGGAGTACCCCCTGGTCGGCGGAAAGACGTCTCCTTTTCTGCTCAATATCAACGTTATCCACTCTCATCAAAGCACGCTCACTTCAGTCACTCCTTTTCTCGCTTGCTGTCCAACAAGACTTTGTATACCTGCATGCGCATCTTGTATCTTCCCCTCTGGCTGCAGCAAACTTTTCTGGATTCGACTCAAGAACCATCACATTGTTCGCTGCCGCTACGACCACCGTCCATTCTAACTGCGCAGACACCCTCCGACCTGCTCTCTCTGTCTCCCAATCTGCATGCAACGATAATTCGTCCAAAGCTCCGTCGAAGAGCTTCAATCGTTTCCCCGACCTCAGCAGTCCGCCCGTGGGTTTGGTTGATGCATCTCGTGCCCAGCTGGTCGATCCGGCATTGAAGGATTGCCTGGGCAGAGCCATCGCCATCACAGCATCACCCAATCTGTCGCGGAACCGCCCTGCTTGAACCACGGAAATGACTGTCGCCGCCGATTTAACCCATCGAAGCTCGGCCCAGAGCCAGGTGGCTTTGGAGGATCGTTTTGAAGTCCTCAAGGAAATCGGAGATGGAAGCTTCGGCAGTGTCGTTCTGGCCCGCGTCAGAACCGCTGGCGCCAATGTAGCCCGTCGCGGTTCAGTGGTGAGTGGAGCAATACGTCGTCGACGTTTCTGAAGCCGGCTCTAATCTTTGGCTCTTCTCTAGGTTGCAATCAAATCTATGAAAAAGACGTTTGATTCACTGACGCCGTGTCTGGAATTACGGGAGGTGGTATTTTTAAGGACCATTCCAAATCACCCGCACCTCGTCCCAGCACTGGACATTTTCCTGGACCCTTACAGCAAAAAGCTGCATATTTGCATGGAATACATGGAAGGCAACCTTTATCAGCTGATGAAAGCCAGGGACCACAAATGTCTTGACAATGCCAGTGTCAAGAGCGTGTTGTTCCAGATCATGCGTGGTCTGGAACATATTCACTCCCACAATTTTTTCCACCGAGATATCAAACCAGAGAACATCCTTGTTTCGACTTCATCTCACCAGGAAGCGTCCAACTCATTCCGGAGATATTCAGCCCTGGTAACCCCCCCGTCAACACCCCCCAACTATACCGTCAAGCTTGCCGACTTTGGCCTGGCCCGAGAAACTCACTCGAAGCTTCCGTATACGACATACGTCTCTACAAGATGGTACCGCGCACCTGAGGTTCTGCTACGCGCGGGAGAGTATTCGGCCCCTGTCGACATTTGGGCTGTTGGTGCCATGGCTGTTGAAGTTGCCACCTTGAAGCCGCTTTTCCCCGGTGGAAATGAGGTCGATCAAGTTTGGCGAGTTTGCGAGATTATGGGCAGTCCCGGGAATTGGTATAACAAGGCTGGAGTACGCGTTGGTGGAGGAGACTGGCGAGAGGGAACCCGTCTTGCGAGCAAACTTGGCTTCTCGTTCCCCAAGATGGCACCACATGCCATGGACACCATTCTGCGGGCTCCTCAATGGCCCGCCTCCCTCAGCGCCTTCGTCACCTGGTGCTTAATGTGGGATCCCAAGAACCGACCCACTTCCTCCCAAGCTCTTATGCACGAATACTTCAATGATGCCGTTGATCCTACGCGACCCAAGTCATCTGCTTCGAAGATACTGGGCCGCAAGCAATCTGATCTTGGCCGCACCGTCAAAGAATCTACCAGCACGACTCAGATCGCGTCCTTACCCTCTTGGTTCCGAAAATCCCTGATTGGCCGTAGCGATGTTACAGAGCCAGCCGTTGTTCAAGCCCCCAGCAAGGATGCTCCCATCCCTAGGCCTTCTCCTGTGTCGGCTGCACCGCCTGTTGAGGCTCCCGCCGCCAAGGCGCGAGCTCCTCCAGCGGCAAAGCGCAGTACCTGGACAAACGGCCTTTCTAACGTGGCTCCCATGCCAATTCTACCTACCATTAGGCCGATTTCACCACTTTCTGATGCCGTCACTGCTCGAGCCAACAACGGCCAAGCTGAAATCAAAACAAAAAAGCTTGGCAGACAGCTCTCTGTCGCTTCCAGCACCAATGGCTACACTGAGATGCACCGCCAGCAGGCTGAGCGTGCTCTTAATGGCGAGACGGGTCTCGCCTCGCCCCCTAGCGGTCATAAGGAAAGCTTCTTCTCACATCTTCGAAAGCGAGCCAGGCGCTTCTCAGGACGCCACCAGACGCCTGTATCTCCCTCATACGAAGACATGGAAGCGCAGATTGGCTGCGGCCCTTGGGCAAGTAACAGGTCTTCAATGGTGGTTGATCAACAGGGCGGGCCTATTCCCAAGGCCGAAGTGTACGATTCTTTGGACAAGGCTCTCCGGGATGTCCAGGGCAACCTGGATTCGCGATCCGCATTGCCTGCAAGCCATCAACCCACATCCAACGGCAAACTTAAGAGACACCACTCTCTCCCTCATCAACAGCCCAGGTCTGTGGATAACCTGATTGGGGCTGCCCGTGCTGGGCCAATTTCGAGTCGCACGCGACGGGCGCAGGCAGCTCATGGTGTACAGCAGTACGAGGTTCCCGATGAAGAAGATGAGCTCCTCGATGAGGCCCTGACGTCTGCTCGACGGGCCATGCGACACATGGATGGATCTGCGAAGCCTCTAAGGCAATCCGCTAGCAATCTTGGCTTAGCAACCCCCCATCCTTACCCAAGCCCTTCGCCATCTGCGAGTGGCAGTCAGGTCCTGTATGGGGACGGCCAGGAAGCTTTGACTCCTAAGCCCTTGGATCTCGGCAAGAAATCCTACAACCAGTACAAGTGGCCCACCCCACCTTATGAAGGAAGCGAATGGGGAGCGTCTGCATCAGCGAGTATCTGGGCTGCTGGCAACAGATTTTAGCCAGGGTATTGCTCAATGCCTACTGCACATGGTACCGAAGGCATCATCATGGCCAGAACGATATTGGGAACATTTACAACCCAAAGAAAGATCACGTTTCGAGGTTGATCAATTGCATTTTCGCGGCGTTTTGGGGCAGGGGACGTGACAGGTGGGACAGCTCGGCCCTCTTATTTTTTTTTTTTTTGAACTCTCATTTCATTTTTACATATCTGTCTTCTGTCATACACTGACGGATCGATCTTGATTTTGCATCTCGACTCGACTATACGATCTTTACTTCACATTTTGATTCCTCGGAGTTCCCTGGAGCTTCACTGTCTACACTACTATTTGATGCGCGCGCAGGATGGCCGCAGCTGACACGACAACTGTCGCCATTTTTGGATCTTTTGATTTTGCCTTCTTTCCGGAATCTTTCAGCGACTGAACAACAAATACCCATATAGACTGAAGACTACGCACGGGCTGGACCTCAATCACAGCCCTTTATAACAAGCGTGAACCAAAACGTATCGGATTAGCATTATCTTTCCCTTTGTCACAGCTCTTATCATTTTTATTTTTCATCATTAGCGTCTGGAACGGAGTATTGAAACCTGTGTGGTAGGATGAGCTGTGCCGGTTCGTCTGACTAATAACGAAGACACACGGTCAAGCCTAATAGTTGGCTTGAAGATGCTCAACACAAGATGGAGGACCAAGCTTGTCCCTCTTGGCTCTTGGGCTTGATTTATGTACATCAATTGTGCACGCGGAAGCAAACTTGTAGAGTACTCCCCACCAAAAAGCAGTATTGGCGATTGAGGTGAAGGATAATATATTTAATTGAAGGGCATAAATTTGGGATCTAAGCCATTCTCTTGGCTTTTAAATGGAAACTTGTGATGACTTGGAGTGCATAGGCTCGTTATGAAGAGTGTTGCTGTGCACCGCGCAGTATGGATACTGACACAGCTCTCTCAGCAGGCACCTGCATAAGTAGAGTATGTACTTTAAGTACTTAAGTACTTAGATATCTAATAGTTTTTAGGCCTGCTGCCTGATGGCCTGGTGGCCTGGACATTGACAACCAGACCGAATTGATCTTTTGCCTATACTCTTTCCTCTATGAATGAGAGACTTGGTTAGAAAGTTCATGTCATACATAATGAAACCATCACGTGCTATTGGCTGCGGTTTGGGTTCATGTTCCCCCCCACCCGAGCGCTTGGATCAATGTGAATTGGAGCCGTTGGAGGGAGGGTCAGTCATCGGCCACCAGTAAAAACGATGGAAAGAAAAGCGCCGCCTAACAGGCAGCAGAATACAGCCAGTTGAGCCCCTTGCGGGACTTGAGATATTTGGGCTCCCTTTCCTCTCTTTTCTCTCCTTCCTTCCTGAAACTCAATCGCTCTTTCTATGCCGTCGTCGGCTCTTCTGCCTTCTTGTTAAGCTCGAACTGTGCCTTGCTGCCTGTTTCGCAAGGCAGCTTCACCCCGTCCTTCCCTACTCGAGTACATACGTACTGGTAGTGGGGTACTGGCCGTTGTACTTTGACGTGGCGCAACGAAGCCATTGTGCTTTTTTTCCGAGGAGGAGGACGATTTAGTCTCGCTTCGATTTCATCATTTGATGCGAATGATATTTTGTCTTTTATTGCTGGCAAGACAGTTTTCGGGGCGAGGCTGCACACCCGTACCAGGTTACACAGGGTTGCAAAGCAGAACAAGAAGCAAGAGGCAGCAGCCCACTTGCCAAAGTGAGCACTGGGCCGAGTCTGTCGTCTTCACCCCACCAAGCTGGACACCAAACTCCAGACTTCAGACTCAGAAGTTGGAACCTTGGAACGACGCCTTCATCACTCGTGGTGACTTCGACGAAATACATCATCTGGAAGGCAAGGAAATTTTCGACTTGTTGTACGTGTATGTTTTTGAGAAGGTCCTTGGACGACAGGGTTGAAAGCACGCCGTTCCTCACCGTTGCGGCTTTGCGCGAGACGAAGTACTAGTTGCGGTTTGCGCCACCCCATCATGATGATACTTGAACAGGTGGTATGAGGATACAGTTAGGGACCGGTTGCCATTATCATCTACGTGCAGCACGCAAACGGACAAAAGTCAAAATCTGAAGACAGGCCAGAAAGAAAGAGACAATCTGCTTGGAGCAGCGGAGACTGCCGTACTCCTCATTTCCCCGATGCATTCAAATACCTCGACCAACCCCTCAAACGCCTCCGCCATGAACCTCAACCTACCACTGCGAAACACAACTACCAGTCGCAGGAACCAGGATAGCAGGAATTACTTCACAAGTTATACACCACCAAGCTCTACTGAGGCGATCAATGGGCCGGTGAGAGAGCAGCGCGAGCCGGTGCCTGTTAGCGATCGCTTGATTGTGGGGGTGGATTTTGGTACGACATTTTCTGGGTAAGTACTGCTTGTGAGTGTTCATCACCTTGGGGGAAGGAAATGAGAAATTTGACAGTTCAGGCGAGGTCGTTGTTTCGGTTGATGATATGATGGCGGAAACTGGTGCTATGTGGTGTGACGTGAACCCTGTGGCTTTGTTTTTGCTATTAGAGGCTGCGCGCCATCAGCTACCGTCAAAAAATTCATAATTCCGGGACTGACAAAAAACAGAGTTGCGGCTGTTTACACTTCTACCCCTGACGACATCGAAATCATCAAAACATGGCCTGGTGGCAACGGCATCACGTCCGACAAGGTGCCCACAGAGGTTGCCTACGACTTTCCTGCCAATGCTCCTCCCGAAGCAGACCCAACAATAAAATGGGGATTCCAATTTCGCCCAGAGGAATCTCGTCTACGCTGTATCAAACTGTTCCTTGACCGGTCCCAAAAGCTTCCTTTTTATGTCAGCCCCCTAGACACCGCAGCACAATTAAAACGCTTCAACAAGAATGTTGTTGATGCTGTGAGCGACTACTTGACCCAAATCTACAAGCACACCATGGACACACTTACTCGGCGATATGGCGAGTCATTCATGGTGTCAACAAAGGTTGAGTTTGTTCTTACCTGCCCAGCAGTCTGGAGTGATGCCGCCAAGAATACGACGCTGTTGGCTGCTGAGCGTGCTGGAATGGGTAGCCGCTCTGACATTCAGATGATTAGCGAACCGGAAGCGGCTGCTGTGTATACGCTGAAAGCCATACAGCCGAACCATCTGAATGTTGGGGACAACTTTATCGTTTGTGATGCAGGAGGTGGCACCGTTGAGTGAGTGCTTTCCAACAGTTGTGAATTTTGCTTCGAGCCGCTAACATCCTCAGCTTGATTGCATACAAAATCATGTCGCTGAAGCCCCTACGAGTGGAAGAGTCTGCTGTAGGTACAGGTGGATTGTGCGGTAGCGCATTTCTCAACTATAGGTTCGAAGAGCACGTCAGAAACCGACTTGGACAAGCGCGCTTCGATGAGATGAAGGCCAAAAAGGGAAGGAGTTGGCAGATGGGATTGAAGTACTTTGAAGAGTTTGTGAAGCGCAACTTCAACGAAGACGAGTACCAAGAAATTAACGTTCCGTAAGTTATCAAGAGCCTGTTCGGCGAGCGTTGGGGATGTATGTTGGTCCATCGTGCTGACAAAACGTAGCTTTCCTGGCTTAACAGACGATGAAGAAGCCGGTCTCGACGATGGCTTTATGGTTATGAGTGCTGAGCAAGTCAAGGATATCTTTGAGCCAGTGGTGAAGGAAGTATGTGACCTGGTACAAGGCCAAGTAGAAGGACTCCGAGCAAAGGGCGGTATTGTCTCCGGCATTGTCCTTGTTGGTGGCTTCGGCCAGAGTGACTACTTATATCGACGACTAAAAGCGCATTTCACAAGCGCAGCACCTCCCCCATACAGCGAACGGCCGACTCATGCGAATGCTAATGCGACGGAAGGAAATGGCTCGATAGAGGTCATGCAGCCTGTGTATGCTTGGACTGCCGTTGTTCGCGGCGCGGTTTTAAGAGGCCTGGAGGGAAACATGGTAATTTCGCGAAAGTCAAGAATGCACTACGGCACCTCTTACGCGACGGTATACGATGAGGAGAAGCACTCTGTCAGCGAACGATACTGGTCACCTCTGTGGGAACGTTGGATGGTTTCAGACCGGATGCAATGGCACATTGCCAAGGTGAGCTTCCTCTCCTGACACTAGACATGTAATAGTAGGAGAAGAAAAACACTAATCATAAAGCAGGGCGAAGCTCTGTCGCCCCTGTCCCCAATAGCATTTCACTACACGCGGAATTTCCGCCCGGGACAGTCCTTAATTGTTACGGACGACTTGATAGCCTGCGATGCCGATGAGCCACCAGCAGCGTATACGCGGGACCTGATTAACGTGTGTACTCTGACGACGGACTTGAATGCGGTTCCAAGAAGTCTGTTTACTCGTCTGACCACAACAAGGGGGGTTGAGTTTGACAATCTTGACTTCACTCTGGAAATGATTGTGGACAGTGCGGGCTTGGGGTTTGAACTGAAAGTTGACGGGGTGAGGTATGGGCGGGTAGAGGCAGAGTTTCATCAGGACTAGATTGAGAGGAATGTGCATGCGTGATGAAGCAGCGTTGAACATTATTTCCTGGTGGATAGGAACCTTGGATTAATAGCATGGACATGCGGGCCATTTCTGATATGTTTTGCCCTGCCATGAGCACCTAAACAAACGCAAAACGTAAATATGTATATGTACGTGTATGTATATTTTGTGTTGGGGCGACGAGGTGGAATTCCTAAGCTCGTTCTTTGGTGCCATGATTCAATATACTCTGCCCTCTGTCTGTTGGTGGACCCAAGATTGCACTGGACCGTCTCGTACAATTAGCAACGCATTTTCAACTCGGCTACTCCCGGCCATTGAAATATTCCATACACCCTCATTGGGAAAGCAAGCTTCTCTTCAATAGCTGGCTACTTCATGACTACATGATTGCGTCAGTCGAGGCATCAATCTGATTTGGGCCCCACATACACACAACAGCACTGAACGCTGGTGCAGATTCTATAAATGACAAAGTCCCACTGTGGATGCCCATGCCCTCGATATGCTCCGTACACGTATGTATGTACTTGAATGGATGGATGACCAACAGGCCGATCCAGCCAGTCCAAACAGTCCAACCAGTTCGACCCGCGGAAGCCCGTATCTCACCTCGACAGGTTTTTTATAAAACGGAGCATCTTCGCAGTCCTAGACGGGGGGTTGGTTACACTTGTTGAACGCATCGCGCCATCGCCGTGCGCAGCAGCGCCAATATCTCCAAAATTTCGGCACCCGCATCGTCACGCGGCTTCGCGCGCATCGCCTTGCACGATGCCCGTCCAGGACACCATATCGACCCTGGTCGAATGGGCCAGCTCACACGGGGCCACGCTGCATCCATCAATCGAGGTCTATCAAGACCCCCAGACCGGCCTCTCGTTCCGCGTCAAGCCATCCGCCAAGTCGCCCGTGCAACCATACGAACCCATCGTGCAACTGCCCACCTCCCTCACCCTCTCCTACTTCAACGCCGTGTCGGAGCAGGGCACCGCCAGCCCGGATGCCTTCCGCGGGGAGTTTCTCGCCAGGGCGGCGCCCCATGTCGTCGGGCGCCTATTTCTGATCAAGGAGTACCTCAAGCGCGACAAGTCGTTCTGGTGGCCCTACATCCGGGCCCTTCCGCAGCCCGGACAGGGAAACAAGTCGCAGTGGGCGCTGGCGCCCTTCTGGGACGCCGACGAGGCCGAGCTGCTCGAGGGGACAAACGTCGAAGTCGGCATCGACAAGATCAGGAACGACGTCAGGAGGGATCTGCAGGAGGCGCAGGAGCTGCTGCGCCTGCACGGGGACGCCAGCGGCGCCTTCGGCAGGGCCCTGACGACGGAGCTGTACCAGTGGGCGTACTGCATCTTCTCGAGCCGCAGCTTCAGGCCGAGCCTGGTGCTGTCGGACGAGCAGCGGCGCTCGCTGCCGCGGGGCGTGACCATGGACGACTTCTCCGTGCTGCTGCCGCTGTTTGACATCGGGAACCACGACATGACGACCGAGATCCGCTGGGACCTGGACGACGAGCGCCAGACGTGCGAGCTGCGGGTGGGCAGGACGCACATGCCGGGGCAGCAGGTCTTCAACAACTACAGCATGAAGACCAACGCCGAGCTGCTGCTGGGCTACGGCTTCATGCTCCCCGCCACCAAGGAGCTGCACAACGACTACACGCACGTTCGCAAGCGGACGGCCGCCGCGCCCCGGGCGTCGGAGGAGTATCTCATCTCGCTGCGGCCGCTGTCGCACCCGAGCTCCGTGCTGGCCCGCGCCAAGCAGTCGCTCACCTTGGACCCGGCCACCGCGGTGCTCGGGTCGTTCAGGCACGTCCAGCCCGAGATGGTGTGGGACATCTTTTGCACGCTCACCACGCCCGAGCAGCGGGCGGTGCTGATCCCCGTGCCCGAGGGGAAACCCAAGGACACGTACCAGAGAGACCGCTTCTTTTCCGGCAAGGTGGAGGGCGAGGCGAGGATGTATCTGCAACAGACGGTTGCTATTATCCAGCACAAAGTGCTACAGGAGCTGGAGAGGCTAAACGAGACGGATGTGGAGGCCGTGGGCGGCCAAGAGGCCGACTTGAACCGCAATCAGAGGCTGGCCCTTGATTACAGAGAGAGGTGTAGAAAGGTGCTGGAGGGCGTGTTGGAGTCCATGAGTGGAGATGATATACTTGACGATGAATTTTAAATGAAGCCTTTCTGGGATCGCGGGACATGGTGTAAGACTAGACAATTTGCATCAAATTAAACAAGGTCGAAGAAAAAAGGGAGGGGGTTTGAAACGGGACAATTGGACCCGCTTCTGGAGGATAGGATGGAGAATGAAATGAACATAATGTCGTATACTCTAGATATATACAATGGTTGTATATGTACTCTGGCCAAGTCTCCATACCATAGACCTTAGATACGACTCTGGACAGCACCCTGTCCCAAAAGCTGGCCATATAGAGCAAGCTCCAGCTCATCATATAACTTGGCCACGATAGGGTCGCCGTTGGGTCGAACATTGACAATAAGAACGCCTGCGATGCCCGTCTTCGGGTCAACCCACTGCAAAGAACGAAAAAGGAACGGTCAGCTTTCCGGGATATACACCCATACACGCAATGATTTTGATAAACGGGTCTAGAAAGGGGGAAAAGGGGGGGGGGATAACTCACCCATCGACTATTGAGAATCCCACTCCACGCGATACTCCCCGCCTTCCTCTTCCCCGGTACATCCTCAACATTCAGCATGCCTCCTAGCCCATGGTCAATATTCGTGCCGGGCTTGAACTCGGGCGCAAATGTATTGTGAACCATTGGGTGGAAAGCAATCGTCCTCAGAAACTCGGCCTGCGCCTCGTTTAGCTGCGGCTTGACCATCTCCCTCATCGTCTCCTCCGAGACCAGCCTCCCCGCCAGAAATGCCCGGAGAAACAAGGCGTAGTCGCTGGCCGTCGTGAACCACCCGCCGCCGCCGGACTCAATCTCGTGCTTCTCGGGGGTGGGCCAGAGCGCGGCAGCGAGCTTCCCGTCCTTTGTGCGCTGAACGTTTTGCGCGGTCCTGGGCGCCGTGTGTGGGATTCTTTCGGGCCAGAAGCCCGTGTCGTTGAGGCCTACGGGGTCGAGGATGTTCTCCTGCATGTACTGGCCGAGGGATTTGCCGGTGAGGGCCTCGAGGACCTGGCCGGCCCAGTCCAGTCCGACGCCGTATCCCCAGCTCTGGCCGGGGGCAAATCGCAGCGGCGTGGTGACTTCCAGCTTGGACCACTGGAGGCGTGAGACGTTGCGGTTGGGCTGGGTGCGCGACCACTGGAGGAGAACCGGGTCGGAGAACTCGTAGCTGAAGCCGGATGTGTGGGTGAGCAGCTGCCTCATGGTGATGGGCTTGGCGTTGGCCTCGATGACGGGGTTGTCATTCTCGTCAAATTCATGGAGAATGCTGGCGTCTCGGAGCTCCGGGATGAGATGGCGTAGATCGGCGTCGAGGTCGAGCTGGCCCCGTTCGACGAGCTGAAGGATGGAGATGGTGGTGGCGAGCTTGGTGAGGGAGGCTACCCATGTGAAGGACCTTTCTGTGAAGAGGGGCGATTTAGGGTCAAGATCGAGGCGGCCGGACGAGCCGGTGTAGATGGTCCCTGCAAGTGGTTGTTAGTGTTTCGATCTGTGGAATGGGCATGATAGTGAGGGGAGTTTTGTTGGTGTTGAGAGGGCGGTTGGAAACTTGCCTTCTTTGTCCGTCACTACAAATGCTGCACCGAGAAGCCTGTCCTTTGTGTCCTCTCCCTGGACAGTATACCGCCTCAGGATGTCATCAAGTCGGTTCATGCCGGCGATTATATTAGGGTCTAGGATGTCCGTCCAAAAATTGGGATGGGGCGTGATGGGAACAGAGGACAACTTGGATACGTTGCCGACGACGCATGTGCTCCAGCGCAACTGACATGAAGAAGGGCACTTCTAAGTTGTGCAATACCTACAAGCCTTTAGAAGCATTCGAGATGGGAGAACGAAGGGGGCGGAGACGGGAGCACTGCTCCATGGCCATGTCCAATCCGCCAAGATACTTCTCGCCCAGATGCTTGGTCAATTTGCCTCGGCAAGTGGTGGCCGTGAACAAGCTCCAGAGTGGGAAAGAGGAGGTGCGGGGCGGAACAGGCCGGTCGACAAGGAGCCAGGAGCCCAGGAGCCCAGGAGCCCAGAAGTTGCGCCGTGCATCCCGTTGCTTGATCCTCGATGGCTGTCCCTCCCGACCCTCCAATCCCATCCTTCCACGGATGGCGGGAGAGGAAATGGCGCCCCTTGGTTGCCGGCAAGCTGCCAATTGCACCGTCATGGCCCCCTGGTGCGTTGGGGTAACTTAGATATTGTAAGACACGGCCTGAGCCGCATTCTCGCATCTGGCGGCAAAGGGGGGGGGCTGCATGCATGTATCGATGTATCGGACCTGGCAGCCCGGGCGTCTGTTGGCTCGCCATTTCGCCCATGTCGTTTCCCACGTTGTACACACGACTGAATAACACGCAACTACTCTGCACTATAGTAGTACTAGTATGTACTCGAATAAAACCAGGCCTGTAGATACTCCGTGGCTTCTTGTGGGCTTCTATTGTTCTGCAGGGTCATCTTTGAGGTGAGGTTCAGTTTGGTTGGTTGAGGGGCATCAAGCAACTCCACAATAGCCGCTTCCTCTCACCTTGTCTCTCACCTCATTCCGCCTCACTCACCTTGCTCCGTCGAGTATTTGGTACTGTCCTCGTCAAACATAGCAGCGGCTTCGAGCGCCCCTGAGCATCAAGACTTGCCGCTACATGTACCCAAGTGATAACCCTGCAGTTCTTGTTCTCGCCAATTAATTCCTCGCCATGGCCGTTGCGGCTGCCCAGGTCGGGTCTCCTCAACAACAACCCTCACTGCTGCATCTCATCGCCCTCGTTGACAAGTGAGTGCTGGCGTCATTTCCGCGACAGATTTGCATGGATTCGTACAACGAAGGCCGCCGCCAAGCACCGTCTAATCATACTACAGCGTGCCAATTGACTTCGAAACCAACTGCACGCCTTACTACCGCCTGCAACTAGCTCCCGATCCCAGGACGCATGGCTACATTCATCCCAACACGGTAAACTCCATGCCGTGGCCGGCGTCATTCACAATCAACCATGACACTCGCCAGGTCACTCTGTCTCCTCCCTCACCAGAGACCTCGCTCTCCTTGTCTGCCCACGCCAATGCCGCCTTCCAGGCCGCCATAGACGCCGCCATAGACGGCAACATGTTCCCCATGCTCAACGGCATGCACAGCGAACACTTCCTCCTCATGGGCGCCAGGGAATTCGTCCAAATAGAGCGCTTTGCCGCGTCCTTGTTCGGAATAGCTACCCGCGGAGCCCACTTGACATGCTACGTCCGGGCCCCCGACGGTCTCAAGATATGGGTTGCCAAAAGGAGCCCCAAGCTATTCACATATCCCGGCATGCTGGATAGCACAGTGGCAGGCGGCGTCAAGGCTGACAACTCGCCGCTGGACTGCATCCTCGCCGAGGCCACGGAAGAAGCGTCCCTGCCAGCGGACCTCGTTGCGAGACTGGTCCGTAGCGTTGGCGTGCTCACCCTGGCGAATCGCAACCCACGCACGGAGCTGCACCACTCAGAGGTTCTCTACGTCTACGACATGGAACTAGAAGAGGATATCGTACCGACTCCTCAAGACGGCGAGGTAGAAGAGTTTGTGCTCATGGACTGCGCAGAGCTGCGACACAGGATGTTCAATGGCGAGTTTAAGCCCAACGTCTGTCCCATCATGATTGACTTCTTGGTGAGGCATGGGGAGATTACGCCCGAGGGAGAAAGGCACTATGTTGAAATATGCAATCGTCTGAGGAGAAGACTTCCCGTACCAACTGTGCCTGATCAATATTGAGTAGCCGAGCGAGTTACTTCTTCACATGTGGGACGAAGGGGGTTGGGTGGTCTCGCCATAGCATACCATGGGAGGCCAAGAGTATTTGACCAGATCAGGCACACGGCTATGGCTCTCTAGATACCTCAATATACTACATGCCATTAGTGTATGCTCCTCGATGGGCAAACACGCTCTGTTGCCGACTGTAGATGGTGAGGGTTAGGAACAAGGAGACAGAGTTTGGCCACATGCAGCGGCGCACAACTAAGCATAAGTGTCCAGATTTCCGAAAGTGTACGGAGTAAATAGGTACGTATTCAGGGCAGTTACACCGAATTGTGTGCTCAATGCGTAGCAAGGCGCCTCAAGGCGTCCCAAGGCGTCCAACTAGTCGCATGTTATCAACCCTTAGTCGACTGATGTGACGACCAATCATTGGGGACGGCACTCCTTCCAACATTGAATCTACCAGACGTGTAAGTCACAAGGACTGGCGTACGTACGGTACATTATGTAAGTACTTAAGTACTTACTTACTTGAGTAAAGTAGAGTCGTTTCCATGGCTTTGTCAAGCACTGGAGTACGTACACACAAGTTGACTCAACGAACCCAAAAGTAAGCCAGCATGACAGTCATCCTCCAGATGTCTGGTCCACTTGGACTTGGACACTTGCATCCAACAATGCTGGTACCGCTGCTGGCTGCTGGCCATCCCATCCCCACTCCTCTCAATGTCCTCACGCCCTCCCAGCTTCTACGTCCTCCAAGTCTTTCTTCCATCGCTCCATGTTCTCATCACCCATCTTTAAACTCCCTCTTCTCAGCTTTCCTTTCCTTTCCTTTCCTTTCCTTCTCTTTTCTTGCCTTTTTGAAACTTATTATTGCTCTCTAATCCACCCACCCAGGTTGAACAAAGCTCAACATTTACAGCACCACTACTTCACTGCGTCGTGTGTCGACTGGATATCCATTCTTCCGTGACGATGCCTTCATACACCATCAACAACAACATTGCCGCGCGAATACCGGTCTTTTCCTTGAAACCTGCAGCTGGCTGCCCACGCTGCTGCCACTGGGCTGCCTCCCAAGGCTGGGGTTCTTCACTGAATTTGTCGGCATCGGACAAGTCGCGGCCAAGCTTGAGTCTTTGCCTTACCTGACCCAATCTTGCACGACCCAACGCTTTGCAGCAAACTTGCATATTGGCCTTGATGCCACGCAAACTGCACATCATCACACTACACGACCATGTCAGCCGACCTCGGGCGTTGTTGACCGCCATGTGTGCGATTTCCTAGGTCATGGCAATCACTTGGGAGGGGAATATCGCACATGATGCGGTACCGGATCTATTTACTCGACACAAGCACTCACAACTATTATACACTATCGCCATCCTACAATATAGCAATGGAGCCTCGAGGCGCCAACTGCTAGCCTCTTCGTTTTATTTCAGGCAAATACCAATCACTCAGCAACCCCCGAGCTGATATCATCGTCGAAACGCCCAACGCCCTCCGTCAGAGCAAAAATAGGGGGGAATAAATAAGGCAAATAATTTCTGGCCCCTCATTCGCAGCCATTTGTCGTCTCCTCCAGCAAGGCCCTCTCAACGGAAGCCAGATCGAGTGAAAACCCCTGTCGGCTCCATTCTATGCAATGAGCCCAAACCCTGTTCCCCCAAAAAGAAGACCATATGACCAAAAATCAAAAGGAAAGACTGCAACGACTTCGTATGCCGCCCAAGGTCATTCCGTGCTGCCTCATGTTGGAGGCAACATCTCACGTCCTGATACTTTGCACGATAGCAAAGCAAGGAGTGCAGTTCAGAATCGATTCCAACGCCAACACCATCCAATAACCTCATTTATTCGTCATCAACAGCCCACAGTTCATAGGAGAGCCTATTCTTCCTCCGAGTCAGAATCGTCACTGGTTTCCGCCCCATGTGTCAGTTGCGGCCCCCTGGTTTCGTCACCAGGCTCCTGACCATCCTTATACAATCCGCGAAGTTCCTTCAGCTGCGCGATACGTGCCTCTTGTTCTTGTGCGCTCATGGGTTTATTCTTCTTGGATTTTCCTCCCGCTGATTTGTTAGCGTTGGCAGCCTGTTTGGCAGGAGGTCGACTGATCTCTGCTGATGCGACAGGCACTGAGTCTTTGGCAAAGTTGGGAAGAGCTTTTTTGCAAAGTTCCCAGAGTTTCAAAAGAGCGTCACTGCTCAATTGATCGATGTCAAGCTCAAGTTCGCCATCATTGTTCTCCTAATGGTGTCGTTAGCAATCACGCTCACACACGCCCACCAACCATGCGACCAATTCCCAACATGGCACACGTCCATAACTTACATTTTGGCCAGTATCACGCTTGATAATGTCGATTGCCCGGTCAAGATGAGGACCATCCAAATCATTAATAGCATTTGCAATTTGGTCCTTATCCGCCGCGGTGAGACTCTTCTTGGGGGCAGCCTTTTTCGAGCCTCCAGCCTTCTTGGACTGAGCGGCTCCGCCAGTGGACTTTCTGCCACCAGAGCCTGCCGTCTTTGACTTGGCGGGCTTGCCCGCTTTCTTCGGCTTGTCATTCTTGGTTTTGGAACGCGCCGACTGGATTTCCCGAGCCTTCTCAATCAATGTCTTCTGGATCATTTCGACAATATTCTTTTGAATATCAATCATGCTTTGGTTTGCCGTAAGGAACATGCTATTGAGCTTCTTCGTTTCTTCGTCAAGCTTGGCTTGAAGTTCTTCGACAGCCCTGGTATCAACAGGAGCATCAACAGCGTCCTCGCCATCCTCTTCTTCGTCCTCTTCGTCGTCGTCACTAGCGTTGGACGCAGAGGCAGGAGCATTGGCCTTGGCATACTTTGCCAGCCAAGCATCCTTCCCCTTCATCTGTGCAAGGTAGAGTTCTTCCAGTTGT